CTGCTGTGCCTGTGTGCTAATAATGGATGGATATCTTGGGGGGCTGAAATGTGAATGTGAATTCAATGTGAAGTGAACTGGCACCACTGTTGCAGAATGCAGATGCTGAATTGCGTCGATCCCCTCACTAATGAGGGTCGCTATTTTGCCCCTCCAGCCAGTGAACGTCCCCGCTGTGAGGCTAGAGCAGCTAGGCGCTGCACAAGTTTATGCCAGCTCCGTTGGTTTATGGTTGGTTGGTTATGCACCAACAATAACTCACTGCAGAAAGATAAGATCGACATTCTTGGTGAGCCATCTCTATTCTTCAACCTCGTGCTTTTCAAACCGCCCTGCCACCCTTGAGCTTTGATTGGTCCGAGGTTAAAGTGTATCAAATATCGAGATCACGCATGCTATGCCATGTTCATCACATCATACTGTATTCTCAACAAGGCTGACAAGGGGAAATGAGATTTGCTTATTCTAGGTTGATCAAAAGAAGCAAATCAGCAGCATGGTGTTTCATCCATAAGCGATCCTCCGTCGGCGGGTATACTGACAGCCCTGGTTGATCTTTGTCTGACTTGAAGCGAGACGAGGCCTGCCATCAGACATCCATTTGGTTGTCTCTGCACGTATCCGTCTAACGGCATGTCTTCGAAGGGGCCTCAACCCGCCCGCTGGCAGCTCTGCTCTATCCTCTATGTCTGTTTGCAGCGTCGTCACGGGCTGCTGGCCTAGACCCCGGGATCCCATATTACTCGAAGCAGACAGGTGCAGAGCTCGGGTGCGTCAGTCAGTACCACCCAGTGGTCCCAGGCCGCGGTGAGATGCAGGTAGAGTGAATGAGTGGTGTCTGTGTCCCCCTGTCGTGTAGGACGATACAGAGTTTCCAAACAGCACAGCACAGTTCACTTGCTTGTCAAGTCAAGAGACCCCTTGAACAGGCCACGACGGTGACAGTGGCAGCTCTCCAAAGTTACAGTGAGGCTGACTGATGGGAAACGGGACGGGTTGCAGAAGAGGCGTCCAATGAGAAGCTGTACAGGTCCCAAGGAATGTGGCCCGTTGCCTGTCTTTATCGGCCTGTGATCTCTGTCACCCGTTGGATGCATGGCATGGATGGTAGTCTAACTGATAACGACGACTTTACTCTACGGTGAGAATGTGAAATGAGAATGTGAATGCGTATGTCGGCTCGTGTTGCTTCCAGTTCAGTTCCTGTCATCGGATGTGAACGGGTATCGTACAGTGTCTCGCCTTTGCCTTCGCCTTGCCTGGCCTCGAACCCCGGATCTGAGCGAGCACTGACTGACACTGACAGATTGAGGAGGAACTGAGGCGACGAGGCATTCATTTTCTTACTGATCACTTGTTTTCAACCTCAATTAGTTGTTCCAGCCACGGACCATTATCGCATGATCTCAGCTCCCCGAACGTGTTTCTCCATGCATCCAAGTGGAATTATTGATAGAACTTCAGGTGAAGCGAAGCAAAGCAACTTGACAATTGTCCAAAATACCGTCTCGCCTACCCTATTCCATGTCAATAAGTCCGAATTCCTCCAAGGGCCCCTGGTATTCCAGCTCAGTTGAGTGGTCCCCTAAAAACAAGACAGTGTCTCATTGCTAACAGTTGTCAAAGACGGGTTGGGGCGGGTCGATGGGCCCGAGAGAAGCGGTCAGGGCATTCGAGAATGGACCTTTCACCGTGATTACCGATCAACCATCAACTGCATCGTCAAAGATCACGGGTGCATCTAAACCCTTTGAGGTCTAGGTCCTGGCACTCAGATCTCCAGCAATCATCTCCGACTTGGTTATTCCCCGTTGTAGCCCTGTTCTTTACGCGCACTGAGCTCTAAACATATCATCTGGATCCACTTGACACAGTGAGGCCGCTGTCTAATCCTTGATCTACAGGGATATCCCTGGAATCGACCCATCTCTCGCCAGCGAGCACTGATTCCTCTGACGCCAATGCCACTTGAGTCAAAGTCAAAGAAAGAAAGAAAAAATGTTCTAATTAATCTCCAGTTTCTGAGTCCGGGGCGTCGATCATACGCCACTATCTACTGTAGCTGAAGCATGGCTGTTTTTTTTTTTTTTTTTGGCCTCAAACATTGCTTCATGAGGGTTTGAGCTTTTCTTTCATGGCGATGACCATGGGCAAACAATCATTATGCACTAAACTCTTCTGTCTCAGCATATGTTATGCATGGGCTGATTACGTTTCGACCGCTGACCGAAACCTGCTCGCCTCTACTGCAGCAACTTGATTGAACCACTGGCTCTCGCACCAAGCGACGGCAATGCAAGAGCTTGCTCCATCCTGGTTCGATACCGGCTGCTCTTATGCATTCATCGTTGGTTGCGAAGAAGAACAGCCAGCAAATCGGGATGTTACTCTGGCAGTTCCAAGCAGGAAAAGGTTAACCACATGCCATATCGATCCAATAGGGAGTTATCCTCAACACTGCCGTCTATGCACTCACTTAGAGAAGCTATGCGCATCTTGAGTCATGGCTATGCATCTCTACGGTTGAGTCCAGCTTGCTACGGCACAAGACCTCAGCCATAGTCCTAGGTAGATCGGGAGATGGAGAGAAACAAAGGCAGGCGGGCAGTCACTCGCATTGAGGATGAGCAATCGAGAGCACACCATCAACTGCCGCCAGGGCCACTTCCCCGGGAACATGGTTGCGGTTCGTCTCTGAACCGGCCGGCGCTGGTATCACCTTGGCTTGGTTTGCATGATATCTTTTTAAAGTCTGGTGTTTCTAGCCCGATTGAGAGATCCTTGCCGTTGACAATGGGACTTTGGGGTGGAAGCGACAGCTGGGACTCGTTTCTGGTCTGATAACGATCTGAAGATCGATCGTTGAAAACCTCTGGCGAGATACGACGACCATCACATGCAGTGCCGAATCGATCAGCAGTTATCTCTTGGAGACAGCCACTCACTACGTATCTCCTTGTAAACTTTGGTCAATGAAGACGCCATCATGAGATAGAAGACCGTCTCAAACGTCAAGCTGCACCACTAGAGCCAAGACTGCCAGTTTCGAGGTGGGCTGACATCAAAGCCTCTGTTTGTAGATTCACCGCCAAACGCTGGATGTCTGCAAGGGCTGGTATGTGTAGCGTGTGGACGCAAGGGAGGACAATGCAACACACAGTATTTGTCACAAGGCCCCAAGAAAGCGGACGTGCGCGAGAAACACGCTCAGCTCAAACATAATTTGAGATACCAGAATTGTATCGCATCATGGCCGATCATTTACGGGCTCGTGGCTACCGTAAAGAGAAACCAACGTTGTCGCCTTGGTTCGAAGTCTAATGCACTGCCGGTCTCGACTCTCAACGGCGCATCACTAACTAAGCAGAAAGTAAAGTAAAGTAGGGGCGGGGACTTTATTGGGTGGTGTTGAAGCTTACGGGATGACATCCGCGGCGCCTGGAGGGGCCATCATTTGCATCACCGACTTGTGAAGTTGAAGATCGAGTTGGTCCAATTGTAGCACGATCCAGAGCTAGAGCGTCACATTGACTCTCGCTACCAAGTTCAAGATCTTGATGATGCTAAACCGTGGTCTACTAGAATTGATACGGCTTCCCTTGAGTATGAGGGATGGGGAATGGTCCGGACACACGAGGACAAGGTCCGCTCATAATCAGCCTCCTTCTTGTTTGAATCGGCCGTGCCATGTTCATGTGGAGTTGGAATCTAGAGATGCCGTCACAGAGCGGACCCGGGGTAGGACACGGAGCATCACAAACGGTTATGTTATGTTACCCTGTATCTAAGCCAGATGACATGGTTCTTCTACTGTATGTTTGTATATTCACCTATTTGTCAGGGCGGGTAGTACATCTTACAGTAATTTGTTGACCATTCACAGTTATCGCGTCCGATCACACGAAACATCATCATTGTCGCATTGACCTGATCATCATCCAACACAAGAACCCTCACCAAGACACAAAGTGATCACCACGACGTACTGTAGGTCTCCCAAATCACAGGCTAACAAACTTCTACTGGACGGATCATCTCTCCTCGTGAAACTTGTAGGGCAATCACCAGCAAAACCCAGCAAATTGCACCAATGAATAACCCATCGAAACAAAACCCGCCGATCCTGACGACACTCTCGCCACAGCCCGTCATAATGTCTCAAACTCCCCCTGTGATAAAGTGAGGCTGAGAAATTCCGAATCCACTTTGATTTCATCAAACCCTCAAGCTCAAGGGATCCTTGCCCTCGCTCCGAGTCTGGGAGCAATCTCCGTCGCAGGTTCTGTTACAGGTTTGTATGAGAAGGGTGTTACAATACAATTTTATTCCTGCACATCATAATGCAGGGCAAACATCGGTTCGGTACATTCGGGGAGAACCGATAAGATCGCTCAAGACAGAATGAGTGACGATCTGTGACATTGTTGATCAAGGAAGGGATATTGGATTATCAAAAGCCTCACCTTTGAGCTCTCGTGCACATCACGACAATCATCGGCACAAACGCCACGACTTGCTCGCCATGCTCATTTTCCTTCTGCACCTCTGACATTATCTGTGTGACCTCTTTGACGTCAAGTTCTCAAACACAAAGAAGAGACTCTTTGATAGTCTGACCAACCACTCCCCATCCCGACCAAGCGACTTACACAGACCACAACCCGTGTCCCCCAAACCATCTACAACAAACATCTCAAATGTAACATCGGCTGCCAGCAATCAGATCAAGCAAACCACAATGTGGAATCAGCCCTGATCGTTACGCCCCCCCTCAGTCTCTGCCTACCAGGCTGTCAAACTTGAACCTGGAATGAACAATGTAGCCTAGAAAATGCACAACATGTTCACCTAGCGTAGGCTGCCTGGCGTGCTCACGCGGGTCAGCAAGCCCACGCCTGCATCGCCACTCCGTGCCCGGGAGCCTCAACCTCAATACCAAGCCCGAGCATGTGGATTCCTCCCGTATGAGCCGGGCGTTATGTGACTCGGAATACAGCGAGTACGAGGTCACGCATCGTAAAAAGACTCAATCAACCATCGGCGATCATTCATTAGACAATCCGAGCATTGCTTAGCGATTCCTTAGTAGCTATGTTATTACAACTGTGTAGGCATTTGTTTTAGACCCTCGTCCAAGCTCGATACTCCAGAACTCCATCAAAATTTCTAGCCTGCTTCTTCCAAGTCTAGATTCCAATAAACTCGGCTTCATACGAGACATAACAGACAAGGTGAGACATAGCAAGGCATGATATAAAAACGGCGGTGACACGTTCAGAGACATCGATCAAACCACCACATGTTTTGAACCAGCGAGTATCCTCCCTTGCTTTGTCTAGCCAAGTATAATCCCCCAAAAAATCTCTCATCCCGCGCCTTTAATTGTCTCAAAACAGCGTCATGAATCCATGATCCGAATGCTTAACACCCTCCTTACCGACGTACATGTCCCGCCCGTGCAGTAAAGAAGGGATGGCGCAGTGCATCAGCCGGCTTCATCCTTTTGTCGGGATTGAGTGTAAGACAGTGCTCGAGGAGATCAATGAAGTGGTTCAGATCCCTCGTTTCTGCGTCATTCATCCCTGACGACGCAGCCATTAGTCTTGTCCGTAGATCCCGAGTTGGCTTTACCACCGCCATCGTTCGGACGGTTGTCTGTAAGCACAGTTTGTTAGTTATCCATTCCTGACTCATAGTTCTAAAATGGGAAAAGGAATTCTCCACATGAATGCGCATGTCAACAAGGGCTGAGCGCTGGGCCAAACTCTTAGCAGCCGTTGAACTCGTATGCAAGGGATATGTAGGTCATCGTTGCTGACGCTCAGAGGGAGTCCGATCTACCGAGACAAAACAAGTCATGCGACCTGGTCTTTAACCTTGAAAGGATCTCGAGGCGTTCTGTAACCTCATCTCATCACACCATCCATCCCTTGCTGAGTTTGTTCGAGAACCCCGCAAGGGCGGTTGAGATCAAACATGCCTGATGGCTGTTGTTTTGATCTATCGACCGTTGTGTGGGTGGTGTTGGTCATCGTCAAGTTACCCCACATATCCCGAGCGCTTCAGTCTGCAAGGGATCTAGGCGCTTACGCTCGCAGAGCCCCAAGATGGAACAGCCCCCAACCATTGTCGCAAAAATAAGCATAGACCTCGCGTGGGCGGCCACCAAGAGCATGTCCATATGGCGCTTGTAGGCAGATGCAAGGAGTGTGATGGCAAAAACAACAGCAAAAACAAAAACAACATGGAGGGAGTGAATGGAATCACAACATACCTTGCCGAGAACCTTGTCTCGTTCGATGCTGACGAATTGTCCCTTGTCGTCGAAATGAGCTGGCGATAGTTGACCACGCTTGAACAACTTCGGCGTTAACCTTCCTCTGATCTCCATAATTGCCTTGAGCATCTGATTGTTGCTGTCTCCAGCAAAGAGGATTTTGCCGGTGTACATCTCATACAACGTGCAGCCGATGGACCACATGTCGACGGCGTAATCGTAAGGAATGCCCAGAATAATCTCCGGCGCTCGATAGAATCGACTGACGAGGTATGGAGTGACATCCATGTGCGCTGTCGCCGCATCCGTCTTGTCGATAGCCGTACCCAAATCACAGATCTTTAGCACGTTGTGACTCTCGTTTACCTACTGAAGTTAACACTCGCGTGTCTTAATATTAGCATCGTGGGGTTGCATACCAAGATGTTGTCCGGCTTGAGATCAGCATGAATGATACTGCACTTTCGCATGTGCGCGAGAGCGACAAAGATCTGGTATGCGTATGCTCGCGTCGCTCCAAGATTGATACCCACATTGTTACCAAACTTCCGCAAAACCTCTCGCAGGTTCATGCTCAGGTTCTCGAATACCATGCACAGATGGCCCTTGTAGTCGAACTGGCGGATAAACTTGATGATGTGCTTGCGACCCTCAGGGTCGGCCTCGTTGAGCTTCTCCAGAATAGCAATCTCTGTGTATCCTCCCTTTCGGAGGGCATCATTGTTTCGCATCATCTTGATAGCGACGAGCTCCTTCGTGGTGATGTCGACGGCACGGGCTACCCCTGAGAACATACCCCTTCCCAGTGCTGCCTGGATCTGATACCGACCATTCAAGACTTCACCGATACGAATCTTGTAGTAGCCATCTTTGTCGTCACCTTCGAGAATACCTCCCTTGATAGCTGGGACATCAGGGGCCTTGCCGTCGCCCTCGATAGGCGCGACCGGCTCGACAGGTTTTGTGGCATACTTTTCCTCGTCAAAGTCTTCGGCAAACATATCGAAGTCATCATCGTCGTCATCACCGCCGGTCTTTTCGGTAGACTCTTCTTGAACATCTTCCTGTGGCTGTTGTTCCGTTGCAATGGGATGCTGCTCACCATGAAGTACGACGTTTCCGTGCCGGAGCTCATGTCGTCGTTCATCCTCCTTCATGTCTCCAGTAGGATCGTAGTCAGCGGCTGAGGGGCCATCCTCCTCGTCTGGCTGAGCCTTCCCGTGGCTGTTCATCAGGTTTCTGTCATCGAGGAAGTTGATACCCCCAGGAGACATTTCGGTATGTGATCCGGGAGAGCGCGGTGATGCGATATCTGCACCTCTGGTCAATAAGATCCCTCCACCAGATGCTGTTGACATACCTGAACGGGGAGTGCGGGGGCTTTCAATGTCGGACTGTGCTCTCATGGGCGTGTCGGGCGTGGTGGACGCAGGAGAAGCTCCGTGAGCTTTACTTGCAGCAGCACCTACAGCATGGAGAAGGAGAGGAGTTGCAGAACTGTGCTTAGCCATAATCTCCTCACGTCGCTTGCGGCGTCGCTCAATTTCAGCTTCTTCGTCAAAAGGCTCTGGCTCTTCGTAGTCGGGCTCTGGCTCTGGTTCCGATTTTCGTTCGGGTTCCTTCTGAGCTGCTGGCTCCCTATAAACATGTCAGTGCTTCGTTCAACCTAGGAATGTAGATCAACATACTGCTGAGAAGCCTTGGAAGTGCCATGTCCATTTGTAAGGCCTTGTTCAGGTTTAGCATGATGTCCTTGGGCGCGTGAAGCCTCTCCTACAGTCGTTCTCTTGGACATAGAACCGCCATTTCTCGTGCTTTCATCATACTTAAGTTCCCTCGGCCCATCGTCGCGACGATCGTATTGGCCTTCTCTGACAAAACGATCAAACCTGCCCCTATCCGAAGGTCGGGATCTTTGAGGAGAGCGACTCCTGTTTCGAGGTCGTTTGCTGGAATACCGATCTCGGTCTCCATCGCGGTAGTTGTCTCGGTCGCGGCTCCGATCGCGGCCCCCGTAGCTGAAATTTGATGCGCGCGATGCAGGTCGATCTAGGTCATCGTATTGTCCTCGCGGCTTGCGATGGTCGTCACGTCGCGAATCCTCGTAGTTCCGGCGATAACCTTGATCGCGAGGCCTGGAGTTGTAGTGATCCCTGTCTCTGTCTCTTTCGTCGTGCGATCGCTTGTAGCCACGGGGTGAAATGCTTCGTCGTGAACCGTTGCTGTATCTAGAAGCCGAATCGTGATCCGGAGTCGAAAGTCTACTTTTGTTTCTGTCTTGACGGTCAACACTGCTTCCTCCAGTATGCTGCAGTGAAGTTGCCTTCAAATCTTCAGCGCCGTTCTCGACGATCTCGCCTTCGTCCGAACTCGACGCCATGATGACGACGGTGCTAATTTAGATCCTCAAGGCCTTAAATGGAGAGAAGCAGAAACAGTGTCAGCGCTGGGGACTAAGAAGAGCAGAGTGCAATGGGAGAAGAGCCCAACCGGATCAGTAGTGACTCGTAAAGGCTCAGAGCCGATAAAGGAGGTAATGTAGCGGATGAAGGAAGACTGGAGCGCAGTCCAGATGAAAAAAAAGGTGGGTAAGCGAATTGGAAACTCTGAGGCGAGTGCAGGTGCTGCGAAACCTAAACAGGTGTCGTGATGCGAGATGAAAGTTATTATCTGAACCGAGTATCTCTAGACTTTTGACGTCAGGTAATAGCGAAACAACTGATGAGGCTACGAGGCCCATTTTCTGGATTAGCTAAGCCCCGAAAGACCCTTATCCATCTTATCGAGCTTATCCCCGCGGTCGAAAGTGGGCTCACCGCTGCCAGTGAGTGGGCTGGGCTGTGCTGAGCGCGAAAGGGCCTGGACAAAAGTCAATAAGCGGGAGGCAACTTTTCCCTCTCGCGACAATCTTTGTTTCTTCAACCGCAGCTTTTCCTCATTTTTAACACAACTCAAGACTCTCTTTCACTTCACATACATCAAAATGGGTGGCACTAACCGAGAAGGTTCGTTAAATCCCTCCGACTCACAAAGTTCTACGGACGTAGAAAACTAACCCCTCCAAACCACAGGCGGCAAGGTCAAGCCCTTGAAGCAGGCCAAGAAGGCCCAGAAGGACCTCGACGACGATGACAAGGCTTTCCTCGAGAAGAAGCGCGCCGGTACGAACTTCCAAAAACGAAAGATACAAAGAAACATTACACTAACAACTACGATACAGACGAGAAGGCTCGCAAGGAGCTTGCCGCTAAGGCTGGAGGCAAGGGCCCTCTCAACACCGGTGGCCAGGGCATCAAGAAGAGCGGAAAGAAATAGACGTTTCGCCTGGTTCTAGCGACGATTGAGCGAAGACTCGAGATATCCCTGGAGGCTTTGGATGGCGTGAGCGCATCAGACAGATAGCCTGCGTGTTTTTAGGCGTTTTAGACATTGGCGCTCACTGATCACGATATTTTCGCGCGATGGCTAACGAGAAATGAATTCTATGCTGACCCAAATGCTGACCTGCAGTGTCTTGTTATTCCCGTGAAACCAGACCTGAGCGTAGTCATGATCGTAGAAATGCTAGAACGTCGATGTTATGATAGTAAAACCTCCACTGTATTAGTGCACCTCGCTTGTGGATTTCTTCAGCGAACAGCAGATCTCTCGCCAAAGACTTTCATCTCCATTTTCAAGTCCATCATAACTTCTTTTGCAATAAAACAGGGTCTTCGACTAAAATCAAGTGGAACTTCTACGACGCTTCTAGAGGCCTTCTTTCATTAACCATACATCATCGATTTGTCTTTAGCCTCGGAGCACGTCGCGCGTCTTTTCATGTGCTTGTCCCAACAAAACTACCCTGGTCCAACAACACAACAATAAACGACCGGAGAAGTGGAACTTGGTTCATATATAAGTCGAGAACTAAGGCGCAAGGACAAAAGCTCTTGTCGGTTAACGATTCTATGCAAAGTTCCTGATTCTAGTTGCATTTGTTCCGAGTCTGGATAGCCTCATTTCATCATGGCCGATACTCAGCCCTACGGCGTTCGCAATCGCCGGCCTTCAGTCACAGACAACCTTATCAATGCCGCTAAGAACTTCGAATCAAAGGTTGAGCAATCTCTACTCATTCTGTGGGATGATCTCCCAGCCTGGCGTCGCGACAATGCCTTCATCCTCTCGGGCTACCGCCAATCTCATGGCTCTTATGCCCATTCATTCCGCTCCCTCTTTTACCTCCACAATGAGTCCGTTAATATCTGGTCTCACCTCCTCGGTGCCATAGTCTTTCTCGCTAGTGCAGCCTACGTTGATCGAGTTGTCCGGCCACGGTACGAAAGCGCAAGCAGTGCTGATGTACTCGTCTTTGCATGCTTCTTTGGAGGCGCTGTTGTATGTCTGGGGATGAGTGCTACGTACCACACTTTGTCGAATCACAGCGATACTGTTTCAAAGTGGGGGAACAAGTTGGATTACACAGGCATCGTGGCTTTGATCGTTGGCAGCTATGTTCCTGCTCTGTATTACGGCTTTTTCTGTTTGCCTAATTTGATGGTTTTCTATTTATGGGTTGTAAGTCTGTAACGTTGTTTACTGATGGTAGAGAAACTGGCTGACAAAGTAGATATGTATACTTGGTCTTGGATGCACAATCGTTTCATGGGTTGAGCGCTTCCGGACCCCAGCATGGCGTCCGTATCGTGCAATGATGTTCATCGGCCTTGGTCTCTCTGGCGTTGTTCCTGTCATCCATGGCCTATTCATCTATGGTTACCAGGGTCTTGAAGATCGCATGAGTCTCAGCTGGGTTCTCCTCCACGGGGTCATGTACATCTTTGGCGCTGTACTCTATGCGGTATGTCCTCCCTGACTCTTCTCGCAAAGTATCTAAATCTGACTTAATAGGCTCGTTGGCCCGAGAGAAGTGCACCTGGCGCCTTCGATATTTGGGGGAGCTCGCATCAGATCTTCCACATTTTCGTCATCCTTGCAGCCGTTACACACTTTTACGGTATGGCCAAGGCTTTCGACTACCACCACACCATTATGGGCTCTCAGTGTCTCATGGACTAATTGGCTTGCTCTTCTGTTATTGTCAAACCAAGATCTGTGATCCTCACCAGACCTGAGCCCATCGCCACTGCAGCCCAACATCCATACTCTTCGTTAGGATTCCATTCGGCCACGGTGATCCTCGTCAATGGCTCGTAAATGATGGCTCGGGTCGGATCCATGATAGCACCCCCTTCTTCTTCATCGTCGCCGACAGCTGTGTCGGTATCCTTCTTCTTTGGCTTCTTCCCTTTCTTGACCGGCGGTTTATGGGCTGAATGTTTAGTTAGGCTGCGCTCCAATATGAAGCCTGTCGCTATTCTTGAGACTCCTCGTGCCGCCGCGGGTGACTCAACTGGAAAAAGCTTTGCGGGGCGATGTTCGTGATGGAAGACTCGGATACGGTCCGTGGGTTCACGCCTTGTGGTGAAGAGTTCAACCTGGGGATTGATAGCCCACAGCGAGCCGTCTAGAGAACCGACGAGGAGGTATGGATGTGTTCGTCCGACTGCGAGACAGGAAGGGAAACTTTCCCCTGTAAAGACGCGACGCGCAACAGGGAATTGCGAATGGTGCATGAAGCCGATGTGGGTATTCAGTACACCGGCGGATGGGTACATGGAGTAGAAGCCAAGCAGGTGGTCGCTGTATCCAAGCAGATTTGGTTGTGTTCCAACTGTAAGGTTCTGGACTTCGGTTGACTCGTAGCTTGGCGCACGAAGGTCAAGCAGCTTGACAGTTCCGCCGACAGGGGTTGAGGCAACGAGATATGGCATTGCTGGATAGCCAGAGACGAGGTCGACTACGATATTGTGGTGGACAGGATGTCGCGATAGGAGGCGATGAGGACGTAGGGACCAAATAGCAATAGAACCGTCCGTATAACCCAGCACCAGCCGGTTGAAGTTGATCCATGTAAGAGCTGTCGCTTTGACGTCTTCGTCTGGGAAGCCGAACACAGCTATTGGCTGCATAACCTTTTCTGAACACTGTTAGTAATTGGACTGATGTTAGTGAGATACTGAACTTGCCATAACTTCCCCCTCCACCATCACCAGCCTCCACCACGTACACGTTTCCGTCATCGCAAAGAATGGCCAAGAAGCCGCATGCAGGACTCCATTTCACTCTTCGAGCCCGCCCAAATTCGAGACATATCGTCTTGCGCAGTATTGGAGGTTGCATTGAAGGTCGAGCAAAGCCATTCTCTTGCCGCTCGCCGACGAACTCCCAAAGCTGCACAGTACCGTACTTTTGAAATTCTGGATTCAAATATTCCTGCTCGTAGTCGTAGAGCTCCTGATCGGAATGTGGAATGACGCATAGGGCAAGAAGTTGCGGCGAGTTGGCGTTGTTCAGAGGTGCCCAGTCCATGCCGGTGACAATACCGCCGGCATCTAAAATCCACCCAAAGGGCGCGTCGTCATTTTGCATTGGGAGGCCATTCTGAGATATAGAGTATGCGTCACCAGGTTCGAATTTGACCTCTTGTTGCGATGTGGGCGGCCCTAATAATACTGGCATTGGCTCTCTCTTAAACTGGTACCGTGGAACTTCCTCGGTCGACAGTGGTACCATCGCATTTGCTTCTGGCAAACTCTCCCTGACGCGCTCATACCAATGCTCAGCGCTGTAAGCTTCCCTTTCGAAGAACTTAGGCGACCAAACACCTCGGTCTTTCTGTTCCTCATCGTCCAGAATTTTCGGAGGAAGCACTGTCCAGTCCATCCAACGATCCAACATACCCGTGACCAGCTTGACACCATCCTCATGACGTCCGTACCACGCCTCAACGAGCTGCTTGCTTTTAAAACCGCGGTCGTAGGGCCCCCAATACGATCTCACAATGCGTCCATCCGCCACAGGCTCAAGATCGAGGTATCCCGTGAAGCCCGCTGCGCGAACGTTGAAGGGCCTAATAGGCTTGACACGTTGACGCGCAAATCTGTCCAGAATACCATCTGGTTCGCTCACAGGACCGTCGGATTCTGCATCTTCATTTTCGTCGTGCTCTTGGCCAAGGGCGAGCTCTTCGGCACTTTCTTCTGCAGCGGCAGTCTCATCAAAGTTTTCATCCCGTTCTGCGTGTTTGGAAGCGCGATCGAGAGCTTCTTCGTCGGAACTACCTTCGAAGTCGTACTTCTCTACCGTGTATCGCTTCGTGCGATTAGATCTCCGGGTTCTCATGATGAGTTGTGAGTGATAAGGATGGAAGCAAGCTGAGCTGGAGGTGTACTGAGACAAATTTTAGTGGGGAGGCTACTCTGTGCAGCTCCGATAACACTGGGGTTACCGCTAACTTCAGGTTTAGTTACCTTACTGAAGGATAGGTAGGTTAGGTAGGGGAGTCACAACATAACCTAAATATTGTCCCATTTACCAGACTGCCTTGAATATAATTATTGATATATGTGATATTAATTTGTATCTTGTCTAGCTAGAAAAGGCCATATTTTCTGTCGTTCTCCGGGCGCTTTTCTTTCTCACCAACTCTAATGTAACACTGGAACACTTCCCCTTTGGAAGGCGAGAAGACCTAAAAGAATTGGTTGGATATATTGTAGTAGTCACGAAAAATGTGGTATTGGTCCGTCGGGGCGAGTTTGTATAAGAAAAAATGTAATCAAGTGCCTTTTTCTTCTCCTATAAGAACCCTATTTCTGTCATTCAAAGGCCTGTCCGCGATCTTCCAATGTCCGATCGGACTGACGGTGTCGAATTGTCTGATCTGGTTGATTAAGTGTCCCATTGACACACCTTGGCCAAGCTACATGATGCCCTTCTTTTCGTCATGGCCTAGCTGAATGGAGCCTTGTCCGAGATGTCGATGGTGAGGTAGGATACGACACGCGATAGATATCCTCATCTTGTTGGGTGTGGGAGAAAGAATCATACATGGGCCCGTTGATGCTTCCTACAAGTGTTTCCAATAGCCACTCTCGGCGAGTTTCAAGCTTGACTGGCTGAATATGAGGATCAGTACACCAGTGGTACGATTCATGTATAGAGGTTTGGAACTTACGCATAAGATTTTAATCCCGAGATCGAGTATCGGTTTCTATGGGAGGAGTCTTGGGTGCCAGACCATGGTTCGTCAGCCGATCGAGCATCTTGTTGATGGCATCAAGCTTGTCTTTAATGGGCTGCAGCTTCTCATCAAAGATTCTCTCAAGATCATCCTTCGAACCGTGAAAAATAATAATGCCTGGCATGGCTGCGCTTTGTACACAACGCCCTTGTCTTCTACCGATCGAAAGGCGTAGGAGGCGTCCGGAATGACTGATCTGGTAGATAGAATTGGTGATGATATCTGGATGGAGAACTTGAGTTTGTATAGTGGATTGATGGATTTCTGGTTGATGGTGTGTGTTTAAAAGAAGAAAAAGATGGGAGAGAAGATGAGTAGACTCTATTCGGATTTTGTGAGGGCTAAGTACTGAGCTAAACCTTTCGTTAAAGCTTGTAAGGGCTGAGTTGGTAAGTATTAAGTTAAAACTTTCTGCAAAATTCTCAACTCTAAAAAAACAAGAAAAGCCTCTCCCTCGAGCTTCGTCTCCAAAGCCACGATGGTAATACAGCTTGTAATGTGACCTGTCAGGAACTAGGTGTCGGAGTTGGAACGGCTGCTGAAACGACCAAAGACATGAACGGATTTTCATGCAACATCATCAAGCTTTTGCGCAAAAAGTGAAACACGGACTTCAGACTCATTACGTGGCTTGAAATGAAGAGTATCCAGAGGTCATTCGTGCTGGTATTTTGGTTATTGTGTTGCCCAGCCTATTTCTCAAATGGGACCGAGATGGCAACGACAAGATCATGAATGACGAGGGAAATCGTCTTCGGGCAACGGGCTCTCAGCCTGGCTGTTTTGAAGGGCCGCTTCTTGGAGCATCTGGCCTTCCTTGAAGTTACCCCTAACATGATAGGCGAGGCGCTCTTCGGGAGAAATGAGTAAAGTTGGAGTTCCTTCATGCCTTTTATTCTTCAAAAAGAAAGATGACATCGCCATCAGCATCGACCTTTTCGAGCATGCCAATTTCGTCAACAGCTCCAACTGTTGACGTGGGCGTGTCTAGTCTCAGTCGTTTGCATGATTTTCAATGAGCCAGGTCCGTTTGCCTATGCACATGGGAAAATATGGCAGGTTAATGTTGTTGGATGAGCGGATTTGGTATTGAAAATGGTCAATTCCCCCGACTGAGAGTTTCTGAGTGGCAGATAGATTGCAGCGTGATTTGTTCGCTCTGGTTGGGAGATACAGCTGCTTTGGACATAAGCCAAGGGCAAATCACAAGAGAAACACGACTCACTCAAGAGAGTCACCAAGACAAACGATAAGAATGGATTGAAGAAATTTGATTAGAAATCCCAGCCATCACGTCGCGTTTCTAGTCTTCTTCTTGATGAATGCTATCTTCGCTTGCTGTCTCAGTGTCCAAAGCAATAAGATATCATCAGACAATTTTAACGCACGGCAAAGCGAAGGGATTGATATTTGCGCGATATCCAACTTCTAATTGCATTCTATGCTTATTTTAGCTCACTTGGATCTTATTATCTCTTTTTAGAGATAAAAGATTCCCCTCTGAACAATCTTTTTGTTTGTCCATGTCCCTCACAATCATGCACAGTAGACATCTACTCGCAACAGAACTTCCTTTTCTTTCCCCAAAGAGCTTGTCAAACTTGGGCAGTGTTTATCGAAACCTATTCTCTCTCTATCTCAATCCGAACGGTGTCCTATATTTGCACTGTACCGCCACTGTCAGACAGCTTGCCTTGCCGGCCTCAATCAACCGCCAATTCACAGCGGCTGCCTGCATCTCTCAAACACCTTTTTTTCGCCTCGATCATCAAGGTTTTGCACTCTACAACTCCCGACCGAATGAAACGAGGAACTGCATTTGCTATCCATCAGGTTTCCATCATGTCCAGAAATCCCGCCAAGCGCCAGAAAGTTCAAGGAGTGACCCCTGCAGCCTCTGATTTCGAGAGTTTCGCACCAGATGGAGATGTCGTCTTCATCGTCAACAGGGATAAACGCGTGCGCGTTCATTCTGTTGTGATGAAGGGCGCCTCACCTGTATTTGCCGCAATGCTCGGGCCAAACTTCATGGAGGGCCAAGCTCTGGCGATGGCCAACGCCAATGCCAACGCCGAAACCGACCCCTTCGAGATCGCACTACCTGAAGAAGAAAGCTCCATTTGCTTCGGATGGATTTGTAGAGCTCTCCACTCTCAATCTGCCACAATGCTCTGGGACCCCAAATCCTTGGAGCTTGTGAAAGTCTGGTCCATCATCGACAAGTACGACATGCAGCAGAGCATGCAACTTTCTATCATGTTCTGGTCACACAAGAGACTTTCCGCGGCCCTCACGACACAAGATCTCTGGCTTTTGGCCCTGGTATGCTTCCAGAATAAAGACTCGGCTTCCTTTGAGACTATCACCAAAAGGCTTCTTCGACGTTCCGAGGGAGCATTCTTCACCAGCGCCTCCGAGACTGAAAGGCTGGTTAATAAAAACATGCAAGGACGATTTTGGTACAAGCTCGCAGGTGAGATTAGATGAATCAAGCCATTAATCTTGAGCTCAAGCTAACTCATTGCCACAGCAAAGCTCCAGGTGGTACGAACTGATAGCCAGAACAAGGTGGCTAGGTTGGTGTACAATGAGATTCCCTCTATCCTTGCTTCACACACCTGTGCTACTGAAACAGCGGACTACTTCGACTACTTACCCCATCTCATGTGGAATGATGGTTTCCAGATCTTGTTCTTGGATATTGGAGCCCCTGCGAGCTACCTTGGCGAGGTTTTATCAGCGCTGGATAGCTGGGTGACTCGACATGGTGGCCGACATGGAGGCTTATGTGACGGCTGTGCTGGGCTTACAGATTTACTTCGAAGGCAAATCCGTAATTCTGCACCTAAGATCAAAGGCCTATGCCTTGCTTGTTTCGAGAAGGGAGACAGCACATGTTCTGAGCACAAGGACTAGGCTCCAGTAGGTAGCAATGAAAGCCTGGCATTCAAACAATCCCAAAGGGGAGACAAAATGGTTCAAGATCTTTATCAAAAGTGATAAATGCAGCTAACATAAGGGCCTCTATTACTTGGACACATGACAGTAAAACATACAAGACCACAGTTCGAGAAGGCGAAGGTGAAGAAACTCCTACTGAATGACTATATCTATGTAGTCATAAGAACAACGCTTGCGACAGAGGATGCGTAAACAGCTCGATGGCCGGCTTTCCTGAAAAGATTGAAAACTTAGCGAAAATAATCATCATCGATTGGTGGAAACAATGTCTAAGGTCATGATGGACAATCCTGAAGTTCATGCATGCCTCAAATGACGACAATCGAAACGAAGAAGAAGCAACAATGCTTGACCACATCGTCTCAAAAAGTATAAATACCAGCATTTTCCTACTAAGGGTTTAGCAGATTTCAACAATAGACAATTTAATACTCTAAGTAAATATTATATTTATAAAAGTTCTGACAGCTGGTACCAGCTGGCAGATAGAACAATGAAACAAGGGCCGGCCACTTGGTACCTCATGGCCAAATATAATTTTCCTCTCCTCCGAATTCATTTTTCCCTTTGCATCTTTTCTTTTCATCTCTTCACGTTTCATCTTGAATCCTTAAGAGGCCGTCCCACAGTAATCGCACAATCATTTCCTTGAACCTCGAATCCTACCACGATATTTGCATAAACACCTCTCCAACTACCTGAACTTCACTTCGTAACCATGGAGACCTCTCAAGAAACCGGTATGTGAATCAAAAGGCCAAGCTGAAGAAAGAAGACTAACCGTTATATGAGAAGAATGTGTCACCATCATCCCTGACGGGGATGTCGTCCTTGTGCTGGGTAAGTCCAGGACAGCGGTTGAGATAACTGCTTCATTTTTGAAGCATATCTCACCCGTCTTCGAACGGATGCTGGCCCTACCGATGCTCGAGGGTGAGGCGGTCCGTTCCTTCGATGGAACAGAACCGGTCGCCATCGAGCTTCCGGCGGAGCAGCCCGGCGCAATGATGATTGCGCTCCGGGCGCTCTATGGGTCAGACCCCGAGTGCCTCACTGCAGAGCCTCGAGACATCCGAGACGTGTCTGTCCTGGCAGACAAGTATGACATGGTGCAGAGGTTCCGTCCGATGGCGGCCGTTTGGCTAGGGTACCCAGCGGCAACAACAAGCCAGCCAGACCACCAGGCCGCCTGGGACCTGCTGGTGGCCGCCTACCTTTTTCGAATGGAGAAGGAGTTCTTCGAGATAAGCAAGTTTTTTATTCGAAACGATGCCCCTGTTCTAAAGTATGCCCTGGGAACGCCCGACGAGCACCTTGGTTTGAAGTTGGGCAGTAAGTCATCTTTCAGACAAGGTCCTTATAGCAGTACTGATTAGAATAGTGGCCATCGAATCTGTGCGGCTCGCAAACTTCACCAACCACGTGGATATTGGTCTCTGTCTTGGATGCTTTTCCACAGCCCAGGAGAACTTCGTTGAACGACAGCCCGGTTGTCGCTTCACAACGCGGCATCTGTGGTAAGCCCACAAACAGGGGGGAATGGCACCAAGTTTCGTTGGACGACACGGAGATATCGAGCGGCAACTTACGGGTCCGTAGGGCTCATCAACAACGTCAATAAAAAAAAGCGTCTTTCGTCCTGCAACAGGAAAACCTCGTCCCATCTAGCATTACCTGGTAGATGAGAGATATATAATAAGTGTCCAGACTTGGACTAAAGAATGCCAACTATTGTCGCACCAACCTTATCGTACATAAACACCCGTACCCAAACTATTCAAACGTCTCAAAACCTAGATCAGAATGAAGTCGACCTAGTTCCGTATTATCAAGTTGTAAATGTAACATGCCACGAAGTGAGGAGTCATGCTATACAAACCACGTTTTCAGTATCTCGATTCAGACTCGACATCAAGAATCGTATCGACCCAGGGTTGCAAACGCGTACCGGAATGAAATGATTGGGCTTTGACTGGATTGATTCGTAGCTGCGATGAGAAAATTCGTGGCTCAACAGTCCGGGTGTCGGCACACACGTCGGCACCTGGTGCTGTGATATTTGATGTTCTGGTTGAGCCATTTCATAGTGAAAAATTAGCCCTTAACGAATTTTTATAATGTTAACAACGAGGAACCGATGGAAATGGCTAGAGGGACGTCAAAAACCATTGAACCATAGAATCGTGAGCTCACAAAGACGTTATTTCGCCCTTAACATCATACTCGCAAACTCTTCAAGATCAAGCCGTCAACGGCCGATGTCAATCCAAGCATGATGACTTGCGCAATGTTTACGCTACGAGTCGATGTCAGTTGTTTGATGTGATGGGGGAAGATATAAATACTTGCGTCAGCCTGGGATGCCATACATACACTTCTCTGCCACGCCCGAGAAAAAGGTCTCAACAATACAACATAAGCTACTCAAGTGAGCAACCCTCTTTCTATTCAATTAGCTGGAATTGTTTCTAGGTTTGACAGGACAAGGAGCATCCATGCCTTCAGGACCTGTTAAAGGGAGTTCCACCCCCCCAGACTCCCCGTTTTCGCAAATTGTTCTGAGGTGATCACCACGTCTCGACATGTTAACTTATATAAAAAAGCACAGGATCGAAGAAAAAAGTCTTAATTATAGGGAGACTGCTCGAGTAGTTGCCAAAATCCGAGTATCAAGGAACAAGTGGTAATGATTTCAGGTTATCATCCACGAATGAGCAAAAGTTGCTTGGAAGTGAAAAGCAATAAAAAAGAACAGTCAAGCCACTGTAAACAAAAGATCGGCTCGGCAAGCTGGAATATTAAACGCTTCTCGGCACCAACGTTCATTCCGAGATTCATATGTATAGATAAAACCTCTCCGGAGGATGAAGAAGTTTCCAGTCATGGGGGCCCTGAAACCGGGAGGTTTACGGAAATATATAACTTATTGCTCAATTCTCGATGGAAAGCACCGTTTGGATGTTAACACCCCAACGTCATCCGAGGATGTTTGGCGCATGTTGCGCGCCAGGTCCGAGGCGTGCGTTCTGTTTCCTCGTGTGAGATGATGGCCAAGCATGAACCTAGAAAAGTCAACCGGCATTCGAAATCTATTTATCACGACGCACTGGTTTATTGCGGTGAACGTTGAAACTCGTGATGAGATGAGCTTGAAGAAAAGAGTATTTTTTAGTTGCCACAAAATGTTAGAGATGGTCGCGTAGATAGCGGCGACCCAACAACATCACTTGCACTACTAAATGAGGCACTACGGCATAGGCAAGGATGCATTCCCAAAGAAACGAAAAGCGGAAATCCGGGCCCAACATCATAAATCAGTCGTTAGAAACCGTGCGGTTCAGACATACTCGTCACATTCGATATAGAGACCGAATTTCACAATAAGATAATATATAGTAAGGTCAGAGAACAGTCCTTGCCTCCCTGGCTTGGGAACTGGCAAAGAGAAGATTTCTCCTGTTGAAAGGTAGTGACGGGCCCAACTCGCATTGAGTTGCCAGATGACAACCCCGAGGTAATCTACCATGCCTTGAGGATTCTATACGGATCGTATCCGGGGTCATTCACACTGCCTCCCAGAAAAAATAAATCTTCATTATTGAACATCAATTGCGAAAAATGGACAACTTGCGGCGATGGAAACACTCTTCAGCATATGATCGCTAATTGTGGTAGAATCACTGGGGGTATAAACTCTTTGACTGAAATTGGAAAGCAAAGCTCGCTAAGTAGCGATCTCTTTGACATGAGGAAGTAAATAATTAAAGAAGATTTCGGAAACGCAGGAATAACGAGAACAAATAGGTATAAAGAAGACCTTATTTATATGATAATTTAGTTTATAAGCTATGTATTGTAAAATAGTGACTCGGCGTGGAAGTCCAGGGTCTCCTAGACACCGATTTCCATGTGATGTTTTGTAAGCCGGAGCCCACCTCTTCAGGATATGTAGAGAACACTACGAATTGAATTTGTATATAGAACAAAAAAAGACCAAGAATTTCCACGCTGGCTTCTGAATCCCGGCACATGAGAGCGGCAGCCTTGTTGTGAACCAAGTTAACAACACCAACAGTGGCAGCCCTCGTACACCGAATCCCCCTTTCTGTCATAAGAACCCACCAACTTGACTGCTGTTGGGCAGAGTGAACACGGTGATACTGAGTGAGGAATCTTATTAGCTGTCTGAAGTGTCGGAGTATTAATGCCTCCTCGGATGAAGTCAGAACGGGAGGATTTGATGTCAAGAGCTTGAGCATGGAAGACGGGTCACACGGCCGATGGAATATGGTATATATTCAATAATTGAGATTCATGACAATAACAAAACGACAAGCAAGCTTCAGATGTTTCAGTACAACATGAATCCAATGTGCATGGAAAAACAAAATGTTTAATTATAAGCGTCCAGCAACATGGCTAGGGGAGTTTCAGATCAGAAAGCATGTAATTAACTAGGATGATTGTTCCGCCATTCAAATTAAAGATACAATCTTAGCATGGAACCATGCTCGCTTTTGTCTTGCAATTATGCAGGTTACCCTTTTCTCCCCGTCGATGTACCTGACATGCAGCCAGTGTCCCGTCCATCCGTCAGTGCATAGATTGACACAATCAACCAGACCGGTGGTTGGATGGATTGGGGCAACTGGCTGCATGCCCACGGGATCGTCTGCCGTGATTTTTAAAGCAGCATGGGCATAGCCCTCCCTTTGGATGTGCCATGTGCTGCGAGAATGCATGGTGCAAAATAAGGAGAGCCACTGTTCTCAAACATCAGCATCATATCACAACAAGAGAAGATGTGTATATTGGTAAGAACTCACTGCCTTGCTTTAGGCCTAGGCCGACATCATGAGTCTGTTGCGCCAGATGAAAGATTTGTGCGTGGTTCATTTTAACCACGACGTGTTCGCTCATGGTTCGAAACGAATCTTCAAGGTTGAGCCAATATGAGGCCGTCATCAGCTTCCAAGCTTGGTCGAGGTTGGCTGGCTCGCAGTTCATCCAGCCAGTGGCAGCCATGGAAAAACGGGGTGACATGCCGTACTTGTCTGCCAGAATGGAGACTTTCTGGATCTCATCGGGGTCGAGGAATAACATGCTTGGGTCTGACCCATATATAGTTTTTAAGGCCTGGGCAGTCGCCAGCCCATCATCCTCTGGCAGTTTGATGTCAACTGGCAACTCATTGCTCTCGTGGAGCTTGATTCCCTCTGAGAACTTGAGGTTCAACATGGCGTCGAATACCGGAGACGCCAGGGTCAGGAACTGGGAAGAGACTTGAATTCGCAGTTTTTCTTGACCGACGACGAGAATTATGTCTCCGTTCGGAATGACAACTTCGTCAGGGACGTTGTTTTCTGCCAAGTGTCAGAACAGACCTGGAATAGCGGATGATACTGTCACATACCCGATTCTGACGACATGGCTTCGTTCGAGTTTCTACTCAAGATTGCGATATATAGCCCGTATGCTGTTGCAGGCGGTAGAGAGTTGTTGTATCGTGGTTGTTTATAGGTGAACAGATTATTGAGTGAAGAGAAGTTCAATAGGTAGACTTGAGGAATCGAAGAGAAGAAGGCGATGATACAGGACTGAGAAGGTGACCAAGCCAATAATTTGTGGGTTGGGTTGTTCCGGCGGTTTTATGAACAATCACTGAGCGTTAGCTGCCAGTGACTAACACCTGCCAGCGAACATGGTACATAATAAGTGGGATAGAAAGAACAATATGAACACCTCAGAGAAAGGACTTGATGGGCCGGAAAAGCGTCTCCCGAGTGTTATTGATGGCCAGGCCAAGTTGAACCATTTACCATCGCAAGTCTTTCCATCCTAAGCACAATATGAGGGACCAGGAGTGATTGGTTCATTGCGTTTGTAGCTCATTGCCTTTCATTGTTGTAGTTATACGAAGACTTAGTTTACGAATGATAGGGAATATAGAAACTGCAATCCGGAGATGCTTATCTAGTGACGAGAGTGTTTGTCCCGTTCGGGATAATGGTGAGGCCTGAAGGGGAGCGGTATCGTATGACTTCTGGGAAGTTGGTGGTCAACATCGCAGAGAACACGGAGATATCGCACAAAGAAACTCTTGGTTATATGAACCCTGATGCGAGCTTCACCAACAATGAGGGCGAGCGCCCCGTTTGGTACGAGTATAATATATGAAAGAGATCAGCATCGTCAGCTACGGGGAAGAAGGGCGCGTACCACTCATATTGTGTTGTGAAGAACGATGAAGATGAAGAAGTTCACGTCCATGGCTCGGGATACGTGACGAGTACCAATACAAATTTGCCAATGCTTTGCATCTGCCAGCTGAAAACATAAAATCACCTCTATAGTATTCCGATGGCCAATGTCTCATGTAATCTAAGGGTTTGTATACCAAGGCGAGGCCATCTCGTGGCCTCTGATGTTCTGTGCCTCAAGCAGGAGTGTCACATCTCTGATACCTTGTAACGGCAAAGAGGAACATATTTTGTAAGACTTTAATAGAATATACAATCAAGATAAACTTGCTAGGATTTCTTGGTGGTCTGGAAATAAGGAAAGGGGGTACTCAACAATGCCGAGAGAGGGCGCTGGCTTGTATTTATAGACGGTCGCTGTAAGTTTGCTGATCTTGTTGACCTCCTTGTTTGTGCGGCCTTTTGCAATAACATTTCAGTTTCTTGTTACAGTACCAACCTGATTGATGATTGGGCTGTTCAGAAGAAAACCTACATGATGTAGGCACGGAGTCGTTTGACGATGGCCTCACGCAAACCTGATACCTAAGGCAGAGCAAGCAACGGAAAGCTGTTGCATACCAATTTTGTCGTAACTTGTGTCAAAAACAGAGCACCAAAATTTATCTAAACTTTATGATTATTTAATTGAGAGTTTGTCATTCTATCTTACAACTCAACATGATGTTGGCAAAATATCTGAGGTCGAAGGGTTAGTCAAGTCTGGGGGTCAGGCAATGATTCACTGCCAGCTGCTGCCATCTGTCAGGTTCTCCCAGACTGAACTGACTTTTCTCTTATGCCTTGAGTAAGCAGCATGAGCCCGGAGAAACAGAATATCTAGACAAATGGTATATCTCTCTGCTCTTCATCTTCACCCATCTTCTTCAATAGGCGCATCCGCGAAGATGGACACTTCACCTCCCGTTCTCAACGACGACAAAGGTGGCGTTCCCTGTATGTTACAGTGGTATTATATATCCAAATTTGATAATGGCTAACCTTTTAAGTAGCAGATTCTGTTACCCAAATCGTTACCGACGGCGATGTTCTGATGGTGGTTGGCCCAAGCCAGCACAAGATTCAGGTCTCTTCGCATTTCCTCAAGCATATCTCACCCGTTTTCAGAGCTATGCTCGATGCACCAATGAAAGAAGGAGAAGCTCTTGCAAACAAATGTGATGATGATGCCCCCGTTGAGATCGTCTTCCCCGAAGATAAGGAACAGCCGATGGTGCAGGTACTACATACCCTCTATGGCTCAGATCCAAGTGCTAGACGGTTCTCGAAGGGCGAAGTCAAAGAGATCGCAATTCTTGCAGAGAAGTACGGGATGGTCGAGCGTATCGCAATCTTCGCATCTTTCTGGCTTCGTAACGCCGTCAAGAAAAGCATTTCAGAAATTACCAAACATGTCTGGAACACCTTAGTCGTGGCATATATCCTCAAGATCGATTGGGCGTTCTTCGACATAACCAAGGCCATACTCCAGACGAGGACCAGCCTCCTAAAGTTCATAGGCAGCTTTCATGACAAGCATACTGGTCTCCGCCTTGGAAGTAAGTTGCGGAAATATTACAGTACATGCACAGATACTGACAATACTCATTTCAGTGGCTATTGAAGAACTGCGCAGCACCTACTTGGCGATGATGGCTAGGTCCAGAACTGAGATGGGCTTGTGCTTGTTCTGCTTTTCTCACGCAACCGAATCTTTCACTCAGCAGCGTGCAGGGTGCAGCTATCCTGATCGTCATTTTCCAACGCATCGGCTGGCATGAGGGAAAATGGAGATGAGTGCATCAGTCTTTGGGAAGGCCAAAAGGGAAAATGGAATGTTTGAAATCAGGCTACCTTAATAAATAGACTGATTGGACGCGTTTTGTTTTGTACCAGTTTGAGCTGGATTCTCCAACTGTAATTGCTATCATTAAGCCGAGCTCTGTGTTCAATCTCACCTCACATCGGTTACCGTGAAGATAATAAAGGTAACTAATAATATTTCATGTATTAGAAAAAAAGTATTTTAAAAATAAGAAAGACCAGACTTTTGCTTATTGAAGTCAAAATGAAAGAAGAAAAGGAACCTAATTGGGACCCAATTTGAACTTCCCTCCAACCCTGGGTATATTCTGTAAATATCTTGGTACTCATTGACTTGAAGCCCTCTTGAAAACCGCCAAAATAATTGAATCCATGTTCTCTATGATCAGGACCGACACAAGTAGAAGCTTCCATAACCCCATCTAAATATTGGTTCGGCGCATGGTGCAGCACCTCCCATACAGCGAAATTGACTATGTTGATCCATGGCCCTTCCATAGTCCCGCCTAGCCTCACGAATCGAGCCTGGGTTCAACTCAAGTCAGTTATGTATTTTGAGGGAGGAAAAATGTCTTACAGTAGATATCGACTTCAATACCGTGACCATCTGGCACCGGTTCTCGTAAGCGGGCATTATAATATGGGTTCTCGTCCCTCACCAGTCGTTCGCTCAGTTTGGAGAATGCAAAACGGAGATCTGGGAGCTCATCGGGATCATCGAGAAACATGTAGTACGCTGCAATCATTAGGTGCCAACAGTCTTCCTGACCAAAGAACATATGCACAGGATGAAAGCGGCCGCTGCAATATCTTGGGCGGAACCAGTTTGGAGCAACCTTCTTGAATTCAGGAATCATCTCATACTTCCTGGCAAACATGACCACATCGTAGATCTCTGCTGGTCGCAGATCGTCCGTATGGGGATTGCCAGGATAGATGCTGCCAAATGCGTTTCGAGCCGCGGTAGCATGGTCGTTGGGAAGCCTAAGCTCATAAACCCGACCCGTATTGTCAGCGCCAGTGATATTGTGTTGATCAAGTATGCCTGCAAGAACACGCGAACACACGCGGACAGCCTGAACTGTGATCCGAAGCCGTTTTTCACCCGCTCCGACGATTAGTACAAGATTACCGTCGCTTACGATGTCTTGCTCGCATTCCGGAGTTCCTAAAGCATGGTCAGTAAAACGAAAGGAGTAAGCAAGAGGTTCCATACCATCAACCAAGCTTACACCCTCTTGGTCTGGCATGGTCTGGCTTGATTCTGGCCGTGTGGTAGAGGACTCAGGATTGGGAGTTTGGATTGGCATAGTGATGGTTTAGAGATGCCGGAAGATGTATATGTGACTTGGGAATGTGGCCGGGTAACAGCAGGGCTCGTGGGAGGATGAAAGAGGAAAGGACGGAGTGCTCTCTACTGCTCAGGCAGACGAAATGACTTGAATAAAGTGCTAGGTAACCAAATGTATCGCTTCAGGAAGACCGTTGGTTGTGTGAGAGAGAAGAATCAGGGAATGGACGGGCAGGAGAAAATTCTGTATGAACACTTGTGACAGAGGACACGGAAAGGCAGTATAAACTACCAGAGAAGTCTGCGCAGAACTTTATCATCAAGAAAGTTGAAGAGCGAAAAATCCTAAGGAGAAGTACTTTGAGCTGTTGGTTGCTGATATTGATAGGCCGGTGTTCTCCCGTCTTTGGTATGAGCCATGAAGACATCCTCAACCTGATACATGTATGCCACTCAGAAGTCACGCAATGAGAAAGCACCGACAGAGAATCATGAAGGCGAAAAGTCAAAAGAAATGTCACTCATGTACTGTTACGATATACAGACAGTCACAGAGAACGCGAGAGGCTCATCAGAGTCAACGGTTGGTTGCGTAGTACCGTGATCACGGAAGTAAGTGAAAGACTTCCGGAAGGCGGACATATGCTTCGGAATAGACTCCCTAAATCTGGGGAAATAAGATTATGTCAAATAAATTTGAATTTGATTTGAACTTTGACCTGTTTAAGCTTCTTGAGATGTGTATGTAAATTCTTGTACATTTTCACGATTCTTGCCTTGTCGCGAGGCTGAAGCGCAGAGCATGTAAGGAAGTGATGCTACGACAATGAGGTCGGTGATGGCCATGAATCACTGTCCTCCAGGGAGTCCACTCAATTATAAGACTGTGTCCTTGTATTTGGCTGAGAGTTGGCTACCATTTCTGCAAGCAGCTTTCTCCTCTTCCCCACTCCAAGAATATGAACCCCGTTGAACATTTTGCTACACCAAGCAGTACAGACGCCCCTTCTTCTTATTTGCAAGGTGCCCGCTACGCTTGGTCTCAAATGGATCTTACCCCAGACCAATCAGTCATGTCGAACCCAGAAGAGGCCACCGAGACTGTGGCCCAGCACAAATTTGTTCGAGACTTGATACCAGGAGGCGATTTAATCCTCGCCGTTGGTCCCCACAGAACTCTCCTTAGAGTTGCGTCGGCCTTTCTGTGCGAGATATCGCCCGTCTTTGCAGTAATGTTTGGGCCGAACTTTGAAGAAGGCGATCGCTTGCGCAACCGACAGCCTGGAGATCCCGAAATGGTTCTCGAACTTCCCGATGACGACCCTTTAGCTTTCGACAACACGATCCTCGTGCTTTACGGGTCAGACCCCTCGACACAAGACTGTGACCCCGATGATATCCAGAAGATTTCGATTCTTGTTGATAAATACGACATGGTATCGCGCTTTGCCTTCGCTTCGGTGTACTGGTTTGCGAAGTATGCTTGGGCAGATGATCCTGAAGAGACGTGGCAACTCACAACTGCCGCTTACTGGATGCAAAACCCTGATGCTTTCTTTACTTTTAGTAAGAAACTTGTCAAGCAGCTACAACCTTCTCACTTGAGCTATGTCACAAGCATGCCCGACAAGGTGCTTGGGCTTCGCCTTTGCTGTAAGCCATCCACCAATTGTCAAATTTCCCTCCCTCCAACGCATGCTCAGCTGCCTGTGCGGGTCTTGTGCCATTCATGTTGACTCAAAACTAATTCTTGTCAGTGGCAATCGAAGAACAGCGTGTCCACAAGCTCGCGAACGAAGTTAAAGGAAAAGGTCTCTGTTTGTACTGTTTTGGCCGGACTAATCATGGGTTTACTTCGCGTGTCAAGGGGTGTAAGGATCGTAAATACCACTGATTCTATTGTTCTTTTTCGTGATTTAACTTCCGGGTTGCTTGCATTTGAGTCGTAAATTGTAATTGTTGTCGCTCGAAAGTATTTCCCGGTGATTATCCGAACACCCATGATACAGCAAGATCACAGCCTTCCCTTCATCAAAGGACATCGATAATTCATCAAATACGAGGCCATGAGTGAACCGCAAAGAACGGGGAGTCAAGGGCACTCCAGAAACAAATCCATCACCAAGAGTACGCCTCAAAATGATTCCCGTGGTCGACGTTGACGCTGCATGATGCGGGGCTTCTCATGTCTCCAAATGAACATCGTTAACATGAACGACACCGGTGCGACACGGCTAACTCTGTCTCAGCCCGACCGAGATCCTCTACGAAAGGACCTCTCGATCTTGATGAGTGAGTAAAACGTTACCGGTTAGGTTACGACCCGAGGTTGACACCTTGCTCACAGTGACCCGTTATTGTCACCTCAACAAGCGACCCCTCAGCGAGTGGTTACGCATCGCAATAGGATATCATCGCCACATCCGCGCTCATCTACAGCGACTCCAGTCTCACAACTGGGAGAGGCGAGACCTAAAGATTTTTCTTTTCTTCTAAGGCCAGAGATCTACCATCCTCTGACGCCTCTCAACGTCCCTGTCGCATTTCGCAACCCACAGAAGCAGCCCAATCCCGAGGCTCCCATTGAGGAGCTCCTTGCTAGCGGTCACTTCAGAGCAGCGGCTATTGCTGCTGTCCAAGAGCTCACAGGCTCTGGAGCCAGTGGGGGAATAAACCCCACGGATTCAAAGAGAATATTTGAGCTTCTTTACACTCGACTGGCATGCCTTACCCTTATTGATGCGACTCCCTTGGCTGCTCAGGAGGTCAAAGCCTTGGAAGACCTCAACGACATCAGGAGGTATGTAGACGAAACTACCGGGGAACATCTGGTACCCTGGGAACTTAGAGTTCTCAATGTACGTCTTCAGTCACTTGGCTTCGGCGATTATCGCCGAGCTGTCATGAGTTACCATGACCTGGCTCGCGAAGCTCGTGATCGTATCAGCAAGGCAGCAGCCCAACACGATAACTCCGCAAGAGAGCTCTGGAAAGCTCGTCTTTACGATCTTGGTATCCAGGTTGCCGGAGCTCTGATTGAGCTCGAAGACCTGACAGGCGCAGCGCATCACCTCAGCACCCTACGGGATCGAGGTGATGGCAAGATGGCACTCACCAAAGCACTTCTGTGGCTGCACCTGGGTGACGTAGAAAGCGCAAGGTCCTGCGCACGCCAAGCCATGGAAAACGATGAAAACGTCGAGAAGCTAATTTTGGCACTCTGTGATATGGCTGACGCAGAGTACGAGACAGCCCTTGAAGCGTGGAAGGAATTGAAGGAAAGTTTGGACGACGAGATGGTCGGCGTTAACACAGCCGTATGCTTGTTGTATCTTGGGCGGATACAGGAGGTATGTTTATCTGTGATACATGCGATGACCAGCGTACTAAACTTTCTTAGGGACGCGCAATATTGGAGGGCCTTGTGGATTCTGGCTTATCATCTCATACGCTGTTATTTAACCTATCGACTATGTACGAGCTGTGTACCGAGAGGCATAAGAACCTGAAGCTCAAGCTTACAGAGAGGGTCGCTGGCCTGGAAGCTTCGACTGCAGGCTGGGAAAAGACAAACAGCGATTTCAAGCTATAGTTATATAATCTGAACAGATATATCATTTACTTGAGTACCGAGATAGGCAGGCCCCAGGGAGCAAGAAAACTTATGATGCTAAAACAGGGTGCCAAAATCAACTGGTCTAAAAGCCTGCTAAGATGTACCTAACTTGCCTAAGTCATTTTCATCCCTTAGAATAGAGGCCCTAAATTTTATTGCGTCTTTTAGACGTGATACGTCAACAATACATCTTTTCTGAAGTGTACCAACCAATATTTCGAAGCCAATAGATGTATTAATGTGCAAAAGCCGCTGTTAGACCTCCTGAAATTTGGGTCTCAGTGAGCGTCAAACTCTCCCGAAACGTTTTCGACGAAAACAAAGTCCGTCGTGCTTGAAATCCAAACTCCGTGTCTTATTCGACGGCGCCTCTTCCACTCATCCAGTGAACTGAATGAACCGTAGTCATGCGTTGCATTTATAATAACTCCGTTTGCTTTGGAGACACTGCAATCGTAACTTGTCAAGCATACTTTGCAAGAACCACGAGGTGAGCGCCTTGGCTCCTGTTTCAAATCCTCAAATCCCGTTACATGGCGTATTAAAGACCATGATGCACCCTGTAACCTCCCAATGGGACGAGCGAGCGGCTTACGACCCATAAAGTCCAGGTGGTTGCAGATAGGGATGTAAACGTTCGAGCGCCAGGGCGACGGATCGAGGTTGGCGTTGAGGTGCCATTTTTCATGTAGGAGAAAACGACCACTTTGAATCTCGGGCGTGGCAGAGAAGCTCACGTATGATCCCCAATAGCTGCCGAAACATGACTTGTAATAAGGCTGCATAATCGGTACAAGTGCATCTCTATACAATTCCCCAAGGTGGTTATATTTTAGGGCAAGTTGAACGTGCTGGTGTTGAACATCGTAGCTGATCCAACTGCACCGATGGTTGATCGAGTTATCCCGGCACAGAAGGGGTATTACTGAGGTGGGGGGACGGTTGACCGTGTGAAGCTTACAGCACTGCCTGCAGAAATAGAGGTCCGGCAGTACGTATGCGAGACCAAGCAAGAAGTCGACTTTGCCTTCAACATTGGTGTTGGCCATGGTGCGGAAGTCCCTCTTCGCTAGGCGTTGCATGGTCTTGCAGGTCTGTGAAAGGAAGAACAAGGCGTGAAGCTCTGCGTGATCTAGGATGCACAGCATCACGTCAACTGGAAGTTCCAGCAGGCTACGGCTTCTAGAGTTGGTCGACATAATGGATAGCTGTGCTTCGAGTCGATGGAAGGATCCGGATTGACGAACTTGGACTAAAGGAACCTAAAGCTTACAAGAATTTAGATGGTATTTATTGCAGTGAGCCCTCAAAGTATAGGAATTTAGAAAAGGTTTTCTTATTTCTATATAAACTCTGGAGATCATTTCTTTGAGAAAGTGTGTAAACCCAGAAAGCTTCTCCACGAAGTGTAATTGGGGGCATGGTGCAGCTGGTACATTTCAGAAAAGAGGTATTAGATTGAAGCAGGACTCTGCGTATATAATCCGTTGAGATGATGACTGCCTCTATCTCAGTTCTGGAATGATAAATCTATACAGATTATACCGGAATTCAACCTAGGTATAAATTATGATCAAGGCTGATGTATCACGTCTTCAAGGAGCCAAAAAAAGCCTAGGACCTCCTCTCGAAGTGATAAAAAGACTTAGGTAACTTCAGGTACTGTTAGGCAATTCCACTGCGGGGATGGTGAATTTTTCGACTGGCTATTTTTGACAACCCAGGTCAAGGTCAGAATCTTTTTGCTCCCTGAGGTTATCCCCGTCAAGCCCGGAGCTACCCCACATACCGCCATTGAGCCTCGGCTCAAATACGTCGATCTCGTCGATCCCCAGGGTGATTAAAGGACCTGGATCTGGGGAAATGCCCATGAATTCTGGTCCTATTCATTATTCCAACAATTTACTTTAATGACCCAATAGAGCACCACGCAGTAAATCAACATGTCGGACCGTGTTAGTCAACTCGCTGGCCATCTCAACTACCCCAAAGGCCTACTCGCTGGTCAAGTAGCTATCATCACAGGCAGCGGCCAAGGAATCGGTGCAGAAGCAGCCAGGCTCTTCGCTAAAGAGGGTGCGAAAGTTGTTGTTGCAGATATCGATGCGGGTTAGTGGCCTTATTCTTTGCTCACAAAACATTGGTGTCTAACTCTAGCTCGAATAGAAAAGTGCAAGGCTGTTGCTGATGATATCAACAAGAATGGCGGCCAGGCTATAGCTGTGCCCGGAGATATTCTCAAGGCGGAATATATCAATGATCTGATCAAGAGAGCTGCAGACTTTGGCGATGGAAAGATCAATATCATCGTCAATAACGCGGGCTATACCTGGGATGGTGTCATTCACAAGATGACAGACAAGCAATGGGACACCATTCTCGCTCTTCACTGTACTGCCCCATTTACTCTCGTCCGAGCGGCGGCGCCTTATTTCCGCGTCCGCGACGGCGCTCCTCGTTGCATCGTCAACATTTCATCTACATCTGGAGTGCATGGCAATGCGGGACAGCTCAATTACTCTCTTGCAAAGGCGGGTATCACAGGCTTCACAAAGACGATTGCAAAGGAGTGGGGTCCCTCCTTCGGCGTGAGAGCGAATACTGTTGCCTTTGGACATATTCTCACAAGATTGACGGCGGCCAAAGAAGACGGTGCGTTCGTTACTGGACCAGATGGTGAGAAGATTGCATTGGGTATCCCGACGAAACAGAAGGAGGCGGCAGGTGATAATGCCCATGCAGATATTCCGCTGAGGAGAGCTGGTACTGCAACTGAAGCTGCGAGCGCTGTTCTGGCTGTAGCGAGTCCATTGTTTTCGTATGTATCAGGCCAGACCATCATGGTCACTGGAGGTCGTAATATGTAGAGTATATCCAGGCGGCGAGTTAGATAGGACTCCTGGATCAGTCGAGGAGGACATCAATTGATGAAGAAACGTGGTATTAGATTAAACGGTACTATACTTCCCCAAACGCCCCCATCCAACAAGATGTGTCCCTTTTGTGCATGTCATTCCCATTCTTAGACCTTGAGCCACAGGTTGAAGACACCCTGGGCATACTGAACAATCTCATCACCACCAAGCTTGCTCTCTCCATAAAGACGATCGACGAAAGAGATGGGAACCTCAGCGACAGTGCATCCCATAGCCTTCGCTCGCACCATAAGCTCCATCTGGAAACTGTATCCCTTGCTCTCAGTGCTAGCAATAGCCTTCTCTAGCGCAGCACGCTTGTACAGTCGGAAGCTGCCCGTGAGGTCACTCACGCCAGGGCGGAGGACAGTATCGGCGAACAAGTTGGCACCACGGCTGACGAACTTGCGCTTGAGATCCCAACCGAAGACACCACCGTTTCCAGCGTAGCGAGTACCCGTGACGATATCGTAGTTGCCCTTGGCCTGGAGAGCGACCATCTCGGGGATGAACTTGGGGTGGTGGGAGAAGTCGGCGTCCATGATGATGACAAAGTTGCCGGTGACGAACTTGAGACCGTGGACGTAGGCTGTTCCGAGACCGAGTTTGCCAGCGCGGGGCTTGAGGACAACGTGGGGGGAGTAGACCTTGACGAGCTGCTGGGCAACTTCTTGGGTTCCATCGGGGGAGCCGTCGTCGACGATGATGAGTTCCCAATCGAGGTTGCTGTTCGGGTTAGCCTTTCGCCCTTTGAAACTGTGTGTAAGAAGAGACTAACTTCTCAGTAAAGGTACGGTTCAACAACCAGGTAATGATGGGCAGGTTCTTGCGCTCATTGTAGGTTGGCAAGATAACCGAGTACTTGTTCGTGTTTGCGACCATGGCGGGCTTAGAAGGGTATCGTTTCGAAGAAGGATTTTAAATGAGAAAGCGACCTGAAGAGAAGAAAGATCAAAGTTCGATCGCGAACGACAAAATGAGCGTGGGAAATTTGGGGAATCGCGTTTGTTGGATGTCTTGTCGTTATTCGCGTCAAGCCACTCTCAGGGGACACCTTGAAGCTGGCGATTGGGGATGGACAGGGGTGACTAAGCTCACGATGGCTGCCCCTGAATTGGTGGTGGCTGTGCACGACTTGCTGTGGCTGGTGAGTTACAAGCTCTGGTCTGGCCGATGCCGATCTGCTAACATGGATGATTTTGGACCATGACATGACTTGCAGGTTGCAGGGCTCGCGATTGTCAATTCTGCGTCATGCTCGTCAGCTTTTGAAACAGCAGAGGCTTTGCTGGTCGCTTGAGGTCTTTTTGTTGGGTCATCGACCGATTATTCAATATTAACCACGGCTTATTGTTGTTGAACAAGAACGTTTCCTTGCATCACTGGACATTTACTGTCTGGTACTGAAGACAGAGCCTCTTTACGTCTTCACCAATCTCGCGTCCACTTCCCCGGCAAAACCAAGTACCGGTACTAAGCCCATCCTGTGTCTCACTGGTTCCGGCGGTCCACCCCTCAAGTCCTCTGTTTTCCAGATCGGTGGCTTACAATTGAAGCTTGTGGTTCCTTCGAGGAGCTCCCGACCCACCAAAGCTCCCTCTTGGTTCCCCGCAAAGCACGCAAACGCCAGCTGGGAAAAAAGGACTAGGAACTGGGATCCTTGACCCAGAGACCAAAAGCCAATCCGAGATGACGACCAAGTCCGTCCCGATCTACAGAGTTCACACCGTCAAGTACGGGTGTTCCTTGGGCTAACCTCACAGTCCACAGAGTCGCAGTCGAGTGACGAAAGGGCGCTTTTCCTTGGCCCAATGCGTGCTATGCGTTCTCCTCTTCCAATTCCCTTGCTCATCCCGTCCAAGTATCTCGTCACTCGTTCCCCGCGGGCGAGGGACCTCGATGCTGTTTGTGCGCCCTCCGCCTCGGCCTCGGAGCTACCCATGCCTTACCAATTTGCTTCTGGCTTCTCTCTCTGTGTCTATGCTGCTTCTGTTTCTCGGCAAAGTGAGGTAGCTGTGGATGGACATGGCTTTGTGGAACCGACCGTCGTGACTTGCCTCGTGCCTTCCTCTGCCAACCTCACTCCCCTTCTTCGTGTCTCGTTCCCCGACTTTGACCTCCTTCCTACATCAACATTGTGAAGCTTCCTCACTCTTGTAGCCTCAGAAATTATCGCAAATATCTCTCGTATCCATTATCGACTTCGCCGTGTCGCGCAAAAACACGCTTATAAGCTAGAGTCAACTTGCGACAGCAATTGTTACGTCATCATCATGTCGGACGGAATCGCTCCAGCTATAGACAAAGGTATGTCCCATCGCCAGCCGTCTCAATGGCCTCGTTTCCATCGCGTCTGATGCAGCGCTTCGCAATTGACATGTTCGCCATGGCTGTTTCGACCTCCGTGGCTCACCACTGCGCTTATACACGGAATTCTGAGCTGATATGCCCTAGTCGGCGCACCTGAACCCACGGCCCCCGAGGCCGAGGCCGGCGCTCCCACTTTGGACACAGCGACAGCTCCTTCGGAGCCCGCCAAGCCGGAGGAGACCAAGCCAACTGACGGAGCCGGTGGTCTCCGCGCCCCGCCGAAGCCCGTCGAGGTTGCGTCTGTGCCAGAGACACCCGTCAACAACATGACACCCGCAGGTGGCACTCCACGACCCGTGCTCAACCTCGAAGAAGAACCAAAGGAAACGCCAAAGAATGAGGATGAGAATGCGTTCATCACTGATGCTCCAACTTCGGCGCCTGCTGTCTCCGCCCCAAAGGATGTCCCTATGACTGACAATGCTGCGGACGACAAGCCCGCGGGCATCAACGGCGCCAGTAAGCCTGAAGTCAACGACATCGCCGAAGCGGCTGCAGGCGAAAAGCGTAAGGCTGAGGAGCCTCTTGCCGCTACCAACGGCGCATCCGCCCCCGATGCGGCAGAGAAGTCGGAATCGGAGGTGCGTGCCGAGAAGAAGGCTCGCGTTGAAGACGTCGCAGATGAGCCGACCGCCACTGAGAATGCTTCGCCAAACGGTAAGCACGAAAACGGGAAAGCTGCGAAGAAGGACAAGAAGGCCACCCCGGTTGCTGGGAAAACGGCACGCAAGACGCGAAGTCAGGGTCCTGTTGAGGTTTAGCAGCAATGCGAAATGACAGGCTTTTCCTTGATCTATCATGATGGTTTATGAATGCTGCGGCACATAAGTTAGGGGTGGGACGGCGAAAATGGCGGATGGGAACGGGAAAAGGAACATCATCCCGAGATCTGCCTGGTTCAAGGATTTGTGGGTATATTTGTGCGTCAGGTAGTAAACATTGTTTGCATTTGCCATTTCATTAATTATACAGTGCTCTATTGATTAGGATGCTCTATCAGCGACTGTTTCTGCCGTGATATTGTTGTGCCAGACCGATAGCGCTGGCGGTCCTCATTTAAGCTAAGCCCAACCAAGCACCGAAGACCCATCCATTGTTTCCTCCGTCGTAGCGGCAATTTCGGGGATCCGCCTCGGAGAAGTGGAGTAGGCTGTGAACGTCAAGGCCGGGATATAACATTCCCTCGTCGATTGCTGGGTTTTGAATCGTTTCATGATAGTTCGTCAGAGCGAAGTGAATATTTTTTTATCTGCTGGTTGCTGTGTTTATGATAATCGTGAATGAACTGAGTCGTGCTGAGCTGAAAAGGAAAGAGAAGAACGGAAGCATGAAGAGATGTCTCAACAAATTGGTACCGAACAACCTTATTATTGCTGAAGCTTTGTAGTAATTCTTGTGATGTACTTTGTTGAACTAATGCAGTCGATTTCTGATGTTGAGATGATAGAGGGGGGAAAAGAGTTGTGTAAATGACTTGAGAAAAAGAAGATTCTTTGTAGCCACTTCACTCTCCAGTGTCCAAGACTGATCAAATATTGTCGCCCACAAATTTTATACCGGTTTTGGATTGACACCTAACTCCCAAAAGTGTCATCTTGTATGAGATTTAGTACCAATAGCACTGCACAAAACCAAGATAGAGATCGATCCTCTCGGCAACCTCAGCCTCTGGATCTCCGCGTTTTCCATATACTGTAAACAAGAGAACACTAGCTGCAGTCAGCGGCATCACAGTCAAGAACTGCAAAGGGGGCCTTGGGTTCGAAGATGGCCAGAATATACAGGGTGAATATTTCCCCTCATCGATTGCGACAAGCATGTTTCCGAATAATAGGAGCATAATCAGTCATTTAATGGTATATCTACCAGGTATGAAGCAGGAGTAATGTGAGAAGATGTAATGAGACCGCAGTTCTTTGTATCATGCATTTGTGTATTCAGGACGCTCCCCTTCAAAATAGCGAAGATTTTGACAAAGTCTAGCGGCTTCTTCGGGCCGTTCCGGTGCACCGGCAGCCTCATTCGTTATCTTAGCGAAACCAATCTAAGTCTTTTAATGGCCGGCCATCGAGATCTCCGTGATTCTGTCACGCCAATGTTCGACAGGATACACGACCTTGACACCGTTTGCCTCGAGTCTTTCCTGTCCGTCATTGTTTGCAATAAACGTTCCGGGTTCCCTGATCCCCACATAAACAGTCTTGATAGCGCCTTTGAGTCTCAAGATTCTGGTCGCGCAAGTCATGTTGCCGCTCAGCCTCTCATTGCAAGGTTCCATGGTTGTGTACAGCACAGTATCTGGTGGAAGGACTTCATGTATGCGTTCCTCGGGAAGGTTGTGCTCGTCGGCGATCTTGATAAAACAACATTGCTCTGCGTGTGTGGTACCCGGATCTCCTTTGTAGTCTCTCGGATATTCAAGCGAGTACCCTGTCGATAAGACCTTGCCTTTGGCTGCATCTACAAGTACAGCCCCGACGCAGAACTTGTTGCCAGCCGGTGGCGACCTTTTGGCTTGAGTGAGGGCAAACTCCATGAAAGCTTCATGGTCGCCAACTTCGAACGTCGGATTGGTCTCAGAAGCCATGGCAAGTGAAAAAGAGGCGATAAATGAATAATCTCTTCGGCGAACTAAGGAGACACAAGTCAATCTTTTCACTCTTGACATATATGTCATGCGTGATTTTTCAAGATAAACATGGGTTCGTATCTTGATCTTTGGGCTGTTGGTTCTGTGACAGGTAGCATCGGCGGTTATGACCGTCATCTAATTGGTGGTTGATCGTTCGTGGGAAAGGCTGACGGCGTGACTTGAGCGCAAGATGTTGGACATTCTTATATTTGGCATCGGATAGAATCCTGTTGGAAATTATCATTTAGAGTATCGTACTTGGTAATTAGCCCCTCTGCGTACAGATGGATAGAGCCGCGACCCTTTGGATCAGTCCGAATAACGAAAGTTGACGCCCCACGCACTGATGCACATCAAGTTTCATGGGCTACAATGGTTAAGTCTCATTCCTAAACAGCTATTTTAAAAAAAGCGTCAATCCGCTCCGATCCGGTTGCTGACTGTGGCAGTTAGTTCTTTCGAAAGCAGCGGCGCTCAAAGCCTGACCTGCATCCCAGCAACTCCACAAGCAGTCGCGACTCGACCAAGGGCTTGAGGAGCCTGTTTCCTTTGTCAAAGTCGCAGTCCAAGACGTCAACAACCTTGGACGAGCAATTAAAGGTCGACAAGGGACCGATTGGACTAAATCTCCTGTATTGCCCAACAGAGCCCGAGATCGACCTCATCTTTGTTCATGGATTGGGCGGCAATTCAAGAAAGACATGGAGCAAGTCGTTCGCAGACCAGTCTCACTTCTGGCCCGAGGATTGGCTCTCCCAGGACCCAGCATTCAGAAATGTACGTATTCATAGCTATGGGTATGACTGGTACTATTTGAAAGGTAAGGAGGACTGCTTGAATGTTCATCACATTGGCAAGTCATTGCTGGGTGCGATCAGCATTGCGCCATGTATTGCTAATTCCAAGACCTACATCATCATTATCGGGCACAGCATGGGCGGACTGGTAATGAAGAAAGCATACATCTTGGCGAAGCAAGATGCAGAACACAAAGCGCTGGCTGGACGTTTTGCCGCTTTCTATTTCCTCGCTACGCCACATCGTGGTGCCAACTCAGCAAAGATGCTCAAGAACCTGCTCAAGATCGCGTATGACCGTGCCTATGTTGGCGACCTGGAGCCGAACTCTGAAGCAGTTCAAGTGATCAATGATGAATTTCGTCACTTCTCGGCTGACCTTGAGCTCTGGTCGTTTTATGAAACAGAGAACATGAAATACTTCAGCTCACTTATTGTCGATCCTGAATCAGCCGTCCTTGGATACCGTGGAGAGAAGCAAATACCAATGACTGCTGACCATCGTTCAATATGCAAGTTCGACACACCTCAGGATTCGAATTACTTACTCCTAAGAGACTCACTTGCCTCGACAGTGAGCAAAATCACTACGGCAATTCCGGAGAAGAGGCACGAGACGATCAAGAGCCTCAGGAATTACCTACAAGTCTCCGATATGTTGGACGATGATCTGGAAAACGTTTGCGAATCCCGGATGCACGGATCGTGCGAGTGGATTTCGAACAAAGACAATTACATCAAATGGAGGGACGGCGAAGAAGGAGATGGCAGAACGTTGTGGATCAAAGGCAGGCCTGCAACTGGGAAATCCGTCCTGGCTGGCTACGTTGTCGATCAGCTCAGGGAGTCTGGTCAGGCTTGTAGCTACTTCTTCTTCAAACACGGAGACAGGTCCAAGGCTTATCTGGGCCGTTGCCTCCGACGTCTGGCCTTTCAGATGGCGGCCTTGAACGCTGAAGCCAGTGATACCATTCTCAAGATGCAGGCGGATGGTATTTCTTTCGATGGCGTCGACGAACGTACACTCTGGAGGATCCTGTTTCTTTCTGGTATCTTTAGGGTTCCCATGGCTCGGCAATACTGGGTCATCGATGCCTTGGATGAGTGCTCAAACCCTCTGGTGCTTTTGAAGGCCATTCTCCCTACCATGGATGAGTCCATACCACTGCGAATTCTAGTCACAAGTCGAGATACGGTCGAGTTAGATCAAGGTTTCGCGGCCATCCCACCAAACATGGTCCAGATTCTGCCAGTATCGATAATGGATACACAATCAGATCTCAGACTCTTGATCGAAAGTCGGAGCCAGGCCTTAGCAATAGCGAGACCTCAGGATCGAAGCGCACTGGCTGAGACGATTTTAGATAAATCGAGAGGGTCTTTCTTGTGGACTATTTTGGTCATCGAAGAACTCCAACGCTGCCACAGTAGAAAGGAAATCCACCAGATTCTTGAAGACGTGCCAAGGGGCATGAAGTCACTATACAAGCGGACTCTCGATTACATGTCACAAGTCAGTCGAGGAAAGGAGCTGGCCAAAACCATTCTAGTTTGGGCAGCATGTGCGGTTCGGCCAATGACTATTGGTGAGCTAGATGGTGCTTTGACCTTGGATATCCACGACTCGTTCCCGAACTTGGAGGAGAGCATCGCAACGCTCTGCGGTCAGTTGGTGATTGTTGATAAGCAGGGGCGAGTTAATATGGTGCATGAAACAGCCAGAGAATTCCTCGTATCTGGTGGATTGGAGTCTGAGTTCTCCATTGACGTAACTCAAGCCCACACTCGAATGGCTGAGGTGTGTCTGAGTTACCTCGTCGGGGATGAAATGAAGCCTCCAAGGAACAGGCGTCGCCGATCTTCGGCGAACTTACCAACAAGACAGTATTTCGCCATCTATGCATACACAGCATACTCATATCATCTGTCAAAAGCTGATTCGTTGGCGGCAGGGACATTCCAGCTTGTCACACAGTTCCTGAAATCCAATGTACTCACTTGGATCGAAACGATTGCCGAGTGCCAAAATCTCACACAACTCATTCGTGCCTCTAAACATCTCAAGGTCTACATGAATCGGTGTATCGTTGAACGCTCACCGCTGGACCCTCAGATGCGGGCACTACGGCAATGGAGCATGGATTTTGCTCGGATTCCCGCCATGTTTGCAAACGCCCTCACGGTATCACCCTCAGCAATATACTCATTAATACCTCCATTCTGTCCTACTGAGTCCATGATATACAAAGTCGGGGGTTCAAACCAGAGGCTCGCAGTCCTTGGTGCGTCCAATGAGCAATGGGATGATAGAATATTATGCATCGATTTCCGTAAGGGTCAACTAAGGGCTTTACGCTATGGAGACGGGTTTCTAGCCATCGCACTTATCTCAGGGACAGTCATACTGTATTATGCTGCATCCTATCAGGAGTACAAGGCCGTTGAGCATGGCTAATCTGTTAATTTCATTGCCTTCAAGACTGGATCCGACCTCATGGCAACCTGTGGTAACAAGACAACCAAGATCTGGGACATCAGAACAGGGCAAGTGGTCCACAGCCTCGTGAGCCCGCCGCGTCCGCTGAGTATGGAATTCGATGGAGATATGCTCGTTATTGCAAGTCGCAATAACTGCATGGATACTTGGATATTGGGTCATAACGTCCAACCCGAGTCGGTGCGGAGACCATGGGGCGATGCCAATACACCAGAGACGAACCGAATACCTCTGCGCGGGGTTCCGTGCGCCCTAACCCTCTCTATCAGCCATGGTATGCTTGCTGTCGCCTATAATGGACAACCCATTATTCTATGGGATATGGAAGAGGACACTTATGCCGGTAACTGCGGAAAGAAGCTCTCAAGTGGGGAGACATCCACGCATGTCGTCGTAGCGCTTGCGTTTAACCTCAATCCCGACATAGGCCTTCTTGCAGTCGCATATCTCGACGGTGATCTCGCCCTCCTTGACCCTTATACCGACCGACAGCTGGAGTGTTTTCGTGCCAACTGCCAAACCCTCGCCCCAAGCCCCAATGGACGTTTTCTTGCAGCAGGTTGTGCCAATGGAATTATCCATGTTTACGAATTTGATACGTTTAAACTCCTCTATAGGGTCAAGTCAAGCAACTCATATATCAAGCAACTTGCTTTCTCCAAGGACAGTATGCTACTTGCCGATATACGAGGTAGTCAGTGCACTGTCTGGAAACCTGAGGCACTGTTGCGGGAGTCCCTGAGCGATGACAGCAGTGGCCTTACTTCTGCGACATTAATTGAGACGGTCTCCCTGGAGGCGAAAGCGAAGGTCACTTGTATGGCGGTCCATCACAAGTCTACGGTCATCTTTTGTGGGAAGGATGATGGGTCAGTCGTGCTCTATGAGCGAAAAACAGCAGTAAGTTTGGGGATCCTCTACAAGCACAAATCTCCAGTTCGTTTGTTGGTTTGGATTGAAAAAAGAGATGCCCTCCTCAGTGTCGATGCTTCCAATCGGATTTTTTCATACAGGATCCAAAAGTCAACGGACAAAGGCTGGCTCACTGATCCAGTAGTACTCTTCAAGACCCGCCTCGACTCTGAGAAGGCAATTACAGATGTCTCAATAGGAGAAGCCGCGGCCAAGTTCCTGGTGTCAACTCGTGAGTCTGATCATCTGTTCGACTTGAATGACGGCAAGAGTGAGATGGAGCGAACATATCCCCAAATACCAGGCACCCGGAAATGGTTCCCTCATCCGCAATCCTCCCAGCATCTGATCTGCGTAGACAATGTCAAAATATGCGCCCACAACTGGTGCGACTTGACTGAAGTCTCTTCAATGAAATTTTTATTGGACGACCAGACGGGAGAACTTACAAATGCGACCTTGTATTCACTTGGTCAAAAACACAGAATCATGCTCCATTTGGCGCATCCAAGAAGTTCCATAAAAACCAACAGAATTGCTATCATCAACTTGGACCGTCTTCCTGTCGAAGGCAGCGACCCTAGCTTCTCACAAAGGAAGCAAACATATGCTCTGGCGACGTTTGATCAATCTACCACTGATGACGACAAGGGAGATGTTGTCAAGCCGTCAAACCTGGCCGCTGCACTTTGTTCAAGTGTGACTCAATTCGAACTCAATATTGCTCATGTCATAGGGGTCGATGACTCAAGCAAACTCATGTTCCTGAACCAGTCTTGTTGGATATGCTCCGTTGATCTCAGCGCCAGCGGGTTGGAGATTACACAGCGTGAAGACGAATCTTCGATAGCAGTCTTTGAGCACTTTTTCATTCCGCACGACTGGTTTGCTGGGAAAAAAGACATTGTTTGTACCTTAGCAAAGGGAGATGTTGCGCTAACTCGGGGCGGCGACCTGGCAGTAATCCGGGGTGGTGTTGAGTATAACGAGGCCGCATTTCGTACGGTGGTCTGGACTGCGACGTAATCTATTCAGGCTCAGATCTCGAATGTTTATCTGATAAGATATCTGCAAAGCTGCTGGTTTAAATTCTAGTCTCTCTGCGTAGCACAAGATGAGACCACCAGCCAAGCTATAAGGGGCTTTGGCTCAGTTAATGGGGTGAAGCTCCATCAGTCTACGAGTCTGTCTGTGTTGTATCGTCTCTCACTTAAGGTCCACGGCTACAGCTCTCGCAGTTGCGTCTCATAATGCATCACGGCGCTTTCTTCTCTACAAGAGTATGGTCATCGGCCACAGAACCATGTGTAACTTTGGACGAGGAGAGATGCTTTACTAGGCCCCAATCATAGCTCTACTATGGTGCGGCTCCCTTCATGATAATAGCCAGCCACTCAGAACGTGACACGGTGATTAATACTTTCTCTTTTTGAGTTCTGTTTGTGAATGCAGAGGCGTACTGTTTATATACCAAGAGATGCAAGATAAGCTTGCGAAACTCTGATCTTGCGAGGTCAAGCATTTGGGATATGAATCTCGAGTTAGTGCCCTCGCATCTGTGTTGAGTTTTATCGGACAATACTTCAAGTGCCCTTCAATACTTCTGGCTTACTTTACTTCCCCATTGCTAGGCTCTCATTCGCAACAGACACATCCAACCGTCCATCACTCCTCACCGAAAATACATCACCCACCTTTCAAGCTTCTTTGATCTGAAGATGGACTATTGAAGAGTATTTTCTTTTGTTCTCTTTCTCGAGGAAGCTCCAAAGTTTCGTCATACCTTCGGCTAAATCTATTCAAAGGAAAGTCATACTTGAATCAAAGAGAGACGGAAGTGCATCTTGCTGTCGAATATCATGACCTTCAATGTCTGATGTCGAAGCTTGTTTCCTACTTCACGCGGGCTCATTTGTCAACATCTCACCGAGGCCTTCAATTTCCCATGATACAGTTGATACTCTAAAGAAAGAAGCAATGCGATCACTTCTCAGAATTGCCTAGTAATGAAGGATCCAGGGCTATGAAGATATTGACCGCAGACTCTCATCAAGCATATTGGTGAGGCGCGGAGGATTCCGTAGTCATAAGACGGGCAATGCCAGTGGATGAGAACTTAGGTCAGATTCTGGCTAAATTTATCTGCATTATAATATAGGGCTGAATAAGCTTGGCTGATCATCCAACCTCTTGTCTTGGATGTCGGACTTGAACTTGTTGACTTCCAAGGATATCTCCGCCCAAAATATACTTTTATCACATTGCAGTCGCCAAGATGCTTCAAATGTGAAAATAAAATGTATTGCTTGGGAAGCCGATTTCTTCAGGTCACAAACTTTCATGGGAAGTAAAGGAATTATCTTAGGTGTCAGTCGGCTCTGTATACATGCCATGATCAAAAGCTTTTTCTTAGAGATCAAACCCATGAATTTGGCCAGAACATGGCCAGAACGTAAGAGACTCAAGTTACGGCTCGCCCTCCTCCATCATCGTAAGGCGTTGCCGCTTACATCTTAAGATTAAGCTTTACTATGGTAATGAGGAAAAGATGCGGGATTGAAGGGATTCCCTCTTATTGTATAGGTAGGCAGCCCTGCATTAAGTTTTGACATACTCTATCGATTTAGGTAACATGATCACCCAATAGTCAAGATACAGGAGACAATAAAACTTAGGATATCTATCCTAAGTGGCAAAAAGACTTAGTTAAACTCGGTATATTTAGCTTAGACTATAAGGTCAGAAGTTTTCCTGCCCCCTGAGGGTAAGTCAATATCTTTGTTGTCAAGTAAGAAGCTTTTTATCATGGTTTGTACGCAACACGCCTCTGGTATGACTCTATCTATGAAGTTTATCATCATTTAACTTTTCCATTCACAACTTTGAGATGTTTTCACTTTACAGAAGTGGCCTCAAGAATCATATAAAAGGGACGATAGGCCTCATGATTTAACCGACACACTTCGACCTTTTCCTTTTCTCAAGCCGGGCCAGCGCGACACTCGATTCGGAAACATCAATCATCAGTCGTTTGCTATCCTCCAACCACGATACTCAAGATGGGTGTACAGTTAACGATCGCCGTCGCTGCACTCTCTGTGCTGATTCGGCTGATAGGCATCTACGCCAAATCCTTTCTCAAGCGTACAGGCGATCCAGGGACGCATACATTGTTGATACTTGCCCAATATCCGACCCTCTTACTCTATGAGCTGCTGATGCTTGATAACCCAGTTCCAGCTATCCCCTCTGACATGCGGCCGATCGTCCGCTTCTTTTACTACTTGTTCCACGAGCAATGCATCATCCTCTATCTGCAAGACTTGGCCATTCGTTTCACGGTTAACGGAATCCTGGCATTACAGAAGAGGAGCTGGTCGCCATTTGTCAACACAAGCCGACCATTAGACAAGATGACGCGAAAGCAAATTGCAAAAATTGTTATCTTCGACGAAGTTATGCTCTGGGCCTTGACTGCTTTTCATATCTCTCATCGCACATACCGTGATCAGAGTGCTTGGGACAGAGTTCAATTTCGTCTTGAGGACGCCATGGGTTAAGACAACAAGACACGGTAGAAGATGAAAGGCTAACAAAGCAACAAAAGGATACTCAATACTCGTCCCCCAGAGAAAAATACGAGAGGACATAATATAGCTTCGGCAATGTTGATACAGACTACCTATTTTTCTCAACTTTTGCCGTTTCTTGAGAATGTTTGCCTCAGTGAGCAAGAAAACTTCTGTACACTAAACTTAGGTACGAAAATTTTGTTTTAAATCTTTTCATCACTTAGGATAGAGATCCTACCTACTTAAGTTTCTTACTCATAAGGGTACCACAGCTGCGTACCTTAGCTAACGTACCTCGGATGAGGCTTCGTGTAATCGCACACGTCACGTGGCCACATCACGAAGAAAAGCTAGAAAAGAGAAAAAATGTTTTCTTTTTTGTTGGTTGTTTCAGAATTGGGAACAAGCTTTGGTAGCTCGACGGGCCACTCGGCACATAAAACGTGCGATATTTTTTTTGGGGACTTTGGGTTTCCCGATTTGACACGATTTGTTTTCCCAATTGCGATCGGGTTGCGTGTCGATATGTCATTGAGCATGAACTATTTTACTAACTTGTAAGTGGCGAGTCGGGCGGGTAAAAGGGCCTTGGTACTGGGCATCGATCAAGATCCCATCTGGTTTTTGTTTTGTTATGGGGAAAAGGGCGTGAGAATGAGAATGAGTGAGAATCAATAAATGAATGGTAAGGCGGTTGAGGCGCAAGCGTCAGAAACTGCAAGATTAATTAATTGTTTATTATCATTCATGCCACTCAATCCATGTCAGGAACAATGCATGACATGTCTCTTCAAGGCCGCCTTGAAAGTCAATAACGAAGAGAGCAAAACAGATCGACGTCGTAAGAAGAAAGCGTTGTAACGCAGATCGATCGCCAAAACTTTGACATCAACCGTTTGGCCAGCAAAGTGCCAGTGCCAGCCAGAGACCATCCCATCACTTTCCCCTTCTGGAAGAGCAAGTCTGTTGGAATGTTCGTATTCTCAGCGTCTTCGAGACGCCAAAAATTCATGTCCCAGGGGATCCATCCAATGCAGGGGCAAAGGCCGAGAGGGCGTGGCGTACCCAGAAGCTTGAAGGAGGGAGACGATTGGCTGACAGGGGTCTCCCGGCCCGTGCTACGGTTGAAGAGGGTCCCCACTGCAGCGGGTCGGGAGGCGTCAAAAATAGAACTTGAGAGTCTGAAGCTGGGTCTTGGACTTCTTGGTGAGGTCTTATCCCCACGGAGGCCGCGTGCCAGGGTAAACAGTTCTACCTAGTCCGTACGGAGATGGTATGAAGACTTTAAGAAGTAGGTAAATAATCAGTAATATTTCTAGGAATGAGAATGATGGTGCTGTTGGCATTTTTAAGTGGTCGTCAACTGACACTGTTGATCACAGGTCTCGATCATTCTATCATGACTAGCGCTTGGTTGAGCATCTCTAAAACAGGGGACTTTTTATTGGCTTCATTCACTTGCTCACTCACCCTCACGCTGCCACATTGATGCATAATGGATGCCAAGCTTTTTCTATTGATGGCTTCCCCCAAAAGAAAAAAACTGTCTAGAGTCTACCCCCATGATAATAGGATCCATCCCATGTCAGTGTCATGGCTCCTTAGTTCTTAGTCTTGTCTTAGTCCGAATAGAACCCACCCCCAGCCCTACTTTTACCCTTCTTTACCTTTACCTCCTTCTTTACTTTACTCTACCATAACATCGCATCTCTCCGTATCATCGGACCTTATTCAATTCCTTTGTTTTCTTTCCTTTTATCTTATCCCCATCATCGTCGCCTGTCCCTGAGTGACGCCATATTCCGATCGCTTCGCCCCCTTTTGGCGCCTCGTCCTTTCGCTCACGGGCCTTCCCGACTAAGCTTCTTTTACGACACAGCGACTCTCGTTTATTAAGGGTTCTTTGTTTGCGACGATTGATCTGTCAAGTGGCGCCTGACCTCGAGTATCTGCATCTCTTCAGTCGCCCCTATAGTCTCGCCCTCATCAGCTCTTATCTTGTCTGCGATCCATCCTTTGGACCCCTGCGAATACGAGACTATCCCCCATCTGAACGTCAATCTCGACTCTATACACGTGGCCGACAACAATAAAATCGGAGAGCTCGGGGAAACGTCGTCGCGCCATAGACTTCAGTGCCATTAGACACCTGAGATAAGCTTCAACGTCTTCGCCCATTGGCGGAGCTCTTGCGCCCGATATGGATTATACAGCCCACCTCTACGGTCGGCAGCAAGAAGAGGATACTGGCAAGCAATTGCTCGATCTTCTTCAAGAGCCCTTCAGTCAACAGGTATATCCCGACGCATGATATCACAAGTTTCCATCCCTGCTAACGCCGTCCGTCAGCTTCAAGCTGCCTCGCTGTATTCAGCTTTAGCCACGTCGATCCCTATCACAATCGGCATCGCCATCATCTTTTCGATCCTACGACCATACCATCAGGCCATTTATGCCCCCAAGTTGAAACATGCCGACGAGAAGCACGTACCTCCGCCTATAGGAAAGGCCCCATGGTCGTGGATCACGACATTATGGCAGACCAAAGAAGAACAGCTTGTACCATTGATCGGTATGGACGCCACTGTCTTCCTGCGCTTCGTTCGCATGTGCCGTAATATGTTCCTTACCTTGTGTGTCACTGGTGTTGGTATTTTACTCCCAATCAACTACACAAAATGGAAAGAGTACAAGGGTGATAAAACAGCCAACTGGGTTCTGAATATCACCCCCCTCAATGTATTTGTTCCGGCAATTTGGTCCCAGGTCATTATCGCCTGGTGCTTCAATTTCATCGTCATGGGCTTCCTTTGGTTCAACTATAACAAGGTTCTTCAGCTCCGGCGCAAGTATTTTGAGAGCGAGGATTACCAGAAGAGTCTTCACTCTCGAACTCTGATGGTAAGATCAGAAAAATCTACTACCAGATAGCGGTTACTCACACACGATTGCAGGTATTCGACATCCCCAAGAAGGGCTGCTCCGACGAGGGCATCGCAAGAATTATCGATCAAATTGCCCCCAACTCATCTTTTGCTCGAACCGCTGTTGCCCGAAATGTTAAGGAACTTCCGGAGCTTATCGCGCAGCACGACCACGCTGTTCGCAAGCTTGAGAAGGTCTTGGCTAAGTACCTCAAGGACCCCAAGAACGTCCCAGCTGCTCGACCCATGTGCAAGCCCTCCAAGAAGGACCGATCTTACGGAACTTATCCCCGAGGCCAAAAGGTGGATGCTATAGAATACTACACCCAACGAATTCGTGATCTCGAGATTCAAATCAAAGAAGTACGCGCCACGGTAGACAAGCGAGGCTCGATGCCTTATGGTTTCGCGAGTTACGCGGATATTGCAGAGGCTCACGGTATCGCCTACGCTTGTCGTAAGAAGAAGCCTGTCGGTGCCACAGTCAGACTCGCACCTCGGCCCAATGATATCATCTGGGAGAACATGCCTCTGTACAGCAGCACTCGAGGACGAAGACGGTGGATCAATAACTTCTGGATCACTCTTCTGACTCTTATCTGGATTGTTCCTAACCTTGGTATTGCCATCTTTCTCGTTAACTTGCAGAATCTGGGCAAGGTTTGGCCTGCTTTCAGAACCGAGCTCGCTGCCCATCCTAAGGTGTGGGGTGCTATTCAGGGTGTTCTCTCTCCGGCGATCATGTCCCTGACATACCTCGTTCTGCCTATGATCTTCCGTCGACTCTCAGTCAAGGCTGGTGACCAGACCAAGACTGGACGAGAAAGGCACGTTTTGGCCAAGCTTTACTTCTTCTTCGTCTTCAACAACCTTCTTATCTTCTCCATCTTCAGTGTCATCTGGAGTTTCGTGTCCAACGTTGTCAAGGATACGACCGGAGAAGTCAAGCAGGATGTGTGGGAGTCCATCAAGAAGAATGACATTGCGTCGTCCATGTTCATAGCTCTGTGTAACACCAGCCCGTTCTGGGTGACGTATCTGCTCCAGCGTCAACTTGGTGCGGCAATAGACCTTGCCCAACTCTGGCCGCTCGTGCAAGCCTTCTTCCTCAAGAAGTTCTCAAGCCCAACACCCCGAGAGCTTATTGAGCTCACTGCCCCGCCGCCTTTCGAGTACGCCAGTTACTACAACTACTTCCTTTACTACGCTACAGTCACCATGTGCTTTGCCGGTATCCAGCCTCTAGTCCTGCCAGCAACAGCTCTTTACTTCCTTATTGACTCGTGGCTCAAGAAGTACCTTCTCCTCTACCGCTTTGTCACCAAGACTGAATCCGGTGGAATGTTCTGGCGCGTCATCTTCAATCGTTTCATCTTCGCAACCATGCTTTCCAACCTGGTTGTCATGTTGACTTGCTGGGTTCGTGGCAATCAGGGGTCGCATATCGAATTCTACAGTCTGATACCGCTGCCATTTATCATGATCATCTTCAAGATTTACTGCAACCGCGCCTTTAACAACAAGATCACCTACTACAGTATTGTGGACGTTACCAAGACACCCGAGAACGGTGTCGATCCCAAGGAGAACCGTATGCGTAGTGAGCGATTGGCGAACCGTTTTGGCCACCCTGCACTTTACCGACCTCTGATTACTCCCATGGTTCATTCGAGCGCGCAGAACCTTTTACCTGCTATCTACAAGGGTCGCCTGAGTGATGGCAGAGATGTCGATTCGGGTGATATGATGACAGTTAGTGGTTACTCGGATATGGTTTCTCTCGATCCTATGCAGAAAGGACGGCCAGGCAAGAGTGCCAACAACGTTCCCGGTTTCGAGTTCGTGTCAGACAGCCAGATGGACTTTGAGTATTACAAGAACCGAGCCGAGTTCGCAGAGGACCATGGTGGAGGCGAGATCTACGGTCGACCTGGAGAGATTGGTCGCCCTGGTACACCTGGATCAGTCGATGGCAGCGATTTCTCACGACCCGGCACACCGGTGGGCCGAACTGGTTCTCCCTTTGCGGGTGGAGCAGCTCAGCAGCAGCGTCTCATGTCTCTTGCTAGCAACACGAGCGGCGACACTAGCTATTCAGCATACCGACCAGGTGGCGCTCCCAATACCGGATTTACACAGCAAATGACTCTAGGCACAGAGCCCCCCGCTCGTGGCCGCAGTCCTTTGTACTCGCAAAACAACGGAAGCTCATCGGGCCTCGGATTAATCTCGAACGCCGCAGCTCCCGCATACAGCAATCTCAGCACGCCAGGCCGCATGACGCCTGTGCAATCACCTGGGCCTTCAGTCGGCGCTATGGGCGGCGGTCCTCAAGGCTACAGCGGTCTTGCACAGAACGAAGAGCCTTCATACGATTACTTCCGCGGCAATAACCGCGCGAGGAGAAACCCCGGCGAGGGATGGTAGAGACGTTCCGAAAAGGAGACGGTTTCATTGCATAAAATTTGCGAGGCGTTTGGGTAGATTGGGAATAGGTCCTTAACGACCTCTTTTGAATTGAATTCTAGAATGAGGTGGACTGATGTGAGATGATCCGGGCACACCTCCAAGAAGAATAGAATACTTTGGATTATAGCTTTTAATGCACAATAGCCCTTACCATTTCATAACGGGAATATGATTAATTTTTCTCAAGAAACATAAACTTCGTATCGATCATTATGTTAGAGACTAAAGACTTGGCTTTGCGCTGATCTTAAGCTTCAACTGACATGGGCATGTCCCAGATCTTGTTTCATCCCTGAAGGGTCTTCGGGGTCTCCCAGAGGTCCGGCATTTTCGGGATCCGACGTGGCCGTCCCGGAGAACCAGGGATTCCGGGATCACTCTCTTGCCGCTCAGAGCCTTGAGTCTCACTCACCATGGACGGGCTTGAGCCATTGAGACCCTGTGCCAAGCTCCCATGCATAGGTCATCTCTACAGTGGCTGGCATCACCACACTTCAGGCTACGACTCGTCAGTAATAATCCCCGTCTCATGCAGCCGCCTTAGATATGTCGCGAGATCTTCTTTCAGCCCCTCAATGATCTTATCTTCCACGATACCATCATTCCATGTAATTCCCATCGTCAAGGGACCGTTCTTGACACTTGCAACACTAACACTCATAGGATCACTTGCAACCATGACGCCATTTGTAAACAGCATGCGATGAATACTCCTCTTACCCGCCTCCTCAGCAGGAGCTGGAAGAGTGCCGACATTGCTAACTTCCCACGACCGAGGTCGCGGCTGGCCATCCTTCTTCCGTAGAAGCGCTTTCCAGTCAGTGACGGTCGCGAGTACCTCCATGTCATCGTCTACGGGGATTGTAGATGTCTTTTTCTTGAGCTCGTCTTTGACTTTCCTAGCGTGGCTCCAGATAAGGTCGTTGATCTCATCACCCTTTGCAGCTTGGAAGGCAGCCACTGCTGATGAAGAGTGTTCGTGTGACATGCCGGTCACAGCACCGAACAGTGCGTCTTTGATAGCAGGGTCAGCTTTGGGTGATATGTAGGGACGCATGCTTATGGGTGTTGAGGAGATGAAGGCCGGAGCGGTAGGAATACGTCTCGATAGTGATGTAAGGACAAGCGCATGCAAAAGACCCGTCAAAGAAGTCCCATGAGCGCGCGACTCTTTGAGGGTAGTTATTACGACTGAGGGTGGTATATCCACGGTAACCAAGCGAGCCTTGTGGCGATCGAAGTCTATAGGTTCACCAGCCCATATCTTTGGCGGGGCGGGAGTGAGGAACCAAGGTCGGTATCGTTTCCATAGAAGAGTAGCTCGGCCAGATATTGTCGACGTATAGTCGATGACCTTCTCTTGCGGCTCAGGGAGTACTGGTGGCTCAGGAAAGGAGAGAACTTCGGGGGCCGCTGGATTCGCGGGCAGAGAGTTCAGTTGGGCAAGAAGTTTCTCGTGAAATAGCCTTCCACCCATGCCGTCCATAAGTGAGTGGTGAAAGGCAAAGACTATGTTCTCGAAGAGAGGAGCTCCGTTGTCTTCTCTGACGCCGGACGGTCTGCCGACGACGACCCGCCACGGGGGTCTCGTCTCAATGTTCTGCCAGAACTGGTCGTGCAGCTCACAATGTAAGTCGTTCAGGCACTTATCATGATCTTCTTCAGGACCCCAGGTACGAAATTCCACGAAATCGCTCAGTCTCATCTCAGGCACGTGTGTAAAATAGGCTTCCATGTCACCTTCTCCTCGGATGCCTACTCGGAGCATAGGGTTCTCATCGATGAGATTTGCTACGGCAGCGAGAATGGCTTCATTTGGAGATGTATTTGGCGGGACATCATAATGCGCTGATACTATGACACAACGATACAAGCCGAACAAGTGATAGGCAGCAGAGCCGGTTTCTCTGGTAGTTGATGAGCAAGTGTTAATAAAGCTAGTGCGGTTGACTTACAGGATACCTAGACGGCGAGCAGTACGGATCTCAGGGTTGTTTGTCATTTTGACCATTGATTTGAACGAAGTCAAGATTCATCAGCTGTAGTGTTTTGCGGCAACTCCATATCTTATGCCCAGTTTGACAGCAACCAACGACCAACAAGTCGCACGAAATCATGTGTCGTCATATCACTGATGGAATAGGAAGGAGGAGCGAAACAAGACGAGTTGGGACGAACTAGGGTAGCTTCTACTTGGCTACTTTATTCCGTCTCACATCAGCGTTTGGGTTGCATTCATAACAGAGATAACAAGATATCTGGACCCATTGTAGAAACATGAATGAGCTAACTACTTTGATCAATCTTGATTGTTAGAAAGGTGTAAGATAGAAACCCATGAATTGTGCCAAATTGCATGGTTGGCATCAACGATGATCCTTTAGAGTTAACTAAGCTTATGCTATTTTTGATAGGGCTGAGTTGACAGCAACCCGCCAACCATGGTTTAAGCAGATTGGAGGAGAGTTTAAAAGTGTCGGTGGATATTCAGACGGGTAAATTTCTCATCTGAGCCAGGTCATAACCATAAAGGTCTTTAATAAAGGTTATCATTATGACACTTGCGGTAGCTGTAAATCGGTGGTGATGCCGCGGTAACGGTGAGACGTGGTCGGTGGAACGGTGACCCCACCTCCGTTAATGACGGGACGGGGACACTATGACAGGCGCCCCATGCTCATGCTCGGCCACTCTCTGTAGCCTCCAACGCGTTTAAACCACGACTCGACAAAAACATTTGGTCAATCATCTTTTGCGCGCGCTGTTGATATTTTGATTCGCGACTGTACAAGATACCCGACCTCCAGCTGTACGAACATCCACTCGACATACCCAGACATATAGTTACGACTATCACATCCGAGCGACCATATTACCGTATCCGAATACTTTTAGTCGCCATCGCGATGCAATGAACGCGCTTCCCACGACGACAAATAATGTGCTATCGACCTCACCATAACTGCGTATAATCACACTCAATTGTGTCACCGATGGATCGCGACAAGAGCTCGCTGGCCGAGCGGCCTAGTCAGCTTATTGTGAAGCAATCCGGAAGGAAACCTCTTTTCGCAAGCAACATCCCGCGGGGAACCGACAGGAATAAGGAGAATGATCAAGCGCAGCAGAACAATTCAAGGCTTGGCTCTAGTATACAAAGCAATGGGTTCGCGCGATCGACAAATTCGGATCTCGACAGGAGAGCAAGCATCGGTAGTCTTGGATCGCGCGACAGCAAATTACCTACACCAGGATTTTCCTCCTCCACTCGAAAACGACTCTCAATGACCGATGCTTTCCGTCTCGCTGCAAAGGAAATTGAGGATGACAGCGATGGCACACAACCGGTTGATGCGTCGCCTAGTCCAGCGCCCCGGGTTTGGCGCGAGAGACACGAAGGAGAAGGAAATCAAATGCGGCAGATGTTAAGTCACGATCACCTGGACACAAAGGCACCGAGTCGCCCATTCTCCCGAGGGTCGATTGCTTCAAGAATACCCGAAATAAAAAAAACGCCAGACAGGACCGAGTCGCCGCGACGACGGAACTTTTATGGCAAGTCCAGGGCAGGACTTTCCTTTACGCCTAGAGAGCCGACCCAGGAGAGTACTACGCCTGCGCATGCACCTCCAACTACCACCGTCAACGGGATAAGACCTGACAGTCGGCCTGGGAGTGCTGCTGGACTACGAATAGGCTCGCACTCGTTGAGACAAATGCCTTCGAAAGACGACCTGACGAAACAAGGACGGATTCCAGCTCTAGTCCCTGGTATTGAGGAGTTGTACCCGTCAATTGAGGGCCCAGAAGCTCAAAGCGAGGCACCTGGCCCAGCATCTCCCGAAAAGAGTTTCGCATGGCAGGTGGATGACGACTTTACGGCTGGAGAGCTACAAGTTTCGGATAGTCCAAGGCTTCGCATGGGTGCGCGTCCGTTTGCAAACCGCATTCACTTCGATGAAGGCAGTGAAATTGACATAAACTCACGGACGAGGGTGGCGCCGCCCGGGGCGAGGAACACCAAGCTTGATGAGATTCGGTCACGGGAGGTCAAGACAGGAAGCGATATTCCTCTTGAGCCGCCGCGACCACATAATACAAAAATAGACGAGATACGGGAGCGTGAGGAAAAGGTCGAGCATCAAATACCCATACCTGATCGAAACGCACCAAGACCAAGAAATACCAAATTGGACGACATACGACAGCGGGAGGTTAACGGCATACCCAGGAGGTCAATGGCATCAATTAAGTTAGAAGAGATTCGTGAGCACAATGCAATGAGTCGCTCACGCTCTCCAGAAGATCGACCCAGGACAAGCCGAGGGATGCTCCCAGAGACAAAAACGACAAGTGAATTCGAACCGAAAGAGCCGTCGCCCCGACCTAGGTCTGCTTTTGAAGGGGCCGGTGTCAGTATCCCCGACACGCCTGTGACAATATTCAAGTCGCGACGCGAGAGCGCAGAGTCGGACCACCCCAGGGAGGATGGTAACTCAAAGGACGAGACAAGTCGTGCGCGACCAGGTCTGTCGCACACACGTACTGATTCCCGAGACTTACTACGACGCCTGGCGCGGGCTGCCAGTTCCAGCCCTGCGCCAGAACCTGAGCCGCGACAGGTGGCCGACAGTGACAAACCGGCTCTCTTGCCCCTAGAACCCAAGCCTGACGCTGCTTCTGCAATTCCTCAACCTTCAACCAGCAATGGCTACCGAAATCGTCAACATCGCTCTAACAGAGATTTCAGTCCCAAACCTAGTGTCGCATTTACTGGCCTGTCTCGAACTCGTTCAACGGAATCTGTTAAGAGTAAGAAATCCATGAATTCAGAGGCGGACCCTACGGACCGCATTGAGGCGGAGGCCAATCTGTTTGCGCCTGGCGACAATCACTCTGAGAAAGGCTCTATGAAGGCCCCATCTCCAGAGCCTGATATCGACGATGAAAAAGAGCTCGATGCGACACCACGACCGACGAAGCCGGATCCATTGACTATGCCCACGCCAAAGGTCACGGGCGCATACGTGGAAACACCAGCGACAGTCAAGGTGGAGAAGATCGAAGTAAAAGACAATCAAGAAAAGCCAAAGAGGGAGGAAAGGCCATTGCGACAAAGATCTGCATCGTTCCGTGATAAAAGGACGGATCGTGCTCTGAGTGGCAGTGATAGGGACACAGCATCGGACCCGGGGACAGACGACAAACTTAGCACCAAGACTTCGTCAAGTGGGGTGAGGAGACGGCGCACTCGTTCTCTGTCACGGCGCCGAGGAACACTGAAAAACTCGGCCAAGCTTCCAACAGTCAAAGACGACCTAAAAGAACTTCAACGAACACATCACATTGAGGACTCGACATTGGATGATCTTGAAGAGGTTCTTCTCGGTCGCAAAGCCCCATCTCAAGAAGTTGAGGCTCTCCTTGATAAACTACCTGAGAACCCATCACTTGATGACGATTTCGACTTCGACTTGGAACTTGACACGAAACTGAACACACGAACAAACCAAATCGATCCTCAGAACAACGACAACTCTGATCTGGATCGGCTCACCCGCATGAACAATACCCTCAAGAACAGCCTGTTCGGAATCCATACCGCAGCAAGGGGCATTGAACGTCTTTCTGATCAAGTCAGCACCAAGAATAAAGCTGCCGAGAACAAGGCCGCTGAAGAGAAGTCAGCTGAGCTCAAGACACCTAAAGAGGAGCCAACTGAGAAAAACCTCCTTGACATCGTCAAACCCGAGCCGCTGCCGGAAAAGATGGCCACCCTTCACGACAACGGCGGCGCTGGCACCGCCTTCATCACGCATTCCGACGGCAAGACGGTGTCTTACGTTTCACTACCTATTCCACCACTCTTCCACCGCAAACCATCCTTCCGCTTCACAATCCTTGGTCTTCTTCTTTTCCTCCTCGGCCTTTGGTATGCTCTCGAGTCTACTATGTGCCTCGCCTTCTGTCGTCCAATCAGCTGCAGCAATCCTCCTTGCGTCTGGTCCGTCGATGATCCCACCTTTGGAAATGCCATTCCCGTGAAGTTGGACCAGTGGGCTACTGGGGGCCGTGGTCGCATCCTAGCTGGACAACTCAAGGAAGAAGTGGATGATTGGTTTGCCGACATGAAGGACATCTGGTACGATCGCGAAATCACCGATATTGACATTCACGGGCTCTCGTTTGAGCAGAAGCGTCAGCATCGTCGTCGTCTCCGCAAGAAGGGCCTTATGAAACGTCGCATACAGACATCCGAGGAGCGAGCAAGGCTGGAAGCTTGGAAGCGAGCCCAGGAGGAGGAACAACGACAGAAGGAAGCGAGAGAGATGGGCTATGAGATTCGAGTCGACGATGATGAGACTGTCGGAGGAGATACCAGGGTTTGGTGAATTCAGCGTCTACAGTTGTCAGAGTGGTGGTTCTACGGGGGCACAAAGGGACAGTTTACATTGCTATTAAATGCATATCGGAGCGGGCGTTCAAAGATACATTATTGCACTCTTCAAGTAGTAATGATAATAGATGGTGGTGATATTCTCAGATGATATCAACCTCGTGCCCATATATAAAGAAGTCGGGCATACCCGCAATGCATTTTCCCTATCCCAACGCCATGCGCCTGCAAATACCGGCTCTTAATCGTCAATACCACCCCATTCCTCATCTTCCTCCATCTCATCACCACTGGCAGCCTTAACCCACGGCAACCTCTCATCCTCATAACTCTCAGCACAGCGCGCCCTCACAGGCTTAACAGGACATGTCTTCAGCGCAATGACAACATCCCCCAAGCTCTTAACAAACTTCTCAGCCTCAGGCTGCTCCAGCGCCTCCTCACGCTCCAACTCATCGACCCAGATATCCAGCGCATGCAATCTGATACCCACAGGGCTCTTTCGCAGATCACCCTCCTTCTCAAAAGGAAACTCCTCCAACACAGCCACAATAGCCTCTACATCACCGTCCTTCCAGCCTCGCTCGCGAGCTAGTCGTACGTGGGAAGCGAAAACGCGACGGACGAGGAGGAGAAACTTTTCAAGACGGTAGACGTCGATGCCTGTCCACTGGGCGCCTACGACGGCCCAGAAGGCGCGCAGCCAGGGGATGGCGCAGGCGGGCTTGAGGGTGAAGAGGAGGTTGGCGAGATCTGTGGCGAGACGTTGCTGGGGGATGGGTCGGTCGGTCATCCACAGGGCGTAGAAGAGGCCTTTCCATAGCTTCTGGGCGTCGACGTCGGAGAGGCTTGAGCGCGAGGAGAGGAATGTTGAGAGGGATTCTAAGGAGGACATTCGAAGTTTGCGATCTGGAGAAGTTAGCAAGATTATTGACGAGAGGATTGGGGAGGACGAACCGCTTGAAGCGAGGTTGCGAATGAAGGGCATTTGGGATTCGTGCTCGGCCATTTTGGAGAGTAGAGCGTCAATGGCTCCGTTGTAAATTTTATGGCGATCGTGATAATTGGGTGGTAAGGTTGGGGCTATGGAAAGAGAAGTGTTGGTGATAGTTTGGTTGGTGTTGAAAAATGTCAAAGATGCTATGCGATGCTGGGCAACTTTTTTTCTGGCATGTCGGATCTAGTGGGGGCCTCACCGAGAAGTGGGGCCGGCTCTTGTAAGGGACTTTCAGATGTAAAAGTTCACATTGAAGACTGAAGGGTCATGATCATAACTACAACGCAGTAGGTGTCAGTGTTTGTATTGAATAATCAAGTTAGTATTACTCATGAGATAAATACGGTTGTACATATTCTGAATAACAATATCGCTAGCTCCGGTAGCCGATAGATACCCTTTTGAAACTGGCAGGGCTACAGACTTCAGCTCTTGGTTTGAGTTTTCCATATAAATAACACAACTCAAGGAAGGCCAAATATCATGTATTCTAAGTCCTAGTATTTAAATGAATAGTTAGACACAGGCTTGGATTTAACAAGCATCAATATCAGGCTTATTCAGCTTCATTTTGCATCAACAGACTCTCAGCGAATGACCCCGCGCGGGGCATCCACATCGACTTGACCGCGCCCAAAATTTTGAGGTCTCCATTTCGTCACTTTTCATTCCTTCCATACCCTTCTAGACACCAAGCTCTGCCTCACCGTCCGCCCAAGAGCTCACTTTAACAACCTCACTCTTCAGTAATAAGGGCAAATAATTGAATATGGCATCTGCCTCTACAGACGAAGCCTCCAAGGCGTCTTCGCCTCCCGTCGCTATTGTCTGCGTCGGCATGGCAGGTAAGTTGCAAAGCTGATCGTTGCGCAACCTTATCTAACCCTCTCTTAGGATCTGGAAAGACTACTTTTATGCGACGTATCAACGCTCACCTCCATCAGAATGATCAGCCTCCATATGTCATCAACCTCGATCCCGCTGTGTTGTCGGTACCATTCGAGTCCAACATCGATATTCGAGACTCGGTCAACTATGAGGAGGTCATGAAGCAGTACAACCTTGGTCCCAACGGTGGAATTCTTACTTCGCTCAACCTCTTCGCTACAAAGGTTGATCAGGTCGTCAACCTCCTCGAGAAGCGCACCCAGCCCGATCCCGAGAAGCCCGATCGCAAGCCCATCGATAGAATTTTAGTCGACACGCCTGGTCAGATCGAGGTTTTTGTCTGGTCCGCATCCGGTACCATTCTTCTCGAGTCACTTGCATCTTCTTTCCCTACAGTCATCGCCTACGTTATTGATACCCCACGAACTGCTTCTACTTCAACATTCATGTCCAACATGCTCTACGCCTGCTCCATTCTCTACAAGACCAAGCTTCCTATGATTCTCGTCTTCAACAAGACCGATGTCAAGGATGCGGCGTTTGCTAAGGAGTGGATGACCGACTTTGAAGCATTCCAGGAAGCGCTACGAAAGGATGAAGAATCAGATGAGCTGGGCGGCGCAGAGGGTGGTGGCCACGGTGGAAGCGGATACATGGGCAGCCTGCTCAACTCGATGAGTCTTATGCTGGAGGAGTTCTACGCACATCTCAGTGTCGTCGGCGTGAGTTCGCGACTGGGTACTGGCGTGGACGAGTTCTTCGAGGCCGTTGAGGAGAAGAAGCAAGAGTTTCTACGCGACTACCTGCCAGAGCTTGAGAAGAAGAGGGCAGAGCGTGAGGAGGCAAAGAAGGCTGCACGAGAGAAGGAGCTGGACAAAATGATGAAGGGCATGTCAGTCGGTGGCCTACCAGTCGCACAGAAGGAAGAGGACGAGGTGGATGTTGCCAGCGACGACGACGATGATACTGACTCAGACGAGGAGGCTCAGAAGCAGAGCCTCCAAGATCGATACTCAGCCGCCATGGACGATAACGAGGACTCTGTTATGAAGGATGCAAGTTTCGCCAAGTATCTCTACAACCAACAGAAGCAGCAATAAGGAAAAAACAGCATATAGCGGCGTTTGGGGTTTCATAAGGATTTTATCTAGTTCACGGTTTAAGTTATGCAGGGTAGATATCGCAAGGCGACTTTGAAGGAAACAAAGAAGTAATCAATCACGCAGACTGTAACTCGTCATACGCAAATCGTGTCGCATTGTCTATTCTTTCATTCGACGTAATTCCCAGACCCCTAAACTCCCATCTCGAAATATCAAAGTTGCCACAACACCTCTCGTCTTTATTCTTTGCAAGCTTTTTCTTTGGTATAAAAAATCATCGTCGGTATGTCTATCGGGCCTCGAACTGAACCATTCTACAAACACCGTTAGCGTCAACTCCTTCCAAACAGCTGAATCGCGCGCGAACGTACCGCTTGGTGCGCTCCTTGTAGAGAACACGGCCTGCACAGTGAGGGCACGCGACGGTGGCATCCTTTCCGAGGGTGACGCTGCCGCCGCAGTCGCCGCAGATATAGGACATGACGTGACGGACTTGGTGGTCGTCGCGGGTGCCGCCGCGCTGGCCGGCGTTGGCGGTGGGGACTTGGTACTCTTCACGGGGCATTTTGAGGCTGTGGTTTGGGTGGGTGTTTGGTGGTTTGATGCCTTTTTGGTGGTGGAGGAAAAGATTGGAGGTGGCATTGGTTATGAAGGCGGTGATGGGAAAGTTTGGACGGCAGAATTGGGCGGTGAGTGGTGGGAGGTGCGTGGGTACGTGGGTGCATGGGTACGTGGGTGCATGGGTACGTACCGTTTTGAATGGACGGCTTTTACGATGATCTGGGCGTCAAATGCTCGGCTTTGTTTTTAGAGCTGCTATGAGAGGTCCAATGCTACCCGAAGTGGTGATGTTCAAGACGATATCTTCTTTTCGTTTCTCCTCATATGTTGTCGCTGTTGATTGCTCCCTTCATGGTAGGGTTGTGTTGTAACCAAAGCTTGACTACTTACCTCTTTCACGGTGATGCACTGTCCTAGGAAGTGCCTAGATCACCCAAGCGCAGCTAAGATAAGGATCTTTCTATCTTGTTCCCATCTATGGATGGTATGCAATGCAATGCTATTCTCATTGACTTGTAAGCGCAGGCCAGTGATTGTGTCAGAGTACAAGCTACCTTCAACGATAAGCAAATACTTCTCAAGTTCTCCCATAGTTCTATCTTTAAATACAGTGCCCACGCAGTTTATGATAAGGAGATGGCTTAACACTTCTTTTATGCTGAAAGTCGATGAGCTAATGTTGAACAAGAAGCAAACGTTAGCGGGTGGTTGAAGCAGGCTGCACCCCACAGAGATTAACCTCCACTAAATGCACTAAATTAAACACCCCAGTTCCCGATCTCCAGTTCCTGGCAAGCCCCGGTCCATCATCCCAACCTCGGTATCATCTCTTCACGCTCATGAACTTGGAGCATCATCAACCTCAACATCGACGTCATTAATTTCACTCAAACTTTTCGCTATTCATCCAAACATAGTCAAGCCCATACCAACTCATACATCACATCTTGGGAAGATCATCGACCATGTTTGATCCTTCAGCTCCTCCGACATCATCATGTCCCTTCTGCACAATCTCATCCACCTTCGAGCCATTCGACCCCTTAAATCCACCGCCATCAACATCCTCACTCATCAACCCAGAGCTCGTATCACCCGCCTCATTCATCGTTCTCTCAACACCAGTCCTCGTCGCCTTTCTCGACATTCTACCGCTAAGTCGCGGCCATCTTCTTCTCTGCACACGGCCTCATCGTCCTAAACTCAGCGACGTGACGGCTTCTGAATCCGCGCATCTGGGCCGTTATCTGCGCGTTCTATCAAAAGCCATGGCTCGTGCGACGGGCATTGAAGATTGGAACGTGGTGCAGAATAACGGGGCGGCTGCTGCGCAGGTTGTACCGCATATGCACTTTCACATCATCCCGAGGCCGGAGATTAGAGCTAGTGGGAGGTTCAGCGAGAGCTTTACTATGTTTGGGAGGGGGAGGAGAGAAGAGTTGGATGATGATGAGGCGGTGGTTTTGGCGGAGGAGTTTAGGCAGAGTGTTGCTGCTGTGATGAGGGAGGAAGAGGAAGAGGAGAAACAAAAAGAGAGCAAGGCCAAGCTATGATAGTTGAAGATGCATTTCTTGTTACCTTGTTGGCGTTCAGCGATCTAGGAGAGGAGGTGGTTTGCCAAGTACTTGGCGTTCAGGAGATTCATAGATTTCTATACTTCTCGATCTAATCCCCTTTGATGAAGACATGTCTTCATCGAATTATCACATACCTTTACCCATCATATCTAATGAATTCCTTGGTCAGACAAAGGGCACACTCGGCAGTTCTGAGCCTCTTCTCATTCAGTACCTCCATCTTATAGTCTTTCGCCTCCCCCATTCATCCAAATTCTAGTTGGACTCTCGAGGCGTGACACTCTTTGGAACGACACTCTTGCCTCGTTGCAACAATATCACTTGCCATAGTATCTACTATATTTATCCTGCCATTTCTAAGTGCCATATAGAGTTGATCAAGTTCATCCCAGCCATGAAAGGCCTTGTTGCGCACGCCTTGGCAATAGCTATACACCATCTTCGTCTCGAACCCGATACCAGTCTTACCAGAAATTGCGGCCCGGCAGCTCCTGAATAGGATTATTAGGTCAATTATACTCAACCATTTGGTCTCAAGATCCCGCGGACTCTTGTCGAAACACCACCAAGCATCTTGAGAATAAGTCTTTGGCTAATACGCATGGAAGTGGGTGAGACATTATATGAGGATCATATCTTAATGAGAATGACAGCAGTAATTGAGATTCAGTATCTAACCAATCGCACCGGACATTTAACCTACATATTAAACAAAACAACATAACGATATCAACATAACTCTCCAATGCGTAAGCTTCAGTTCTCTGGTACCGATGTCAAAGCAACTCCTAAACTCATAAACCGGTGACCGCTAACCTTTAACCATCCGATCCAAGCATGTTTTGTTTTTGTGTTTTTCTAATACTTTTAAAATAAAGATCCGATCCGCAGTTTTTTTTTTGTTTTGTTATTCCATATTCGCCATCATGTCCGATCATTTGCCTAGGTACCTTACGCCTGCCCCCTTTTTTCCAATCCTTTAACCATCCCGTACCTAAGAGAACTACCTGAACATTTCTAAACCAAACACCTTCGTGTATCAGGAGCAATTCGTCCCCGGAGCTCTCGTCTTTCTCTTTCTAACCTCGCCGTCTGCTTCTCCAGCGCGCGAATTCTCTCGCGTGCAAGGTCAAGCACCTCGGCTTTGCTCACGCGACGATCATTGGCGATACCGCCTTCTGTGCCGGGAGCAGGGAGGACAGCGAGAAGACGCTCAAAGTGGGTGTTGAGACGCTTGCGGTATTGCTGCTCAACCTGATTGTGTGCAGCCCGCGCCTTGACTTCTTCTGAAGTCTCGCTGGGATGTCTGGGCTGAGCAGCAGCGCGCTTCTTGGGAGCACGCGATGCAGTGCGGAGCTGGGTGGGATTACGTTTAGGTCCGTCTTTACCCTTTGCCCTTGGCTTTGTTGCCGTTGAGCGCTTGCGCTTCTTGCTCGCTGGCTCCGAGTCATCGTCGTAGTCCTCATCGTCATCCTGATTATCTTCCTCAGGCTCAGACTCAGCTGGTGATAGCTCGTCTGCCATGGGCGGCGTGGGTAGGAATGTTGCCGCCGGCGAGACGTGAGCTGGCCAGACGGCGCCGAGGGATGGGCTACCTGTGGATAGGTCGTAGCCTTCTGAGAAGGCGGATGAGGTGCGATGAGGAGGATGGACGGGGAATTGACCCGGTGTCGTGGGATGGATGGCGTAACCGTTGGAGGAGAAGTCTCCAAAGGGACGGTCAAGGTAGGCAAGGTCTGTTAGAGGGGAGGGGAAGACGGTGTTATCGAGACTGGGCGTCTCAGGAGACTGAAGAGGGTTCTGCTGCTGAGAAGTGAGTTAGATAAGTCTCTTGTGAGTTGGGTAGTTGAAAGTGACTTACTGTAGAAGCCTCGTAGGGGGCATCTAAGCCGGAGAAAGGCATGGCGGTAGTATCGATACCGTTCATCCAGTCATCGGGCATGCGTCCAAAGCGCGCAGCTCCGTCTCCGTCGCCGGCGGACTCGAGGAAAGTCGAGCTCATCATCATTGTAGGCCGCGTTTTGTTTAACGGTTATCCGCAAATACTAGATCTAGCACGAGGTTGTCCTTGAACCCCGTCATCACGAGAAGGGAGTGGAACAACGATCCCGAAGAGTGTTTTCGGTTTCTCTCTTCTCTATGCTTTTTCTGTCTTTTTGCTGGCTGAGTGTCTTTTTTTAAGAAAGAAGGGGGGGTTCTTGTTATAGGCAGTTAAGAAGGCGGCAGACTCGTAGTCGCGAGGCTGGTCGGATGTCTTTTGCTGTCGACAAGCCGCAAGCCATAACGTAGCTACTCTGTTTTCTGTTCCTTGTGTTTTCTTCCGTTTCTCTCGTCTAGGTTTTTTGTGTGATGGGGAGAGAGCAGTAGACGGGAAGACCGTGAGTATACAGAGAAGGATAAAGATTCACAACTACAAACTTGGGCTGAACAGGTCCCCTTTTATAACAGATAGTCTAGGGCACAAAAAACTCGAAAAGAGTGCCAAGACCCAACGCTCGTTCGCAAAAAGAGGGAAAAATACCACCATGCATAACTACTACCAACTAATCCATCGAGGGTGGTGCCAAAGTATGAAAAGAAGCGGAGGATGGGCCAAGGGGGCATGGCATTACGACACCGAGACGAGAGGCACGGAATAATACCATAGTATGGCACATAGCATAGCACAGCCATGACACGGCCTCGGACCTGACGAGCCGTGACCGGAGGATGAGGGAGGGACGGGCCAATGTGATGCATCACAAGTTCAGGTGCTTGTTATCCTTCGCTTAAAGCATGGGCGTGAAGCTTGGAAGGGGAAAATGCAATGGGTAACCAACCAATGTAAAGATTGATAACTTACACGCCTGAGTCAAGAGTATTCCGCAAAGGCCAATGGTCTACACGAAGGAGGTCTTGGCACCTGTCAAGGATGGGCATTCTGTTAGTAAAGCCGGGCCCTTGGCTACCTAATCGCCACGTAAGAGCGTTTCTGAAAGAGTTTTGTCACAGGGTTATCGTGTCCCTATTATAAACAAAAAGGATAGACAATACTCTTGTACATTGAGTCTCACCGAGTCAGAAGAATATAATCAACCGTATCGTCAAAAGTCATGTCGTCGCGATAAACTAATACAAGAGCGGAACATGACAGGATAAAAAAAAAACTTGGGGTGGCCTGAGTTTATCCCCAGACGCTAACAGGCCCTCTCAGGTGGGGCTGATCCCTGTAGGATGGGGTATCGTTGACTAACCTCAATCTCGTTTGCCTTGGAACAAGTCGTGGGGAATAGCCTCCTTCGCAAAGGCCATGTTAAGTTTTGCTTTGCGCCCTGTGAAGTTTTGAAGCAAGTGGTCACGAGCCAGCCTCAGACTCTGACAAATTCCGAAGCCCCGAGTCGAATCGAATAGAATACACTGTCTTTTTGCGTTGGGTTCTTGGATAATGAGATCCGGTTGTTGAGTCACCGTGTAGTATTCATGCCATCATTGAAAGGCAATTCAGAGCTTTACTGTTGTATTTTTTTATTTTATTTTTTTAATTACAGAAGCAATGGACCGAGGTTATCATGACATGACTTCAAAGTGAAAAACTAGATCCTGATCTTCAGGCTTGGCCTTGTTAGGTCTGCCGCATGCCGCGTGGTACAGAATTGGCATGCAGCAGCCGATGATCGTATCAGACCACCCTGCAACGGCTATTGTTGCTGTATTGATTGATAATTACGGTACTGTAGGTACATGCTCGGTTCTTGGAAACTAAAAGAATCTGGGGTAAAGGATGGACGAACGTGGCCCCCGTTATTTGGTGTTGGCACTCGTCAGCTGAGAGATCAACGGCTTGAAAGTTCAACTCTCAAGTGCTGTGCTGTACCCTCGACAACTGGCCAGCAGCCATTGAGAAGATATTGTCTCTTTCAAATAGTTTTGTAACTCTATTTGTTTCATACACTTCCTTTCCCTCTCAAGTACAACTCCTCAATGTCTCTGCTCAATCCTCTCCTTCACAACGCCCTCACAAGATCATCCTACCTACGTACCATAGACACCCAAGAAAATATACGTCTCCTACGACAACACCCCCTATCAACCCCAAGAATAAACATCATGACCGTCAGCCAAACCCTCAACCTTCCCTCAGCCCTACCCGTTGCGGAGTCCCCCATGCCTTCTGAACCAATTACAACACCATGGCAGGGGTTTTGCGTCTTTTTTTCATGACATCCCCCCTGGGAAAAAGAGAACGTCTCGATGTTTATTTCCAAAACTTTATCTAAATGGGTAGATCGGTAAGTGGACACTGCGTGCGTGGGTAGATCAAGATTAAGATCAAGATCTGATCTGCCTTGGCTAGATCTGTGTGTGCTCGGGTGCATGATCATGAATATGATACTGACTTGTTAGTAAAGGGGATAATGAAGGAAAGGTACACAGGAGGAGGGCGGTATCACGAATAAGTGACTTCACAAACACCATCACCCAAATCAACCTACACTCAACCATGGCACAACTCAGAGATAGTGACACTTCCAAGCAACAATATCCAGAGGTAATTTCAATGCGTTGAAAGATATATGGAGTAAAGGGAACGAATTGCTATACGATAAACGAGTCGCCTCGTAGGTATTACTCGTCACCACCAGCTGTAACCGCTTTGGGCTCTGGGGTCTCGGTAGCAGCAGCAGCAGGCGCCTCAACAGGCTTGACGCCCTCCTTGGCTGGGGCAGAGACATCAGCAGTGTCTTCGTCGCCCTCGGCGTCCTCCTCGTCGCCTTCAGCTTCAGCGGCATCGTCGCCTTCCTCCTCTTCTTCTTCCTCCTCCTCCTCCTCGGCATCGCCATTGGTCTCTTTGGTGTCTGCCTCGGCCGTCTTGCGCTTCTTCACAGGAGGCTCGGCTGAAATTATATGGTCAGCATTTTGGCTCGGTATCATAGGCTGATTGCTAGGCTCTTGGAAATGACCGTGTAACTGGTAAAATGGGACATGGTGGATGGAAGGGATGGAAGCATGTATTGGTGGCAAGCTCTTCCAGAACATCGATAATAACTCACCCTTTGCATCAGCTTCGTCGTCTTCTTCATCTTCCTCCTCCTCCTCAGCGTCCTCGTCTTCTTCGCTTTGCTCTTCTTCGTCTGCGGTGGAGACGTACCTGTTCACTTGTTGTCAGCCAATCGTCATCACCAAAATACAATCATCAACAACATGCTTCGATCGCGAAATCGCACAACAAGAAACAATATTAAACACAAGTAGAATCATATTGCGATCGGAAAATATCGCAAATGACACGTGGGAATAGATTCAATCGCGAGATAGGTCGCATCGCATTGAATCGCATCTTGTGGTGGCATGCGACATCAGCCCTGCGCGCGCATCTTGGTAGGTCGCGCAACGAATAGCGCAACGATAAAATGCGCGCGATTGGACAATCGAAAGCTCTTCAAAAGACAATCGCAACAAGGTAACATGCAAAAGGAAGGCAAATGGTACTCACTCTTCCTCCTCCTCACCATCATCGTCTTCAGGGAGGGAGACGAGCTCCTCCTCCTCCTCGTCTTGCTTTCTCTTGCGGGACATGGTGATAGTTGCTGGTCTGTGTGATGTATGGGAGTCTGTAAAATGCGATTGACAAGTTCAGGAGATCAGGGCGCTTCTCTCCGGGGGCAGAGGAGGGTTTTAAGGGTAGACAAGGCACAGCACGAGATAGAGAAGCTAGGTAAAGCAAGAATAGAAGAGAGGGAGAGAGAAAGAGATCCAGGGGGAGTGGGAACGGAAGAGGGTGGGAGAGGCTGCGTGTGCGAACTACACAAGAGCGAGAGGAGAGGAGCTGGCGGGCGAGACCAACAGCTACAGTAACAATGGAGCGATAGACAGCCCGAGAGCTTGTGTGAGAGCTCTCAATCCAGCCAATTGCGGCTGTCACAGTCATCCCATCATCACTGGATACACTCCATGGCACTATATACGGACATCACTAACGAGACTCGTGTATGAATACATGAAAATGCAAGGAAACAATGCGACGCCCAGAAGTACAGTCCCACGAGCCTGTCATCGAAGGATGGATTGGGTGGCCCAGCTATGGTGTGGACAAGCTACCCGGAGGTAAGCTACCTACCTTACCTTGCCATATTACGCTGCAAGGCAAAAGCTTCTGGCTGCATGCGAACCACCAGATCAAGTCCGATCAGGGCGACCAAGACGCGCAACAGACGTGCGTCCAATCAAGAGAGAGCTAGCCGAGTTTATCAGGTATGTACCCGGAAAGCATCGATGGCTGTTGGCTTTTCGGATTTGGGTTTTGCCTCTCCCGTCTTAGTACCAAGGAACAAGAGGAGAAAGAAGTGTAACAAAACGAGAAAGGCGGGGGAATGGCCCCAGCCTTTGAGAGAGGGAGGGAGAGCTTGGGGACGCCAGTTGACTTCCGTCCAAGTGGCTGGGCAAACAAACAGCTTTGCCGAATATGTGACGTAGGACTTTCTCATTGTAGCCCAGACTCAGAGCTGGGTGGAAGTGTCTCGGAAATTCATAATCGCCGGGAACTGGGTCCTTTTGTTTGTTTGCTATTGCCTTTATCCCGCTCTTGTTTCATTTCCTGTGCTGTAATTCATGGAACCAACGTGAGAAAGGCACAGTGCAATCGTTTCCATTCTGGTTTCTATCCTCGAGGGGCTGATACATGCCCTTGTCAGCAGCTATCGAGTCAACAAGGACGAACGGAGCTCTCTCCAAGCTCTGTAACATCTCACTTCTCCAAGAGCTTGGGGAAGCTTGGACCTCATTCACTCTGGGAATAAGTAAAAGTAAAACCGGGAGCGGATGACGGCGCAGGTTTCTCCGGCTCGTAATGCTTCAAGGATGATGCGCAGGTGAGACGAGTGCCCCTTGAACCGAACCGACGTCGGCGTCGGAGGGTTCGGTGGTGCGGCCGAAAATAATTGGCGTCATCGAAGAGTGATATGATGCTGAGGAGAGCACTATGCCCGGTCACGTGCTCGCGTTGGTCCATGCAAACATAACTTACCCTGGAGTCGCCATGGGATTTCTGGATTTGGTTCATGGGCGCTCTCAAAATTGACGGCGTCTGATTTCTGCTGGTTGACATGTTCTTCTTGGTATTTACTTTTTACCTTTTTACTTTTGTCTTGATAACAGTTGTTGCGCGCCCTGACGCGTGAGGTTGACGCCGCTCAGCTGCATATCATTTCGATTCGCACGCCAGAGCTTGTAGCCATGTGCTTGATTCCATGCTTCTCGCTGGCTGGACGACGAGACCAAAACCCTAACATTACTTAAAGAAGTGTATTAAGATGATCAATGCGAGAGTCTGATATCGGAAAAAAGGAAGGGAAGAAAAAGCAAAGAGACAGGGACGTCTCAGGTCTGAGCGGAGACAATGTCTTGTTCTCCCTGCCTCCGTCCCGTGTTTTCGCCTGCCCTCCCTTCGCTGGCGTTATTTCCAGTTTTGATGTCGATCCCAACACTGCATGAATAGTTTATTTGAATGATTACAGTGGCTTGAAGAACAATTGGCTCTGGGTATTGCAGCTGTGTCAAGTCACAGGTTAATTGATGCATGCAGATATTCATATCATAAGGTCCCGGGTAGGCCGTCAGGCCGCTAGAAATCCCAGGATCCTGGACTTGGGGCTTATAATGGTGATACCAAGCCACGATAGCCAGAGTAAATTGAAGACCCTTCATTTCAAGTTCGTACTGAAAGACACTTACCATTTGACGACTGAAACGTCCGTTCCTGAGCGAATCGGGGTTGCACGGAATTCAGCTGAAATACCCTGAACTAGGCCACGACCCTTTGCATTCACTTCGAGTCTAGCTTCACTTCAACTGTCTCTACTATTGAAAGGCCAAGACGGGAACCGTTGTTTTTGCCTGCGCAATCTGGATCTCTTGAACGAGACGAGACCCTTTAGTATTGAGCGAGGCGTGATCCGCTGGATTGCTAGTTCGGGGTGGCTGCGCCTCGGTCATCATATCAAGACACGACATTGACGCGCGTGGTATAGTGTTTTGTTTGGATTTGCATAAACAAAATATGTCACTCTTCCCTGGACGACGGAGGGTGATGACGACGGGGGAACAGATCATGACCCGGTGGTTCGGAGTGGGCATGTGTAATTTGGACGTTACCGAGATGAGCTTCGGCATCTAGTATGGATCTTAGAAACATGCATGATTTATTGTACAGTACACTTCGCCCACGTTGTCTCACGTGCTATTAACGCATGTCTTATACAGTCTCTGAACTGGAATGTGGAATTCCATATCATGAGGACGTCTAATTACATCTCGATGGAATACACAACTCTGACGAGCTACTGTCTAAGCCGCGATCCTGCAATTAATACGTGCTCAGTAATTGTCAGCATACGTACTCGAATGCTAGCAAGCCTCCTTCGCCTAAAAGATGCACTTGTCGATGGATGCCTCGTGCTTGACAGTCCAGCTCATTGACAAGGTTTCCACCAAAAAGCGGGGGGGTCTTAGCCGACTTCTTCAAAGGGTTCCAGAAGAACGCGCTCATGGCCAAGTCACGTCAAGTCAATCTTATTTCCGACCTCTGCACAAACTTAGGTTAATATTATGTTTACTTTTTAGACTTTGTAGCTGCAGAACAGAGAGATTAGCAGAGGCTTAGATGCCCCGCATGAGTGGTATTTCTTCACTGAGTCTGCACTAAAGCAGTGAGATGGAGTTGTAAAACGTTGAGGTTTCCTTTTTGTCAGGCTATTTCGCCACGCTGAAGTCATTCTTACACTGAAGATGCTGCGTGTTGGATTTTCCCCTGAAGCCAGTGGAGATTATCAAGAAATCGCCGAGCGCAAGGCAGACGCAGAGATTCTTCCGTTGACGAGACGAAATAATCACGGAGCACGGAGCGAGACGAGTTGACAGTTACATAATCCCTGCGTGTCATCTCGATTCCATGTAGATCCAAGAATTCGAACTTCACCAGAAGCTCACCGGAAGAACAAGGGTCAGAATCCCACCAGAGCTGATCGGCCTTCCCTCCGCATAAAATCGATTTCAAATCGCTGGAAACACAGTAGTAATGCAATCGTGATAAAATCGAGATTGGACAGGTAACCCGCGCGGACTCCTTCGTTTCTATCCATCCATTCATATTACGGTACGTCAGCAGCGCTATGCAACACAACACGGCCCCAGGAACATGGACTCGGTGCGCTTAGGTTTAGTTGAGTTTACTGGGATCATGGATGAATGAATGGCTAAATGTTTCTTTGTTCTGTGCCTTGGAAGTTGTTCTCTCATCGACGTAATGGCTGATGGATAATATCGTGGATACCACCTGAAGCCATTTCATTAATTTCCAAATGTCTGGCTTAGCTAAAATGCATGGGGATAGAAAGAAAAAACAGGGTTGCATGGTGTCCCTGCAGCGGAATAAGATCCAGGTACCAGACCGGTGTAATTGGCTGCCTTTTTTCTCACCCATCCACTCTTGATCTGTCTTTTGACGCCATCAAATGGTCTACTCTCTGATGCTGCCTCCAAGGCAGAATAAGCCTAAGCAGAGCCTTTTCCACACTAGCAGAAGAAAAAAAAGGGAGATGACTACCCGATGTGGGTAATCTACCAGTCGGGCATCCAGTCCGCGACGCCGCTTGTGTTCCTTTTGGACTGATGGAGAGACGTTAAGGTGGACGGGAGGAACCCGTTGAGACGGTGCAGCGCCTTTGGGTCGGGCCCCTTTGCCGGAGGATGGGCTAACGAGAATTAGAGAGACGGGCTCGGAACGGTGGTTTCCAAAAACTCTCTACGCGAACAGATGCATATTATTCGGATTTCCTACTATGGATATTTTTTTCTACCTGTGAGAAACCCCTTTCGTCCAATGGATTGTTGAGGTGGTGGTGCCGACACAGCTCAATGGCTTCAACTTGTGCTCAGAGGCTGTTTTGGTGAGAGGGGCAAGTTTAATTTGCACCTCATAGTCAGGAGGGGAAGGCCCTTTAAACTCCAATGAGGCTTGGGTGAATGAGACGAACATAAGGGATGAAAGTATATGTTGCGTGATATTATATGCTGCCTCTAAGATATAGTCGATGCAGGCCATCATCATAGCGGCGCTATAGTGTAGATGATATGGACTGCAGTATGTGAGAAGTGACAGTCTCTGGCTGCGCTGCTGATGATCTCTTGCTCGTATCAGCCAACCCTGTACCTCTTTTTGAGATTCATCACAAACACCAGATCGTCTAGACTGTCTCTCTGCCTTTCAGTGTGGCTCATGTTGCGCTGGCTAAGACTGTTCTATCCAGAAACGCGTTCCCTCCCTTGGAGTGTTTGAACATCCTCGGATTCACAGGCACCGTTTTCGCATATGACATGAGCCGTTAGAACCCCTGTTTCTCACAAGCCTCTCAGTATCACAACACCAATAAGCATATTCCTCCATGATTACGCCATTGAACCAACCAATTCGATCTCGACTGACTGTTTGTTTCTCTATTCTCCCAAACCTGGTTCCATGAAATCACCCTTGCTCTCATTCCCAGACCCAGACCCCCCGCCATCCAGGCCTGTTTAGGTCAACTGACTCGATATTGGCCCCCCTCTCACCAGCAAATTTAGCGTGCGAAAAAGAGACCTTCCCAGCTGAAAGGACCCAGCAAAAGAACCAGAGTTGCTTCCCCGGGGGCACCATTCGGCCAATGGTGTTGTCTGTGACCTCTTGGTCGACTCATTTTCGTCTTGGTCATAGATGTGGGATAGAGTCGAGGAAGAAGGAGGGTGACAAACAGGATGGACCAAACGGAAAAGACGCCGCAGGGCAGGGTGACAGTGAAAGTGAAAGCCACGAGGCATGCGCCGCAGACCATACAAACCCAACGGTCACAGTCGTACAAATCACATGGAATTTTAGCTTGGAGGGCCTCGTTCGATCTTTTTTGTCAACCTCGAGCCCCTTTGCTCCCTCTGCCTGGGCTGGGCTGCCTTGTTGGGTGGTAGATGGTGGATAGAACCACCATTGAATTTTTACTTTTGATGTGCTTCTTGCTTGGGTCTCGTCTCGTTTCTTCCATTCCCCGCGCCACCTGCTACTGCAATAACTGCGACTTTGTGGCTCTTCTGAGTGAGTCCAGTCGCTCTCCCTTGTCTCATTTCTCTGTTCCCTGGATTTCTCTCCGTCCGGGCTGTTCACTCCGCCCAAGACTTTTGTCTGATATACTCCCCCATTCAGACAAACAACAACAAAATAAATGCACGACCGAGCTTCCTCCCTCTAGCTTCTCGACTTCCAAGTTTGCAAATCGATTCAACCTCCGATTCTCGGTTCAATCACTCGTTTGGGTACATCTCGTCTCCCTTTAGAGCCGGACTTCTCATAACAGCGGCGCCCAAGCTCCCCTGCTGGTGCTGTTAGCGACGAATAACCCCCCCTGTCGGCTGGTTTTTGGGCCTGGGCTGGGGCTGCGGAATATCCTTGTCGTTGAAATTCAACCTACCCGCCCTGCCAATCCAATCCGGCTTCCCCGTCCCTGTACAGAAAGTTAACGCTCCGTGCAGGGTGCTGGCTGTGCTTTCTTTGCGTATTTGCGAGTTTTTCGTTCTTAATGTACTCTTGGACCTGGACCTGAGCACAGGCTGAAGCCATTCATTTGTTCTTCTCATCACTTTCGAAGCTGGAACTGGATGCCGGCTGGGTTGTTTTGTCTGTGTCAAGGCGAAATTCGGCGTCCTTTCTTTTAACCTAACCGTGGGGTCCATCTCTCGACACCCATCATTTTCCACAGGAATCATACCTTTGACCAGCCCACACCGAATCCGCCTTTTCTCCAAAGACCAACTCTTTCTCGCATTCGTTCTTCAACACCGATCGACTTCTTGGTTAGATAGCTGTGCTTGTGACTGAGGTTCTTGCCATCATTTTTTGTGCGGCTTGTTTCGAAACTCTGGAACGACACTCGACCCTCGCTCACGAACCGCCGAAACCTTCACCACCAAAGCAACCGCTTTTTTTGCTTCTGGCCCAGCCTTTGCCAAATTCCAGTTACGGATCGAATACCTTGTTCTAGAACCGACAGCAATGGCCAAGAGCTATTGCTACATTTTATCAAATACGATCTCTTCATTTTCAGATATCTGCGCTGCTACGGTCGGCGCACCTTGCCGGAGGACGCAGTACAGTGACTAACTGAACGCTACCAACTGCATCACCGACGAAACGACGAACACGACCAAAAATTCGATACCCTTGCACACAAAGCGAAACTTCGTTTTGTAAGCAAATTTATACCTGCCCGCTGGGCGACCATAGTTTTTGCCAGCCTCTGGCGCCCAGCAGCAGCATCTGATTCCACGACTGCCAAGTGCATCACACCATGACTCCCCTCGCTATTTCTGTACCCGACGCTCCGGGTTCACCACATGCAACCCGAGGCAAGTTTGCCTTTTATGGTAATCGACAACGGGATAGTGAGAACAGTAGCCTTGCACCAGGTACCTCGACAAGTGATGCATCACCTTATGCCTCGCCTATGACTTCACCATCAATGTCTCCGTTAGCATCTCCTCGGGTTCAGATAGTGCCGTTTGGATCAGCCTACCGACATACTCGCCAACCCTCTGATGAGTCTCTGTCACATTTACCTCCTTTGCCAGTTTCACCAAGATGGGATTCAATGTCAAACCCTTCAAGATTTATTCTTGGACAGTCAATATCACAACGAGCAGGATCACCATTTGACTCTCCGCACTCGCCCTCACCTTTAAGCTACGATACTGCGGCAAGCACTCCCGTCGAATCTCGAAACACGTCTCCGACATTTCTGACATCCAAATCGTCACTGGCTGACCTGCGCGCCTACGACAGCCTGCCACCCACCGTGGAGAACTTCTCGCGGCCGCGGAAGCAAAGTATCCGCCAGCCAATGACAGACGCGCCTAAGCTACGACCAGTCCACAGTACCCTGGCTACCGCTACCGCTACCGCGACTGCGACCGCTACATCGCCCTCTACCCCCGGCCTCAATCCCGCCGACCAGTACCTGGAGCTTGTATCACCTTCGCAACATCCCTTATGGCCTCCTCCTCCACGTCCCCGCGGTCCTTCAGTTTCATCTTGTCAGTCTTCATCTACCTACCACTCGGTCCTATCTCCACCTTCCAACGACTTTTATGAGCCTCGAGCGCCCCGTGCTCGGACGGCCAATGGTGCGACAGCTTCCGCCGCACGGCCACCATTAAGCTACTCCAACCCAGGGTCGGCCTCACCGAGCCCTGTCGTCGCCCCGTGGATGAGTGGTGAAGAATTTAGATCGAGCTTTCGCTCTCAATTCACAGAATCTACTGCTCCAGGAACTGCAGTAACTGAGAGAAGTAGCGTCCTTACAAAGGACAGCTCCGTTACATCATTATATCCGAGCCCTGAAGGCGAAGGGGAGCAAGAAGTCAACCCTGAAAACGACAACGACCCCGAACACGACGAACCGAGCCTTGAGGATGTTATGGGCATGTACGAGCAAGGTTTCGACGACGACGAAGACGACGTGCACTACCCTGATCATCACAACAGAAATTCTCGCCCCGTGACATCAACCTCAAACATGGATCAGCGACACAGCATCAGAGACGATGCAGATGACGAGGATTTTCCTCAACGCAAGGTTCAAGAGTCCAACTCGACCCTTGACATGGAGATTCGGATGTCCAAGATGATCTTCACCCATCCAGCCTTCACATCATCAGTTCCTCATATCGCCGAAAACTACGGTCGCGGAATGAACGAAAAGCGAGATTCGGCCAAGTCTTTGGACTCTGAGCCTTCTCTCAATGAACAACCTTCTTCCGCTGTCGAATCAACTCCCACAAGCGCACCACCTGTCTCCGCGCCCCTCTCACCCGTTGGTGAGCCTTCCGAGCGACCCGAAACCCCTGAATCTGGACGCAATATGGGCTACGCTTCGGAGCCCGCACCTGAACCAACACCGACAGCAGCACCCGCACCCATTCCTGAGCCTCAGCCTGTACCTGAGCCAGTATACGCCCCTCCACCACCTGTTGTTGCACCTGAACCTGTCGAGCCCGAGGACCCTGGCGCTCGTGACCGATACGGCTTCAAGAAGGAGAACCAGTACGTGACGCGGCAGCAATATGATACCTGGAATGCTGGATACACCGAGTACCTGGCACGCCGTCGGAAGAAGTGGAATGCCTACCTCAAGGATAATGCTCTCATGACAGATCACCCCAACCGATTCCCTGCTCCCAACGCAAAGACAAAACGCTTTGTTCGCAAGGGCATTCCTCCGGAATGGCGCGGTGCAGCTTGGTTCTACTACGCTGGTGGTCCCGCCATTCTGGCAAAGCACTCGGGTCTCTACGATAAGCTAACAACTAAGCGAGCTAAGGACGTTGATGCTGAAGCTATCGAGCGAGATTTGCATCGGACATTCCCTGACAACATTAAGTTCAAGCCCCCCGGCGGGATGGACACGGCATCGAGCAGCGCTAGAGAAAGCCAATCAACAATGTCGGACTCTACTCGGGGCTCTAGCCCATCGCCTCCCAATGTGGACGGAGAGACACCAATCATCACTTCTCTTCGCCGCGTGCTCCATGCCTTTGCTGTCTACAACCCTCGGATCGGATACTGCCAGAGCTTGAATTTCCTTGCTGGTCTTCTCCTTCTGTTTGTTGACACTGAGGAGCAGTGCTTTTGGCTTCTCAATGTCATTACACGCATCTACCTCCCCGGTACCCATGAGATGAGTCTCGAGGGCTCCAAGATTGATCTGGGCGTTCTCATGACTGAGATGCGTACCTCCATGCCTGCCGTCTGGGATAAGGTCGGTGGCGAGCTTGAGGCTGATCCCAACTCACGACCCTCGACAAGCAAATCCATTCGCCTCACTCGTTCGCGTCGCAAGGAACTCGCACGCATGTCAACACCAACTGACCGACTTCCACCAATCACTCTTTGCATGACGGCTTGGTTTATGAGTTGCTTCATTGGAACGCTCCCGATTGAGACTACTCTCCGCGTGTGGGATGTCTTCTTCTACGAGGGTTCCAAGACTCTGTTCCGCATTGCACTAGCCATCTTCAAGCTGGGTGAGAGCGAGATTCGGGCTGTAGCCGATCCTATGGAAATGTTTGGTGTCGTGCAATCAATGCCTCGCCGGCTGATCGACGCTAACGCCCTTATGGAGGCTTGCTTCAAACGACGGAATGGCTTCGGGCACCTCAGCCAGGTCCAGATTGACGAAAAGCGTCAGCAACGACGAGCTAAGGCGCAGCTGGATCGAGTCCGTCAGGGCAAGACGTGGAACGTGGGATAGTCGGAGTCGGAGAACAGCCACCACTGTCTACCCCGACCCGAAACACCAGGAAATTAAACGTCTGAGCCGCGTCAACATTATCACATCACCTCAACCCTTCAACACTCCTTCAATATCTCCTTTTACTACCTCATCTTCTTTCTCATTTCGGTACACCCTGGCTCGCACTGAAACAGGTGCGAGCCACCGAACCTTATCATGGAATGGCGTTTCAATGGAAGGCATGGTCTATTTCTCGATTTAGCCGGCATTATGTCTTCGTTTTTTTCTTTATTCACTTTCATACTCAACCTTCCTTTCAAAATTTCCTTTACTTCTTTTTCAGCTACCCCAATATCAGGGGGAGCTCGTTCACAATGTCTTAAAGCAGCGGGGAGGGATCAGCGTTGGACGGCTGGAATGTACAGGATGGAATGGAACCTAAAAAAGGAACATTGTTTTATACTTGATGACGATGGTTTACGGCTGCATTGCGACAAGACAAAAAAAGCACCACCAACCTCACAGCACTCTTGTAGGGAAGAAAAAGACTTCTTACGGAGGGAGGCATGGCTAGGATGCAAAGGACTGGCAAAGCCAGGCGGTGTCTGATTTTCATATAGATGGGGGGAAAATTACGTATGAACTGGGTAGAACCTTATTGTCGAGGAGTAGATTTGGGGGAAAACCTTTTTTGATACCCTAATGGAATGAAAGATAATTACATGACTGTTCTCTTTGCCTCCGCGCGAGGTCTATTGATGTCCCACCGTTGTCCACACGCTTCGATCTGTCTGAGACAAGGTGATCGGGATATTTACTCGTGATAAATGATAATGTCTCATGATGAGTCTTGTGAGCATGGCCAAAAGTGAGACAAAAATCAGCCATGTTGCGCTGAAATAACTGAGAAGGATTGAATAGGTATGCTGACACTGACACTGACACTGACCTTGAGACTGGAGTATTCTCAGAAGGACGCAAAAAATAAAGTGTCAAAGTTGAGCGTTTGTCATACTAAACACATCTGATCTAGGATTTCTGTCACTTGGGACTAAGATCTCACATTTCCATTCATCCGACTTCAGCTGAGTTAGCCTCAATCAGCATGACAAACATTGTTGCTTACCAGGCTCGCCCTTGAGAAATTCTACGTATACCATGGCACGTCTTTTGCCACGACGCCAAAGAACTGGCAAAGATTAGCTGATATACATGAGCTCACGATGATCTGGAGGACTTTGTGATGAGAGAGAAGTCGTCTTTCGTCGCTGTAGTTCATCTGGATTTTCCTTTCCAATAATGATATACCGATAGAAAGCCTGGAGAGGCATCAAGATACATCATGTGTGTTCGCTATTCCATTTAGCTGATCTCGCCCTTTTCAAGCATTCGCTATAAAATTCCCAAGACACCTAGCAAGACGCCTCCTGATGCCACGCAACCAGTTTCTGAACCTTCCTCGCTCTTGTCGCTCCCCCTCCCCCTCGTAAGTCGATGTGATGATATCTTCCACTAAATCAGTCCGGAGTTGGTCATATTCTAGTTGTCTTTGTGCTACTTCCTGCATGATTTCCCATGCCTTTTCTCTCTGCTGTGGACTTTGATGGTCCAAAGGCAATGGGGGGTGTAGCATTCTAGGGTGTGTAACGTGTCTCAGCCTTGTTACTGGTATTTGTGGTCTGAAATACGATTGAGGTGCAGGAGCGGGAGGCGCAGACGTAGCATCTATACCGAAAGGTCCTGGTATTACGGCGCAGCACCCGTTGTTTCCATGGCTGTCATTCTAGGCAACTGGAGGGAAATCAGGTGAACCCATTGCATACTGCTCAACTTGTTTCTTGGCGGTTTTATTAAACTCGGCACGGTTGTTCTGATACTCTTGAGCAATGCGCTCCTCAAGAGGGCTGTCGATCTGGGGCTCCTCTAGGAGATTACGAAGGCCCTCGAGAACGGCGCGGAGCTGCGTGCTAGGTTTCCAAGCATCGGGCTTGAGGAGGCCAAGGCAGATGTTGCCTTGGCCGTCGTTTGTGACGTTGGGGTGATAGATCCGAGTGACGAACTTGACGACAGGCGGCTTGAAGGGGTACCCAGTTGGCAGGGTCAGGACGATTCCGAATTTGCCTGGGTAGTAGGGAGATGACTCAGGTGCCGTGAGCGTTACATGCCAGGTGTAGATGGACTCATCAGGTGGGAGGGAAACGGTGAAACCCTCAGGCGGGTTTTGAGAAATCTCAGCGAATTCCTTGAATATGTTAATCGGTGGTATCAAGAATGGAAGGGAGGAAGATTTACCTTTGTGATACGCTTGGACATTGTCGGACGATGTAGTTATTACCTAGCTTTTCTTATGGATGGGGGATGATGTTGTGCCTCTCCTTCACTTGCGGGGCTATTCTCTTGATAGTCTCGATATTGAAATGATGATGGGTTGAGCGATAGACTGTTTGCGTGATGTAGATGCAGATGTAGATGTTGAAGTTGGAAGTAGGAGGTGTAGAAGGAAAGGAAAGGTATGACGATGGTGGGGTACCTTGCTGCTGTTGGAGGCAACAGCTATCGATGTACCTACGAAGCTTAGCGTAGCGTACCTTACCTGCAATCCATCACCCAGGAAGCAAGAAAACTTCTGATGCTAAGCCAGGCTGCCAAAATTAATTGGTCTAAAGGCCTGCTAAGATATAAGTACCTAACTTACCTAATTCTTTTTCTCACTGAGGATCAGGGTCCTAAGTTTTCTTGCCCCCCCCTACCTTAGCCATGTTAAAGCTTCTGTGGGGCAGGCTCATTGATGAAACGCAGTGGAGCAGTCAAGTTATGAGCGAGAACCTTCAGGTTGCAGTGCTTTGAGGAAACGCATCCATTACTATGGGATATGGGCGGGACTCTGAAAGAATCGATCTGAGAGACGCGGGAAATTGTGCTGCATGTCAGTGTTTATATAAAAATAATAATAACAAGGTTGTCTATATGCTGTCTTGCTCTAGTACGCTAAGACATTAGACAGGGTTCAGACAGACTCAGGGAACTCTTTAAGTGTTGGTCTCTGATAAACAGTTGAGAAAATATAAGTAATCGGATATAGGATTGAAACAGATGCACATTAGAAGAGCCTGGCTGCCGGGGCACAGCGCATGACGGCATCCTATTTCTCGAGAGGAGACTACTTTCACCCATGGAAGGGAAGGGTTCCAGCATGAGAGCATCAAGTATCGTAGCTGTTCAACACAGAATCAAGGTTACAGGAGCTCCAAACCAAGAACAACCCGAGATACCCAAGGGTCATGCTGCTCACACTGATATACATCGCATTACTGTTCTTCCAACACTGAATCACGCATCACCCAGAAACTCCCTGAACGAAACTTTTACCCTACCAAGGACTTGAATCGTCAATTAGTTTGCTCCTATACCACGCATCTCCCCAATGTATATCTAAACATCCATCATCGACAAACATCCTTTTGAAACAGATCATATCGCTCAATCCTAACCGTCGGTACCACTGCTCCTGAATGTTGCGCACAGCGCAGCATAGTGATGTGTGAGATCCAGCACATTCTGCGGCAAGCTAGTAGCTTGAATGATGCTTCGGACCTTCACTGCTCCCTCGTCCTCGATAAGAGTCCGTATTGTGTGCAGCAGCTCAGGGCTGAACTCGCTGTACCATCGATACTGCCATGTCACTAGTCGGATGACGGATGCCACCGTCTCTCTTGTGCTCTTGGTCTTTTCAAAGACACGTAGGATGCCCGCGAGGGCCTTGGGGCTGAATCGGATTGACAGGCATGCGCGATACGCCTCGACAGCTTCGTCGACGTGCTGAAGACGCTCGGCGAGAGAACCAAGGATCTCCCACTCCTCTGCCGACTTCTTGTACTGCATCTGCTGGGCGCGGTACTGAGCCATCTGGGTACGCCAGATTGTGTAGACACGCAGGTCTTCGTAGAGCACCATGAAGAGGCTGTCTAGCCAGCGCTCACAAAGACGCTTGGTGTTGAGCTTGGACAGATGCTCGTCATTCTTGGTTGTCTGTGAATTGTTAGCTTTGATCCTGCATGATATGTAAATAGAGCCTACCTCGCTGTCCGCCTTTGCCTCGCCTGGATCGATAACATTAGAAGGCTTCTCGATCTTATCCTGTTCGCTAGTACCGTTGGTGGCAGGGACTTCCTCGCTGGCTTCCTCAGCTTTGGAAGTGGCCTCATCAAGCTTCTCTGCCTCTTCATCCTCGGTCTCATCATCTTGGTTGACGGTCTGATCAGGTGTGCCCCGTAGACCATCTGTGCTAGGAGTTCTCTTCGCTGAAGAGGCTGGCTGAGTAGCCTCTTGCTTCTCTGTGCGATACTCATCCTCCATCACAAATACATTACTCCTGATCTTCAGCAACTGATCCCAGCCAATCTTGGCCGTCATCTCGGTCAGAATGTCATACGCCTTCTTAAAAGTGCCCCTGTAGGATGCTGCGCGCAGGTTGAGCAAGCTAGGGTCGACCTGTTCCGAGTATCGTGATTCAGGCTCGCTGTCAATCTCGTCAAGGCGAGTTTCGGGGAGGGTTGGCAAGTGAACCTCCTTTGGTTCTGGCATCAGAGGCGTGTCCTTGTCTTGGTAAGTGAACATAGGGCATGAGTTGAGAATGGTAAGCGCATTGTCCCAATCCTCCATAGCTACGTAGACTTGAGCCAGTCTCGCCCAGGTGCTGAACTCGGTTGGGGCAGCGACAGTAGCGCGATCCGCACAGCCAAGAGACATCTTGAGTCTTTCGTCTCTAAGCTCAGGCGTAGGGGCACTCTTGGCCTTGTGCAACAGGAATTCAGCTTGAGTGTCGAGCATGACATAGTCCATAGGAGTCTCTTGCAAGGACTGGTGAAGCGTTCGGACACCAGCAACCTCCTCATGGCCCATGAACATGACCTTTGCCAGTAGAGATGATACCTCAACGCTTTGCGTTCGAAGTTTCTCAAACAAGTTGATTCCAGAGGCATATCGTCCGGTTGTCTCGAGGTACTTGAGCAGACCCGTAGTTAGGTGATTCGACACGTTGGTAGGCACCTGAACCACAGAATCGGAACCCAGCTGCCATCCTAGAACGTTGGTTAGCCTAGGTAGAGTAGCCAGTTTGGGGTGGCATACCCCTGAAGAAGAGCTGTTCTGCGGCATGGAGGAAACGATGCTCGGTTTCAGTGTTTGTAACAGGATTGAATCTTCGAACACCCATGATCTTTCGAATGGTATCGCCGCTGCCATCGTCTGCGTATGAGTAAGCTCGAAGAACACTGCATAGATAAGTCTCCAGCCAAAGCTCCTCCGATGCTTTCCTCTTCTCGCCTCGTTCGTCAACGCAGTAGCTTTCTACGGTTCCGGGGATCGATACGTGTACGCGCATGTCGAGTCGCGAGAACGCATTGTAGCAGCTATTCAGAATTAGGGCCTGCAATCGCGAATGCAGGGGCGCATAGGAGTCATGACGCACCAGTAGACACCCTCGACAATCTTGTTTGTCGCATTTGGCCCAGATTCTTTGTAGGTTAGGGTATTAATATATGCTGCCAGACTCGCAGAAGAGGATGCATCGACGCCGGTAACATGGTGATAAACGCCAGTCTTCAGAAAATTAGTTCCTGGTCTCCCTTGCGCCGAGAAGCTTGCATACCTGTTTAGCTGGGTTTCGCACGGCATGCTTGAGAAGATGAACAAGATCGGGAGGACCAAGTTCTCTTAGACCAGAGAGGGATTCGGTTCGTGCATCGATCGACTCGTGGAGGATCTCCTCGGTGATTCTATCTTGAGATTAGCTATATGAACGCCAAGCATCTCGATGGTGTTGCGCACTCAGGGACCGCTGGCGCGACCATGACGACGAGCTCCTCGTGAACCGCTAATGGAAATCAGAGTCGAGATTGTAGCCAGGATTGTCGAAATTGACTCGTCTAGGGAATAAAGAGGGAAAAGTCGAGGTCGGTTGCGATCTCTTTGTTCTCGAATCGAGGACTGCGGAGCGGGCGTAAGATGTGGAAGCCAACAGTTGCTGGTCCCTCCTTAAGATCTGGCCTTGCTCCTTGCTCTCCTTGATAGCTGGAGCTACGTACTGAGTTAGTCCAGGCCACGTTAGGGGCCGTGCAGCTCTAAACACCGCCACATCCACGTGCTCCTACCGCAATAAACCGAGTCTCTGTGTGGCGTAATGGGGCTGAAATGATCCGCGTCTTAGAACGCGCTTTCGTCAGGGCAATTAATGAGGTGGACATCCGCTAAGCATGTCGAATTGTCCCCAAACTCTCATCAAAATAGCCAACTTGTTAGGATATATCCTTTATCGCAAACACGAATGTCGGCTGTTGCTTTAGAAGCATTGCAACCGCCAATATGGTACGATGCCCAGATGTTGGAGAGAATCTTTGCTAATTAAATAATTAAAGCCGGCATTCCAAGCAATCAACCTCGAGCCAGAGGATAATATCGATGAACAAATCGATACCACAAAAGAGATTCATGTGAGATTGATAGCTAACTAAACAATCGCGCACACTAACTGACCTATTCCAGGTCGACGAAGCTCTAAAAAGGTTCCAGAATGCCTTAAAACTCCATGCACAAGGACCCCGATCGCGCGAAGCTGCCGAAACCGCATACAACGAGCTATTCGAATCCGAGATCTTCAAATACCGAGAAGCCAAAACTGACTACGAACGAGCAGAGCGACATGCAGACGGTCAACCAGATGTGTCCAACTTGGACCATTCCCTCACAGATGGAGGATTAGATGTCGATGCCGGAGGGGCAGATGGTGTCGCAGCTAGTCTTGCTCAAGCGCTCTACTTATCCTACAAAAACTACGGCCAGTTCTTTGTCGACAAGTACAAGGACGAATCTACCTCAAATCCGGCATTCAAGGAAAAGACCCGACTGAAATATCATGACGACCATGGAAACAAAGTTTTGGATAGCTGGATGACTGCTTTGGACCAGGACCCATCCGATCCAGAGCTCTGGAGAAGGGCTGCTCGATTCGCAGGCGCCATGAATAGCCACCGTATCAAGCGGTATTGTCTTGAGGCTGCGATTGAGTTGGATGACGACCCGGCTGTTGTGGAAGTTGAGCCTCCCTCTTTAGCAGAAGGCATGGCAGGTGAGCAGTTGAAAGACCAACTGCAGCTTCTTGGCGATGAGATGGCTCTATCGCATCCAATAATGGCTCCCTGGCTTAAGAAGAAAATGCCTGCTCTTCTCAAGCGTCACCTTGATCCCATCCCCTTTCTACCAGACCCGACTAGGTCATTAATACCACCCAAAGACCCCGTTACTCAGGATCAGACTGTGGAAGACACAGAAATGAGAGAAGCCGAGGATGCAAGCCGCAGCGGCCCCAAGACAGTGTCCTCCTGGGCAAGTCTTGGTGATGAACTCATAAATTGTCTTACAAATTCCACCGAGGTATTTGACATATTTGATGAAATCGTACAGAGCAGCGTGGACGAGGTTGTCGTAGAAACACCCTCGAACGATTCTGAAAGCATCAGTTCAGAGATTCAAGTTGCGATAGGAAGGCCGATCCAGCCAGCGGAACCATCCGAGAAGAGTAGCCCCGAAGCAGAGTCCAAGGATCAAAAGGCTGCATCTGAGGCCACCGAAGACAGCCAAAAGGCTGGTGACCAAACCAAAAAAGAAGCCAACGGAGTATCAACAAGAAAACGATCGCAATCTGCAGCGGGACTGCCAGACGGCGCGGAAGAAGAGAATGCGACCGAGAAACGCAGTAAACGAGTTCGACGAAGAGAAACACTACAAGCTGAGGAATCAACTGATCCCAGCACATTAATCGCTAATCAATTGCAGCCTTACCAAGGCGCTGACCAAAACCTATTCCAAATGACCAAGAGCGTTCTGGAAAATCTGGGCGTGGACGACAAGTCGACCTTCGATTTCATCACTGAACTCATCGATTCATGCGCTGTTGAAGACCGACCAGGAAAGATTACGAATCTGGCCGCAGGAGATCTGAGCAGTGCCATTGTTGACTTTCGCGAGGAGGTCGCCAAGGTGTTCTTGCACAAGAATGAACAAGCCCCTCTCGGCCCATCATCTTTCTTGGAGCATGCGAAGACAAGTTCGCAAGACCAGAACTCAACGCCGACTTTCAATGAGACACAGGGCTTAAGGGCGTTTGCTACAAAGGTCGGAGAATCTCGATCGTGGATGACCGTTGAAGATGTCGCATATGAATGGGTCAGAGCTGTTAGCCAGAGCTATGCAACAACCAAGTGGTCCGACAAGATGAAGCTATCTGTAGTCCAGATGCTCAATCATTCGGATTCAGCTTTGCATCAAAGAATCACTGAAAAAATGGAGTTGGCTACTGGTTCACTCGAGAAGCTGGCCGAGCTCGAAACCATCGTCCCTATGATCTATGAACTTCATATCGACATATACGAACTCATCACCAATCCCAGTAGCGTTGTGGATTATGCAACTCGTATGAAGACCAAATACCGCCTCGGACGGTGGCTTGATGTTGCTTCTGCTTACATCCAAGCACTTGACCGCCCTTCAAATGATGAACTTTCAGCACGTTTCTTATGGACCTCAGTTCTTGTGTCTTCACATTCTGAGCAGCCCGTGCGCGAACACATTCTTCTCATGTGGACATCTCTACGGGATCACCTGGCAGATGAGAAGATCCCAACCATTTCACTGCCAAACAACGTGGTCATGCCAACGATCTCCCCAGAAGCCGCTGATCGCGAAATCTCCAAGCTCACTACAATGGACTTTTTCCTCGGATTGTTTCAGGATAACATGGAGGATCCAGTATCTGTCATTGAGACGCTAGAGCCCGTTCTCAACCCTTCTTCAGTCTGCGCCCCCCCCCGGGAGTCAGACTCCGAGAGTCCGGGTACTGAAGCTGATGATGCAAGCTCAAGCGACAAGCAAAAGAAGTCACTTTCGGACTGTGCAAGTCAGAGCCTGCAAGATCTATGGAAATTTCTTCATAACAGTAGCACAGAGCTTAGGTTGTTTCTGTGGTCACGTTTAGGAGCCGCTTACGATGCTATCGGTTATCCCACCAAGAAATTCTCTTGTTGCCTAAAGAGCATTGAGTTGATCGTATCAGATCTGGAAGGCGAAACATATGCCAACACTCCGGCCGACTCCAGGAAGTTGCTCTTGATGCGCACTCTGAAATCGCTGGATGAGCTCCTCATTAGTGCGCTGTACTCTGCGCTCAATGATAACACCGCTTTCGAAATTATTGACGACGCTCACATCAAATCTACTACTGCCGCGCTCGCCAAGGTCAACTGTTTACTGCACGTGTCGAGCCTCTGCGAAGACGAGGTTCGTATTGGCCTCAAGACAGAACGTCCTGGCAATGCTGCTTCGAAAGCAGCCCTCCAATCACTCAAGAACAAGTTGAAGGAAATGCAGATTCGTGCATGGTGCCTCCAATACACCATGTTCAAGGCTGGAATCAATGAGGACAATTGCATAATCGGGTTCGAAAAGGACCTGGCCGACTTCCTCGCCGCCATCCACCAGGTTATTGGCATTCGCAAGTTCTGCAAAGCTTCCAACAAGATCTTCCTCAAGGTTATGCGTGTCGAACTTCTCAAGCTCAAGAACATTGAGAACTGGGAAGACTATCTTGGACAAGTGCTCTACGATTTACATGGCCTCAAACTTGGGGCAGGCGTTTGGGAAGTCCAGGATCATGCCTGTCCTCCCGAGAAGCTTGAGAAGCGACAGACCATGCAACTCGTGGAGAGGGTTACTATTCTCGCGAATCGCATGCCCATGAAAGATCTCCTCAAGTCAGATCTCAAGACAACAATTGATCACATGCAGCAGACTCTTGGCCAAGCAAAGTCAACGTCTCAGATGTATCACAATCTCCGCAACTTTACCGAATACTTGAAGAGGCCTATACACCCACTGCGTCTGTACAGAGCCCTTACTGGGGAAGTTTCAGTCGACGCTGTGTCTGTTAACACGCCGGAGACCATCCTCGCGACTCATGGCTGGTTCTTTTTGCTCGGCATGATGGCTCTCACTAAGTTCAAGGGTGTCGACTTGAATCGTAGACAGACTCCTGGCGCAACCGACGATTTGCGTATAGGTGCGACTTTCTTGCGACTCCAACTTCAGTTCACTGCAGACAGATGGGATGCCTGGTTCCGGTTGGCAGAATGCTTTGACTACGAACTGGATGAGTCGGTTCTTTGGACTGCTGACAAGATGAACAAGGACCGACCTGAGCTGGTCAAGTTCCAGCGAAATGCTATCCATTGCTATACCCTCGCGCTTTCACACTCCCGTAACGTGGAAGTTGAAACGCACGATGGGGACCCTTTGCATGACTTGTATCACAAATTTGCTATGCGAATGTATGCCTCGAGCCGTGAGCCATTCGCTATGGAACCGTTCCATCACTCTGATCAAGAAAGGTACTTTATCGAGGATATGGGAGCTGGAACCTTCAAGAAGATTTTGCACCCGCAAATGAATGAGTACAAAGTCTGGAAATTTGCAGCCAAGCTGTTCAGGATGGCAATGCAACGAAAGCCAACCGATTGGAAGTAAGTTGAAGCTCCCGCGCAGGTGTATGCCGAGTCTAACAGTGACAGGAACCCGTACATGCTCTCCAAGTGCTACTGGAAGATGTACCAGACCTCTGATGACCAACTCGACGTCAAGGACATGAAGTCCAAGATCAGCATTGAACTACTGATCCATACACTTAAGAAAGCAGTCAAGGTAGCGCACAATGCTCGACGGGGTAGGAACAGCGATCCTATCCTCGAGCCACATTACAAGATAGTTTCCATCTTACACAAGCTGGTGATTCGAGGAGACTTACCATCTAAAGACGCTGCTGCGATCTTAGCTGAGCAGCCATTTGGTCTAGCTGTCAACCCTGATGACCACTTTGCTTCCTTCACAGAGCCTGAAGATTGGGAGGAGTATATTATTCGCAATCTCACCAAGCTCAGAGACAAGGATAAGTCTAACTGGCAGCATCGCATCATCATCAGGCACGCTAGAATCCTGTTCGATGAGGCCAATGAGGCGCAGGGCAGCGATAGATTGGTGGAAGCAAAGGCTGCTTTCGGTATTCTTCGGGACAGCATGGTCACTAAAACGATGGTTATGAACGTCTGGAAGTGCGATGCGGAGCGACCCGGTCGACATCACGTTTACACAGAGCAATACGTCCGTTTCATGACCAAGCTATTGGTCATTATGTCAGATCGCAATAATCTGGAGCAGCTTCTGAGACGTCTTCGAAAGAAGGGTGCAGACTATTACCACTTCACCGATTTATGGCAGTCTTGCTGCATGGCTTACCTCAAGCTCTTACGAGAAGGTTACCATGTGTCACCAGTCTCAGACGACGTGTTCAAGTCTCTTTCCAGCGAGGAGTTCGAGGTTATTGGAGAGAGGATCGCAGACTGGGCCGCAAGCGACGGTGCTGACATTCCATTGTTCAATTGCATGAAGGAAACCATCGAGCTGAAGAAACTCAATGCTAATCTTATGAAAGTGGCACCCATTGATGATCTACTGAACGATTGTTACTCCAGGATCTACTCTGAGATAGCCAAGACACTGCCTGGCCCAGACCCTAGCAAGGTCGTGGAGGAGCGACACCATGCTAAAGAAGTTGCGGCCCAGCTCGAAGCAGCGCAAGCAGAGGCAAAAGCCACCAGCTCGCTCGCAAATATTCTCAATGCGCCCAATGGACAGGAGAGCATCACAGGCACAGCAACTCCCATGGAGACAGAGAAGCATGAGGCTGCACCACGGGCACGAAAGCTTGGCGTCAGACGACCCGATGTCTTGCGCAAAGCTGAGCAAGCAGTCGTCCGAGCTCTGGAGGCGCCCAAGTCAAGCAAGAGCAGAGTTGGCAGTGTCTCGAGCGGTAAGCGTGGTAGCCACACGCCTATTCAGCATGCAAGCGATGCGGGCAGCGATGAGGAAGCTGATGCTCAGATTCGACGAGAAGCTGGACACGACGTTGATGTTGATATGAAGGATGCTGGAGATGAGCATGAAGAAGAACACGAAGAGGATCACGAAGACCATGAGGAAGAGCACGACGAGGACCATGAAGATGGCGTGGATGATGACAACGGCGAAGAGCACGCCGAGGATAAGGCTGAGAGCGAGCCAGGCAGTATTCACGATTCAGCCGATGATGAGAGTGACCTCAGCGATGTCCCTGAGGACTACGATGAGGAAGTGCCTCCTGGGCTTATCTTCCCAAACCTCAGACAACATACCGACGAGTCCAGCGGCGAAGACGCTGATAGTGAAAGTGAGGGAGACGACGAAGCTGAAGAGAGCGATGGCGAAGAAGAGGCCGAGGAAGAAGAGGAACACGACGAGAGTCGTGAGGACGGCGAAGAAACTCTGGGTAACGAGGATACAGAGTTGGCGGATGGTGAAGAGGAAGAAGATGAGGTTGACGGCGATGAACGACGAGAGAATTGGGACGCAGACGATTCCGTGAGGGCTGAAGCGTGGTGATTATGTTTTTTCTACGGCGAATTGGCGTCTCAAGGCAGTTTTACTGGGTATCACTATAGGTAGAGGCTGGGATTGGGATAACTATCTGCTGTATCATTATTACACTTAGAATTACCAAAGAAACGATTCGTCACTGGCAAGAAGATGGCCTCAAAAGAATGCCGTTACACACTTTTAACCTTTATAACACAAGGCTGGCACTCCACGAGTTTATGAATACAATATAATTCCTAGGGTTATACCACACGGATGATAGAAGAGAAAGTCAGCCCTTCCGGAAGGACTTGATCACTACTCGTACAATTCTCTGCCGTCCAATCTATTCATCGACAAAGATATCGTCCTGAGCGCCGTCCATGAACCCCATTCGCTGGTTGTAAGTAGGAGTCTTGCCATTAGGGGGGTTGACGTTGTTGCCTTCAGCCTCTGCACGATATTAGTCACTAACAGCCACAAACTCGATCGAGATAAACTCACGGTTCCATGCCATCATCTGCTTGGGTCCAGGGACACACTTGGTAGGGTTGTCACGGCAGTAGACAGGAGGCTTAGGCTTGCCGAGCTTCTTGGTGGAAGTACTTCCAGTGACTTTGCAGCGATGGTTCTGCATGTACATGTTTGGCTGGCCACCTGTTCATGGCGTCAGTTGTGCTTTCGTATACAAGAGGAGAAACTTACAGCCATCGGGGATCCAAAGCCACGCGCAGTAGCAGCCCTCTTCAGGGCATGCAGGCATATCGGCTGGGACGTCGTACCAAGTCTCGCGAAAGAAAGGAGAGCTGTTTCGTCAGTTTTGTATCATGAGTCTCAGACTGGAGTCTTACTAGTATCGCACAGAGAAAACAACAAGGTTATCCATGGTGACCTTGCTGATATCGCTCTCGTACGAGATAGCCCAGGCCGTTCCACCAGTTGACTCAATGTTCTTGGTGTGCAACTCTCCACCCGAGCCATCACCACCATCCATGAGACAACCGCCCTCAGGACCTCTCCAAGGCATAGAGCGGTTCTTGCCATCCTGCCATTCTGTAGTCAACTCTCCCTTGTAAGAGAGTGTCGTGAAGGCACGGTTGTTGGCGAGTTCGGTCATGAAGGATTTCCCGGCTGGAAGCTCAAGGAACTCGCCCTTGGGAGGAGGCACGGCATCGCAGCCACGATCGGCTTGCATCCACCATTTGGACTTGGGGAGATCGTAGAGAGGGTTCACGGCGAGGTTGGTGTTGGAGTTGTCGACAGAAGAGTCATTGCCGCCCTAGAGAGTCAGAATGGAGTGATGAGATGATGGCAGGAGAGGTTTACTTTGCAGTACATGCCCTTGTTCCAAGAAGCAATGTGAGCACTCGCAGAAGCGACGAAAGTGAGAAGAAGAGTAGAAGTATACATGATGAAAAGAACGTAACGATATCAATATCAATGAATGGACAGTGTAATCAATACACCTATAACGAACGAAACTATAGACCAAAAGCATTCCTCATTCTCTCATTCATCAACTTATATATATACAACTCTGCTACACGAAACAATTACACCAAAAACTCCTTTCATCTCAAGATGGTGCAACTTCTGGGAGCGGCCGCCTTTAGAACAACAGGGATAAGAGATGGAGTTTGGCGCTGGCGAAACAAAAGCTGACATGCGCGAAGCCATTCGGGGTTAAAGCACGAGCGTTGAAACTTGTGAAGATCTTCGTGATCCCTGCGCAGAGCGGCCGCTTTACTGGGACGGGGTTGTTTCAGACTTTGCTTGGGCTGGGGAAGGACCGGATGATTTTATTGATGATTCATAAGGCTGAAGAGTGAACAGCTAGAATTAGAATTGAGAATGTCAGTGGCTCAAGAGCTGAAGTTAATGAGAGGTTGCCTAAAGCTTAGTCAATTGGGCTTGATCGAGTTGGACTCATGATCTTTGAAGCTTTGAAGCTTTGACAAGGAGAATGTAAGCGGGCTTGGCAGGCTTGGCAGGCTGGGCTGATGAACTGTGATTAAAGTGGGAGAGCTGAGTGCAACTTTGAAACACGAAATATCTTTAGTGATAGTAAGTAAATGAATTAACTCGTCATCTAAATTAGAGGATCCTTCGTCGACGCACTCATCGTATAACCTCAAGCAGCCTACAGCCACTCCAGGTGACAAATGAGCAATCCACATCTCCTGGCCAAGATAGACATTGAAACACTGAAGCAAGCATCGAAGAATCCTTCGACTTTGACACTTTTCCCCCAACCAAAACAACGCCGAACTGCCGAAACTCCAGTCCAGGCACCAGCACTTAACCCTCCTCCTTGTCCATGTCGTCTCTCCCCCGCTTGCCGCCCTTCTTGCGTCCGCCTTTCAATGTGCTGCCCTTCTTGCCTCTCTCTTCGGTGAAGGACTTCATCTCGACTCTGGCGTGGCGTTGGGCTTCCTCAACTCGGGTCTGGAAAGTGAAGACCTCCTCCTTCTCGGTGGGATACTCAGTGAGCTTCTTGCCGAGGGCAGCCTCGATTCGCGTGAAGATCTCGACATCGTACTGCGTCACCACGCTGATGGCGATACCAGACTTTCCAGCACGGGCTGTTCGTCCGACTCTGTGAATGTATGTCTTGCTATCCTGGGGGAGATCGTAGTTGAGAACAACGTCGACCGAGGGAATATCCAGACCACGGGCGGCGACATCGGTAGCAACAAGAATATCTCGTGTGCCGGAGCGGAACTTGTTAAGGGCGCCTAGACGGGAAGTTTGGGAGAGCTGGCCGTGCAGAGGAATGGCGCCAAATCCAAGGGTCCTTAGCAGGATGGAAATACGCTGTGTCTCCCAGACTGTTCGAGTGAAGATGATCGTGGACTTTCCAACATGCTCGTTAATCAAGTAGATAAGATAAACGTCCTTGCGGACATGAGGAATAAAGATGTAGTGCTGGAGCAGAGTCGAGACGGTCTGGTACTTGTTGGAGCTGATGCTCACACGAACGGGATCTCTCAAACTGGCACGCTGAAGACTCTCAATCTTGGAGCTAATTGTCGCAGAGAAAAGATATGTGCGTCGCTCGCGGGGAATGAACTTGAGAATCTTGTCGATACTAGGTCCAAAGTCCATATCCAAAAGTCGATCGGCCTCGTCCATGATCAAGTACTTGAGGGTTCGTAGCGAAAAGCCCTTGGTCTTCTCAAGATGGTCCACAAGACGACCAGGTGTCGCAACAATAATATGAGGCTTCTTCCCGAGAGCAATGGCCTGGGGTACCATATCAAGACCACCGACAATCACAGCGCATCGTAGAGAGATGAGCGATCCGAGAGCTTCGAAGGCTTGGCCGATCTGGGTTGCCAATTCACGAGTCGGGGCGAGGACGAGACCGAACAGAGGCTGAGGCTTGTCGAGAAGAGCCTGGAGGACGGGAAGAGCAAAGGCAGCTGTCTTTCCACTACCTGTTTCGGCGAGACCGATAATGTCACGGCCTTCGAGAGCGACGGGGATGGACTTTTCTTGGATGGGCGTGGGGTACTTGTAGTTGAGCTTTTCGCAAGCTTCGCAGAGAGCGTCGACAATACCCTGACAATTGTTAGGTACAGAAAGTCAATTAGTAGTTATCAGGACATACGAGATCCTTGAAGGTTTTCTTGGGGGCATCCTCAACTGCTTCCTCAGCAGAAGGCTCCTCTAGAGTAGCGGACTCTTCCTCAGATTGCTCGTCATCAGAAGGCTCAGGCTCAGCTCGAGCAGGTTTCTCCGCAACGACCGGTTTCTTCTTCTTGGGCGCATCGTGCGCGACCTTTCTTCGTTTTGCGCCGAACATGGTGGGCGATGTCTAAGTAAAAGATAGTTCCCACCTCAAAAAAAGATCATCTTTTGTCAAGACTTCACATAAACTTTAGTGGGGACGGCTTATCGCACGTGCGCTAATCTTATCGCAGTCCCCGCCAAACTTTTTTTCTTTTCTGCCATTTGCGACAGAGAGCAGCTCCAAAGCAACTTTTCGACGAGTACAATCTAAACCAAACAAATTTCTTCACAATGGCGCGCAAACGAACAAAGAAGAGAACCCACTTGGGTGCCAGCAATCCCGATGTTGACTCTGCCGGCCATGCATCTGCGAAGGATCCCAAGAGCATGGTTATTCGAATTGGCGCTGGTGAAGTCGGTTCCAGCGTTAGCCAGCTTGCGGCCGATGTGCGAAAGGTCATGGAGCCTGGTACTGCGGCTCGATTGAAGGAGAGACGTGGAAACAGACTAAAGGATTACGCTTCCATGTGCGGTCCTTTGGGTGTTACTCACTTGATGCTGTTTTCGAGATCGGAGAGCGGCAACACCAATTTACGAATGGCTTTGACACCTCGAGGACCTACGATGAACTTTCGCGTGGAGAAATACTCGCTGTGCAAGGATGTTCAAAGAGCTCAGAAGCATCCCAAGGGTGGTGGCAAGGAGTTTATCACTCCTCCTCTGGTAAGAAGTCGTCAATTGTTGTTGACAAGCCTTTCCTAACAATCCACAGCTGGTCATGAACAACTTTACCCGCCCAGACTCGAATAGCAAGTCGAAAGTTCCCAAACACCTTGAATCGCTTGCCACAACCGTCTTCCAATCCCTCTTCCCTCCCATCAACCCCCAAGCTACACCGCTCAAGTCGATCCGACGAGTCCTGCTGCTGAACCGCGAGCAATCGGAGGAAGACGACGGTACATTCATCATTAACTTCCGACACTATGCTATCACAACAAAGTCCACCACAGTGTCCAAGCCTTTACGGAGATTGAATGCTGCTGAGCAATTCGTCACTACAAAAACAAGCCGGAAGGGCAAGATGCCTAACCTGGGTAAACTTGAGGATGTAGCGGATTTCTTGATTGGTGGTGAGAATGGCGATGGATATATGACGGATGCGACTAGCGGTAGTGAGATGGATACAGATGCAGAAGTCGAGATCTTGGACTCTACGACCCGAAAGGTCTTGTCTGCAAAGGCCCGACAAGCAGCCGCCCAGAACGACGCCGAGCCCGAGGCAGAAGAGGAGAACGTTGAGCGTCGCGCCGTCAAGCTCGTCGAACTCGGTCCCCGAATGCGCCTCCGCCTAACCAAGGTCGAAGAGGGTCTCGCCGACGGCAAGGTCATGTGGCATGAGTACGTCCACAAGAGCAAGGAAGAGATCAAGGAGCTCGAGAAGCGATGGGAGAAGCGTCACCAAGAAAAGGAGGCACGAAAGAAGGAGCAAAAGGCCAACGTTGAGCGCAAGAAGGCAGCCAAGGCCAAAGACGGCAAGAAGGATGACGACGATAAGGATGAGTTTGAGTATGACTACGATAGTGATATGGATGTGGATGAGTTTGACAGTGAGGGTCTGGCGGGTGATGCCGAGTTCAAGGTCAATGAGAAGATGGAGGAGGATGGAGAGTGGGAGGACGAGCAGGAGGAGATTGCCAATAGCTGAGTGGGAGACGGCTAGAAGGTTGAGGATTGCATGCTTTGGTTTGGCGTTGTGTATAATGGATGGATTGGGCAATGAATACCTTTGTGATTCTTTGTGATTACATGATGTGTCTATTTGTGAAGTTCACCAAGATGTTCTGTGTTTTAAAGCTGCTCATGATTGTACAGAGGTCATCGTACCTTATGCTGTCGCATTTCGCATTGCCTTATTGAGCTTGAAACATGAAAGTGCAGCGCAACGCCCCTGCATGACTGGTTCAGGGTAAACATGAGGCCAGCAACGCCATGTGAACCATTGGCAAAAGACAAGGTATTCACGCTTCAAGTTTCAACATTTCATCATCATCAAATTTCTCAGTTTATTTACTGGGTATTCTCACTTCGTTTGTATCTTCGGGGATTAGAGACAGCAATATCTGCTCATTACAGCCTCACTTTCGCCCAAAGACCAGGATCAAGTTGTCGTGCCAACTGTGTTCCATGAACGAGTCTCATCACGCGCCTCATCGTTCAACGCATCCAATTGTCACCTACATCAGAAAACATGTTTCGCATACCATCTAGAACTCTAAGGACTTTCGGTCCATCGCTCAAGCGAGCACCGGTCGGCGTGCGCTTCTCATCAACTCAGACATCAACGTCCAGTAACGCTCGTTATGTCTGGTCATCTGCAGCAGTGATTGGCGCTGGTACTGGGGTTTATCTATTCAACGGCAAAGGCACGACGAAAAGCTTGACAAATGAGGTCCCCAGCCTGAAAGACTTCTCTTCGGAGGATCAAATTCCGATCAATTCACCTGTTAAGGAGTTCATCATGGAGGACGCAAATGCCAAGCTGCGTGAAGATGCTCACACTTTTGTCTTCGACGGGAATGGAGGTGTCAAAGGACGAGTCGACTTTGCTCGTCTTGGCAGCAACAATCCGATTGAGGATGAATGGGATCTCAGAATAGCCAAGGGCGTCGGCGGAACGAACACTCTGTACGCTGGAGTTTACGATGGACATGCGTGAGTGACCTGGAAACATTGGATGTGAGCGATGCTAACACAAATGGAAGAGGATGGGCAACGTCTAAAGTGTTGAGAGCTGCTCTCGTTCCATACGTATCAAATGCCTTGTCAAGCGTCACACCTACCAGCTCAAAAGAGCTAGTAGACGATGCAATCAAGAAGGCATTCGTCCGTCTTGACGATCGCATCTTCAGAAACGCACAAGAAGCACTCGAATCAGGCCAAGACCAAGGCTCTGCCGCCGTCATCATCGCCGTTGCACCCGCCATAGCTGGATCTTGTGCGCTCCTAACTATGTACGAACCCAAGACCTCTACTTTACGTACTGCTGTCGCAGGCGACTCTCGTGCTGTTCGCGGCATGTGGTCTCCCAACACAAGCAAATACGAAGTCGATGTTCTGAGCAAAGACCAAACTGGTTTCAACCAGGACGAGGTTGAAAGGCTCGACAAGGAACACCCTGGAGAGATCAAGGACATGATTAACCCCGAGTCCGGTCGACTCTTTGGAATGGCAATCACGAGAGCGTTTGGCGATCACAGATGGAAATGGCCAGAAGAACTCATTCGCAAAGTGAAAGACGATTTCTATGGTACTGCACCGCGACCAAATGCCAAGACGCAGCCTTACATGACAGCCCGACCGGAAGTAACAACACGAAAGATCCAGACGGAAGATTTTGTCATTCTCGCGTCCGACGGCCTTTGGGATATGATGAGCAACGAGGACGCCGTGTCGTGCGTATCGCGCTGGTTAGTCGCTAAGAAGAACGGCAAGCCCGAACCCTTCAAGGAGACCAAGTTTGAGGGGAAATTGGAAGATGGATGGATAGCTACGCCAGAGCATCAGGTTATTGAGGATCTGGACAACGCGGCTGTTTGCTTGGTCAAGAATGCTCTTGGAGGATCAAGACGGGGATTGTTCCTGGGAGCGATGACGACTTATCCGCCCATGAGCCGGAATGTGAGGGATGACATGACTGTGCAGGTCATCTTCTTCAAGGATCCTTATGAGAAGAAGTAGGGTGTATTGTGAGTAAATGGTCTCACTGTTGGTTAAGAGTACAAAAAGAAAGGTCTCAGAGGGAGTCGAACCCTCGCTGGCGGAATCAGAATCCGCAGTCATAACCGTTAGACCATGAAACCTTACAACTTCGGTTAGCAGCGGCGTTGCAAAGTGCTCTCAGATTCTGTTCCGCTCGCGTTCGACTCGATCAATTGTATAATGTTCAGGGCACTTCGATTACTCTTGTTTGTTTCATTGTAGACATGAGCTGTACGCCTTGAATCAAGGTGCTAGCTACATTCTTAGAGGTTCACGTGATGCTTTGTAGCCATGCGAAGTACCTTGGCCAGCACATGCATCTGTCATTTATTGTAAGCTACCTCTACTCGCTGACGACACGTAAAGCAGCCGAGGGCAACTTAATTGAGCCGCGGTGGACTGTGTGATGATTAAATAAATGACGAATAATCGAACTGGCTCTCTCTGAATCTCTGTTGAATGTCGCTATCTCTCAAAGTATGGCCGTTGATCGCTGCCAGTTAACTACATACGCAACCCTCAGCTCCTGTTTCTCAACAGTTGAACCTCAACCTTGCCATCCTTGCCCGACTTCTTTATACCACAGACGTCGATATTCCTACCAGTCGCCTTGGTCCACTTCTCAACCTCATCATCCAACATCATATCCGCCCCCTCAACGCCATCAGCCATTCGCGCTGTCTGCACAAGAGTATGCCAAGTGTTCCCAAGCGCTGAAGCCCTGGTCTTTAGCATAAGGAGAATAATTGTTGTAAAGACGAGCCCAAGATGTACCGTAATAAGAACGAGAACAATAATAAGCCCAGTCCATCTAGTCGGTATAAGCCGATCTTGCGTATGTATAGTGTTCACAGGGTATTTGAGGTCATATTCTTCAAGCCAGTTGTAATAGACCATCTGATACAGCCGAGTCATCAGACCTTGAATCGCCATGGCAGGGTCTTCTGTTTCCTGTATGATACTCTGGAAGAGCGAGATATGTGCAAGATTCGCTGACCATCCTTGCTCGACTTCCTGTGCTGGTGACATCATACCCCAAGTCGTGTTGGACATCGATGGATGTTCGAGCCCCAAAGTCCTATAATATGGATCGTGGGTCGGTCCGTCTTCCATCGGAACTCCCTCGACAAAGTCTACAAGACGAGAACTGACGTTCAGGCGCCGTCCGATGTCGAGGTCAAGAATCCCGCGCTTCGCGGAGTCCCCCTCGTTCCCAAGTTGAAGACGAGCGCTGTCAATCTTGCGGGCATTGAGACCAGGTTCCCTGGCAGTTTGATGCCCAGACATGCTAACGTTGTATATCTGCGCAGGGTATGTGTTGAGGAAACAGAAAGTGGCACTTAGAATATGATCCCCATTGGCATCGTATGCTTTGGTCCATACATCTCCCATCTCATAAGTCAGATTCCGTAGACGTTTGGGCGGGGGTCCTCCATTAGTATCCCTAAACCCGTCTGCAGCAATATTGGTCGTCGCATTGACGACGAGCATTTGCTGGAAGCTGTGCTTCCTTTCTGTCTTTGGATCTATTGGAAGTTCGGGCTGGGGCATGAAAGAGCCGGAATAGTCGCACAGAGACACAGGCCAGCCTGTCAATTTACCCTCATCTCGACAATAGAGCATACACTCAGACGGCCCTGTCGTATTTAGAACCGCTGACACACTATCTTTCGCGTCTCCGAAGTGCGGGCTAACCATTCCCTGGGCAGAAATACTCGAGTTCTGCAACGGAGGGGCGCGACAAACGGTACGAACGTTGGCAACCAAAGCAGGTCCGTTGTAGGACTCAAGCGATGTTCTCGAGGTCACATCCGAAAACGGCAGCATGGCACGATAAACATCGCCGGTATCACCGTACTGAGATTTTCCAATTCGATCGTCTGCGAAGCGCCATTGGACAGATGGCTTAGATCCCCAATACGTAGGGCCCTTGTAGTTGAAGCGCCAATCGGCAGGGTGTTTGGAGGCGATGGCCTGGTCGTGCGTCACGCCTGGGGAGGCGACCTTTGCTGTAGTAAAGTCAGAGAGAAGAATGGTAGAGATAAATGTCGAAACCGCCATGATAGTCAAGCCCAAGATAGTAATGAACGAGTACAAGATGCTCAATGGATTCCCTGTAGTTTGCCTGAGGACTGCTGGAAAGATGTTGATGAAGCCCGACTTTGAAGCTCTCTCAGAGGATAGGATTGGAACGTCATTAAAGCAAACGCCTGTAGTCTCAAGGATAATCGCCGAAAGTGCGGCTGCAATGACACCAACTTGGACTGCGATTGAAGTGCGTATAGCTGCAGAGCATATGGTGGTGACTCTGGCGGCCCAGCCGCTTGTGGCGATGGTCTTCCAGAACTGCGGCTCATTGCGATCATGCGCCAGATCAGCACCACGCCAGAGATAAATGAGGATACCGCATGAAGCAAGTGTGAAAGCGGTTCCAAGTACAAGGGAGAGAAAGCTAAAGAGGCCGATGCTCTGCCATATAGTGAAGCGCCGTCTTGAAGGGCATGCTTCTCCGTCCGAACTTTTGGGAGTGAGGCCTGAGTCGAGTAAGCGTTGACGAGAGCTACATTGTGTCTCTGCTGAATTTAAATATGGAGTCTCGATTGATTCGCGTTGGCCACGTCTATGGCAAGTTAGAACAGGAGGATGAGGCCTCTCGGAGGTTGGTGTAGATACCTCGTGGTCTCAGTGTGCGCTTGGTACTCAACCATATTTACTCAATTGATGCTATACTAAGCCCGATTGAGTATCGGAAATTTAGGGACGGGAAGGGCCTTGAAACTTGGATTTAAGCATATTTAATGCTCCTGCCTGGAATCAAAATAGATCAAGATCAACACTGCTGACCAGCCACCAGCCACCAGCCTCAGAGGCTCAGCGGAACATGCAGCGTTCAACCTCTCACATACACCAATCAACCCACAGCCTTGTCAGGATAATTGGATGAGCCGTGAAACCATACGTCACTCATCGCTTGGCAAGTGAGCCGAGGCATATTCGTATCTGCACTTCATTTACCGCTTCTGTCCCAACCTGGCAGAAACATAATCTATTCTCACGGAGCGAGGAAACTTCCGTCCTTCAATATTGCTCCGTTCCTGGAGTTGCTTAGTGTGACGGACTTCACTGGGCCTCCATGATTACGACTATGTGATGTAACGGTGCAAGAGAACTTGGCTGTTATATGCAGTATTTCATCTCGTAACGCCCTACTTCTTAGGGTTATTGACAGGTGTTATGGGCGATCCGGTCTTGAAAAAAGCCTTGATATTCTCAAAAGCCTCCAGCTCTCCTCTCTGGAACGCTAGGTCTGTCAAACCACCAGCATGAGGCTGAACAACGACTTTATCACTTGTTCTGAAGTAATCATTCAGGTCAGGCTCATTCAGAAAGACATCCAATCCAGCACGTGTAATCTTTCCACTTTCCAAGGCTTCGATGAGGGCATCTTCATCGATTATAGCCCCACGTGCTGTGTTGACAATGAAAGCACCATCTTTCATGGCCGCAAATTCTTTGGTTGAAATAAGGTTCTCGGTTTCCTTATTCAAAGGACAGTTGACCGAGACGACATCCGACTCGGAGAGTAAGCCGTGCAAAGATGAGCAGTACGTAGCGTTATACTTTGCTTCTTCCTCTGCGTCCAACTGTCGACGGTTATAGTACTTGATGTGCATGTTGAAAGCCGCTGCTCTCTTGGCGAGATACTTTCCAATAGCACCCATACCTATGATCCCGAGCGTCATGCCCGAAGGATCTCTACTTGGAACAACAGGACCTCTCCAGTTACCCTCACGTACTGAACGCTCACCGCGAGATGTATCTCTTACAACCGCTAAGATAAGAAAGAGAGCCATGTCAGCGGTAGCCTCAGCGACGGCATCAACGCTGTTGCAGAGCCAAATTCCCTCTTCAGTCAACCAATCGACATTGAAATCGTCGTAGCCGGCCGCTGCTGAGGTAATGATCTTGCAGTCAGGAGCGAGATGTTGGAAGATCTGTTGAAAGGGACGGTAAGGAGCTCTGCCCATTCTGATAACGAATGCGTCGATTGGGCCTTTTTGCTCGAGCATCAGAGGCAGCTTCTCTAAGGCTTCTTGGAGGCTATCAGCTTCAAGGACCTATATATCAGCTGATTAGCTTTCTGGTAAGTGTAAGCGGGTAGAAGATTCATGGTGACTATTTTAACTAACATCATAATCAAAATCCTTCTCGAAGTCTTCGATGTACTCATCACTGATGAATTCGGGTCTTCCGAGAGCGACTACGCGGGGTTTCCGCTCTGGGCTGATTACTGATGCCATGCTCGGCCAAAGGCTCTCTGACTGGCGAATTTTGCAAGAATAACTCAAGAATTAGTTCTTTCTGTTTCCCAAAGCTTCCGACGAGATGAGGTATAACCTGCGAGCGCTGAGCGTGCAAGTTAAGAGTCACGAGGTTGTTCAATTTGAGGCTGAAGTGGAGATGCCACCGGCATCCAGAATATATGCCGATCCAAGTTGCAGGCTACGAATAATGCCCATTCTACTCCAAAAAATGTAAGAGATATACGGAGTTGACGAAGACTTATAGAAAATAAATTTTGCAACGGTCATAAGTGTATATGCGGGTTAATTTATAACCGCCAGCCTTTTATCGAAAGCCTAAACTTGTCCTATCTGAACTTTCGATCACAATGAGAAGTTTCCTCAGATTGCCTGGTCTATTCTCGAGTTCCCTAAGTATTTCTATTTATCATGAAAATATGTCTTATGTTTTGTTGCCTTCAAAGCTGTTTTTACACTTCACCTTCATAGCCCAGTCCTATGTAAGACGCCAAGTCAGCCTCATGAGGGGTCATCCAGCCTATCTTGCACAGCCCAGCGGATTCAAAATCTCGATCATCTCACCTATGATCGCTTTTACCTTTTCTTTATGAATTCAACTATCATTAATTCTTAAGAAAAATGTCTGCAAGCCGCCTATATGCACCTCTGGATCGGTCACGGCGAGAAATCCGCCTTATCGAGATTCTCTCCACCAAACCGAAAATTGTCTGCAACCTTACCACCGTATCGTTAGACGAAGATCCAGAATTTAGCGCGATATCGTATCTATGGGGTGACATAGGAAAGATCAAACCAATCAGTGTCAACGGCGCTGAACTATTCACTACCCCAAGTCTTGCAAATGCACTGGAATATGCGCCTTATCACTGGAAGAATGCATTTCCCGAAAGAGAACCCAAGTCATGCCGGCTTTGGGCAGATGCACTCTGCATCAACCAAGACGATGATCTTGAAAAGGGGCATCAAGTGCAGCTGATGAGGTTTATTTATCCCGCCGCAGAGATTGTGTTTTCCTGTCTGGATATAGAAGCTTCACAGTCGGATGTCCGTCTCACATTCAAGGCTTGCGAAACGCTTGCCAAATCTGCCCTTGAACGTGGCCTTGTTCGTCCGCCCTACGAGTTCTATTCTGACGTCGAAGAAAACGATGGAAAAGATTTGGATTGGCTTCTACAGCATCCGTTATTGGACGAAAAGTATCCAATCAACTCTCAGGAGTTCAGTGAAGCGGAGCAGGCCATGTCACGAACATTACGACTGAGATACTGGGAGCGAGCTTGGATTTTCCAAGAGTTGGTGCTTTCGAAGCGAGTCGTTGTAATCCATCAGCTTGAATCAATCAACCTGAAACTCTTGCTGGATGCACAATCTTGCGTTCAGCTTCTCAAAGAAGCGGCAGTGGAATCAAAGTCGAGCCGAGCCCACCAGTACTTCTGGCATTCGTACTGGGGGATCTTCTCGACGCCAAGACAAGTAGAATGGGCACGAGCGTGTGTTCATGCAGGAACAAATGCTGACGAAACTATACTTGGAGATATGCGGAGCTTTCTTCCTCTTGTTGGCGGCGAATATGGTGCCAAGGACCCAAAAGATCACGTTTACGCCTTACTTGGAGTAACAACTCTCGACATCGAGCCAGATTATACCAGCAAGACTCCCGTTGCGTCAATATATATTGCAGTATGCGCGGAGATTCTAAAATCGCAACCCATGCGGGAAGGCTGGCCGCTTTGCTTTCTTTCAGGAGCAGGTCTCGCACACCAGGGGGAACACCAGGAATATGAATTGCCGTCTTGGGTGTACAACTTCCCCGAGGCGTTCAGCGCAACTAAGTCACTCCAGCGGCTGTTCAGAGGCTATGATGAGCCAAATTACGACAATGGGCAAGAGTGGAACAACGTGGAAGCAGCGAGTATTCGTGGATATAGTTTGACCTGTTCTGCAGTATTTTTTCACACCGTCATTGATTCAAGTCCGACTTTGTATGAATCGCAGCATACGTGGTTGAACTTTGTCTCAGCTGTTTTCAGAATGATACACCAGCCCATCAGGAATGCAGAAGGCTCTCATCCACTTTGGACACTCGCCCGAGCTTTCGGGGCCGAAGAGTTTCATGCAGATGTATGGGAAACACCTACTGTCACTCGACTGATTCGAATATTTCAATATCTCCTATTTCTCTGCCACGTATCGATCAAAGATGACGAAACACCTGAAGCCAATACAGCCAAGAAGGCCGAAGCAGTTGCAGACGATATTCTGGACAAGTTGGCCGAAATCGTCTCGAAACAAGAGAACAAACAAGCGGAAGAAGATTGTAGCAGAAACGAAAATAACATACAGAACTGTCAGGAATTCATATCTCAGATAAGAGATAAAGACTCGTTTTGGAAAGACATCGACGAGCAACGAGTCCAACCAGATATCAGTGCACTTTTGAAGTTGGAGCCAACAATCGGTCTCACAGAGAGTGGCGAGTTTGTCGTGCTTCCACGTGTGGCAGAGATAGGAGACCAAGTGGTACTAATTCCAGGACATTGGCAGCTCTCATTGGTACGGAAAGTGAACAACCACTTTGTCCACGTCGGGGACTGCTGGTCTTCCAGACCAATGCAAGAAGTCGCGGAACTGGCCCGCGCAAAAGAAATGAAAGTGATAGAGATACGGTGATGCAAGTCAGATTGCAGAATGTTCTACGTACAGTACGCGTGGATCCCTGAGCACACCATCTTCTGTGTCCTCGACACGAATTGCCCTGCAAGGCCAAGCTATTACATGGCACTAGGTAGTAGGCATAGCCACTGGTTCCTTAGCTTCACAACGATTGATAAGGGGTAGCACTCCAGCGCATCAGGTATCAGATAGTTTCAAGGCTTAGGTCACTCTGAGGCAAATGCCAGTTTTGATATTAATTAAATCGCAACAAGCTTAGACCAGATTCACATGAACAACTCAATAAGGTGCCACGTAATGGGGATCACTGCCCATCCGGCCGTGCTTGCCGAAGTGCAAAGACCCCCTGTTTTCAAGCTTGTACGAGAAGAGCAGCTGGTTTTCCCAAGTCGAATGCGGCTGGAATTTTAGCATGAAGCTAGTGATTCAGGAGGACAGGAGCTTTCTTCCAGGATGATGATCCCATCCAATCAGAGGCGTCAGCATTGGCATGCTTTTGTATATCCGAATGGCAAAAAGGTATATGATTGCTTTTTTGCTGGGCGCTTTTTATTTATTTATCGTGGTTTCAGTTGGTACGAGATCTGGGTCAAAATGGCACGATTCAAAAGGTCAAAACTCCGAGCCAAGAATCGCGGGTGTGCGGGCGCCTCCGGGTTGCCGTTTGGCTAAAGAGCGGGAGCCCTGGGGGTTAGCCACTTCGGGGGATAGACTGACGGGTTACTTTTTTTGGTGGCGGGAGGGAAATTTTCTGGTCTGTTATGTAAGGGAGGAAGAGTTTTTTCGCTTGTAATAAAAAGGAATGGATTGTTACATAATAAAGCTGTTTGGCTTGTGAAGTTACTCGACTCATGAAACTGAAGACTACGGGCATCTAGACTTCAGAAGCAAAGAATGTTGACGGTCTTGGAGGGCTGAGAAGAAGTCTTGGCAACTGCCAGGAACCATTTCGACGAACCAACTGAGTTATCCGAGCAACCAATGGCATGACATTGTTCAAGGCTCGAAGATATCAAATCGACGTCCCAGCGAGTTGGATGGCCGTCGTACCGAATATCCAGAGGCACAGCATCCGCAGCGTTACATTGTGTAACCGAGGTTTGATGCCATCCAAGGATATCCCATGTCCCGCAACCCGCAGGGGTTCTGGGTAATTGGTTCCGTACCCACGGCTCAGGTACCAAGAATTTAGAGTTTCACAAATGAAAATGCAAGACTGACACCATCGCAACAGAGACAGCTCTCATCTGTTGGTTCAGCTGAGCTGAGATTCTTTCAATGTAGATCACTTTCCAATTCCAATCAAAGATATGAGAGATTTCCTTGATCAGGTTCGCGCGCCAAAAAAAACTAAATCTGCATCTCAAAACTCTGCTCCCAAGCCATTGTGTCATATCTCCCCTAGGTGCCATCGCGCAGCCACCACAGAACTAAACTCCTTCTAGACCTCGACTGCATTTCCCAACACACCACTTTTTTGCAGTTCCAAAGTGCCGAAACAGAAAGTGGGTGGGATAATTTGCGATTCCAGAAAGGAAGAAAACTCTGTATCAGTGACAGGGACAGACAAGCACGATAATAATAATGATCCGCTAACTGTGAACGTCCGTAGCTTCCGCACGGGTCAGCTGTTCCGTTTCCGAGTCTACCTCTTCCTCCTCTCTCCCACTCGGTCGCGGTCACCCTGTGGAGTTGCATTACAGTCCGAATCCTTTTAGTTCGAAGGGGAGAAAGCAGGAAACGTTAGGTTCCATCCATTAGGTAGTAAATTAATAGGCTTGGCTTTGTATAAGGAGTTTAACTCACCCTCGATCGAGATTTTACGGTTTCCTCTAGTTTCTTGCTCTAATAAACAAAGATTTGATGGTGTAGAAACCGTCTCTTTCATGGAGAAGAGAGTCTAGATCTACGCTCCATCTCGTTCGCTATGACGGACCCAAAAGTCGCCCAGGCTATTGCCGATGGACGAGTCCCCAAGGGAGTAACGGCGGCCTACCTCAACCAGTCCAAAGATGCACCCGCCATTGTGGGTATTATCTTGGTAACTTGTCTAACGAGTATTATTGTTCTTGGCCGTCTTGCATCACGAGCATTCCTCATCCGACGATTTGGCCTCGATGATTCTCTGACTTTGGTATCATGGGTAAGTCCTTTTTCTTTTATTCTCCGTCACTGGACCCCATCGCGGGTGTCGATCCCTCCCCACTGGTGTAACATCGTCAAGAAAACTGACAGATCGGTTAGCTTTGCTTGGTAGTATTCGTTGGCCTGTGCATCAAGCTCATCCAGCTGGGTTCTGGGCGACATTTCGACTATATCCAATATGTTCTCGACATGCCGACGATTGAATACACCGAAGTTCTCGACTTTGGCGCCCATATTGTCTATACGGTCGCGCTGTTGTTCTGCCGAATGTCCGGTTTGGCGTTCTACCATCGACTCTGCGCTGTTCACGACCGTCTTCGACTCTCCATCAAGATCGTGCTTGGCATTTTGATCGCTGGATTCTTACCGCAAGTTTTCCTTATTGTGTTTCATTGTACGCCTGTTACGGGACTTTGGCCATATGAGTGGCAGCCTGATTTTGACAAGTATACTTGCTTGCAATGGGGATTGGTCTATAGCGTCAATTCGTCGGTGTCGCTGGTCTGCGACTTGTTGCTGTTTGGTATCCCAATCGTGATGCTTCGAGTGTTGGAGATGCCGAGGAAGCGAAAAATCCAATTGGGATGCATTCTTTTGCCTGGTATTAGTGTCATTGCCATCTCTATTACACGGCTGGTGTTTGTCATTGAAGGGCAATGGAACGCCGACATGTCTTGGGCTTGTAGGTCAATCACATATCGGCAACTGATCCCTTGTCTAACACCTCACAGATAACCCAATGCTTGCCATCGAAGTCAGTGAAATCGGCGCCACCCTCATCGCCCTCTCAGTCCCAGGCGTAAAGCCCCTGTTCGACAAGTTCATTCTCCGACGAGACATCAGCCAGGGCGAGAGCACAGGAAAGTCACGATACGCACAGCAACACAGTTCCAAGGGCGGCACAGCATTGCGATCACTGCACTTCCGTCCCGAACACGATGTCCTCACCAGTCGCGACACGTCTGCCGAGGGGATCAAGACGTATCGCACGAAGAATGTCTCGGCGGATAATACGAGTGAGAACAGTGCGGATGGCATTTTGGTGCAGGTGGATTTTAGGATAAAGGAGGATACGCAAGACTCGAAAAGTGGGAGCGATGCTGGACGGTCGTGGAAATAATGGAATGGTCTCTTTGATGTGTTATGTATAAGTAAACTTTTTGGGATGGATTGCAAGCGATGACATTCAGGAAGGCAATGATCGGGCGGCTTTATTCTTCTTCTGCATGAATACTCTTTACGAGACGGTGATATCAAATTCGCCTGAAGTTTTACTCATTTTCCGTGGCTCTTGTCTGCCGTGAAGAAACCTTAGGACCTTTACCCTAAGCGATGAAAATGTTTAGACAATCTGGCCTAAGCTTAGAGGACTCTTTACTGAGTTTATTTTGCCATCCTCTTTTAAAAGTCTCAAATTTTCTTGCTCCTTGAGGTCTGCTTCTTGTGATGTTCGGTTCCTGAACCCTCCCGACACGCTGGGTGCACCCAGCTGTCACCATCCTCCCATGCACAATACATGCACGTCAAATCCCACTTCTAGAAGGATTCATCTCTTCTTTCGTAACAGAAACAAATTCACCTTCCATATTCATTTCATCTTCTCCATCAAACACGGCATCAACGACCCGAATATGAAGAGCCATTATCAATCTGCGCGACTTTTCGAGCCTGACAATGTCTCGATCGAGTTTAGGCCTACCGTAAACCACAATCCACTAAATTCTTTAGCGGCGCAGTCCGCTAAAAGCTTCAGGGTCCCCTCCCCGGCTTGCCCCCCCGCCAGTCCGGCTTGACTGATCCGTGGTAATCTTTCCAAAGATGCGAGGGAACAAGTGACATGACATGGGCAATTGAATGCAAGGCCATGACATGACATTTTCTGGTTAGTTCAGTTGACGTTGTCTAGCGGCCGAATGTGCTCCCGCAGCCTCCGTCTTCGCCGACTCCAAGTTCGCCGCTGGGGCACCCTTGTAGGAGTAATTAATGTGCATAACTTACCTTACCTGTCTAGGGAATAAACAAAACAGCTTCTATTCCCTCCCTCTCTTCACTCTGAACATCACAGCCTTTCTGTTGCTCATCAAATCCCATTCACCATGAAGCTTCTCGGGTTGTCGTTGGCCACGGGCCTCATCGCACAGGGCGTGAGCGCTACACCTAAGCAGTCCAAGAATGAGCCTCTGTTCGCGATCCAGCCCAACATGATTCCCTTGGAGAAGAATGCCGGATCGCCTGATTTGTTCCCCATGCCTGATTGCAATGGCTTCAAGCTTGAGGAGGCTACTTTTACAGAGATGCAAGATGCTATGAAGGCTGGCAAGCTCACTTCTGTTCAGCTTGTGACTTGCTACCTCATGCGCACGTATCAGACTAAGGAGTACCTCAAGTAAGTTTTCTGAGATGGCAAATTGCATGGTCAATTGATGCAATTGGTGCCTTGAACATAACTAACATTGCGCAGCTCTGTTCTCCAGGTCAACCCCGACGCCTTCGCCATCGCAGCAGAGCGCGACGCCGAGCGCGCAAAGGGTAAATGCCGAGGTCCTCTGCACGGCATTCCCTTTACCGTCAAGGACAACATCGCCACCAAGGACAGTCTCGAGACCACCGCCGGCAGCTGGGCGCTCCTCGGCAACGTCGTCCCCCGCGATGCGCACGTCGTCAAGAAGCTCCGCGACGCCGGCGCCGTCCTCTTCGGCAAGGCTGCTCTCAGCGAGTGGGCTGATATGCGCAGCAACGATTACTCTGAGGGTTACTCTGCGCGCGGTGGTCAGGTTCGCAGCGCTTACAACTTGACTGTTAACCCTGGCGGTAGCTCTTCTGGTAGTGGTGTTGGTGTCGGTGCTAATGTGATTGCGTTTTCGCTTGGTACCGAGACTGATGGTAGTGGTGAGTTTTACTGAATCTGAATGCTGTGGATTGCGCTGATGGTGTCGCAGTTATCAACCCCGCCAACCGCAATGCCCTCGTTGGCATCAAGCCCACTGTTGGTCTCACTTCTCGCGCCGGTGTCATTCCCGAGAGTGAGCACCAGGACTCTGTTGGCTGCTTCGCCAAAAATGTCAAGGATGCTGCTCTTGTTCTTGACGCCATCTACGGCGTTGACAAGCGCGACAACTACACTGAGGGTCAGAAGAACAAGACCCCCAAGGGCGGTTATGCGCAGTACCTTACCGACAAGAAGGCTCTCAAGGGTGCTACCTTTGGTCTTCCCTGGAAGAGCTTCTGGGCCCTTGCCGATGAGGACATGCAGTCTCAGCTTCTCGAGCTCGTTGACCTGATCAAGTCTGCTGGCGCCACCATCATCAATGGCACTGAGATCACCAACTACGAGACCATTGTCAGCCCTGATGGATGGAACTGGGATTACGGTACTACTCGGGGCTTCCCCAACGAGTCTGAGTACACCTACATCAAGGTCGACTTCTACCGCAACATCGAGACCTACCTGAGCGAGGTCAAGAACACCAACGTCCGCAACCTTGAGGACATCGTCAAGTGAGCCCACCGCATCTCAATTGTCTGAGCATTACTAACGGTTTCAGGTTCAACAAGCAGTACGACGGTGTTGAGGGTGGCTACCCGTATAAGAACGGCAAGGGTATTCCCGCTTTCGCCTCCGGCCAAGACGGTTTCCTCGCCTCTCTCAAGTCCAAGGGCGTCCAAGACGAAACATACTGGCAAGCCCTCGAGTTCTGCCAAACCTCTTGCCGCAAGGGTATCAACGACGCTCTCACGTACAAGGGCAAGAAGCTCTCCGGTCTTCTCGTCCCTCCCCAAGTTGCTCAGGCTCCTCAGATCGCTGCCCAGGCCGGTTACCCCGTCATCACCATCCCCGGCGGTTACGCCAAGGACTCTGGAATGCCTTTCGGTCTCGGAATCATGCAGACTGCGTGGGCTGAAGCTGAGCTTGTCAAGTGGGCTAGCGCAATTGAGGATCTTCAGCGATCTACTGATGCTCCCTCAAAGCGTCGTCTCCCTAAGTTCCTTGGATACCTTGAGCGCAACGTTCCCGTGCCCTTTTAAGCCGCAAGCCAATTGATGCGCATTTTAGATCGTATATAATAGTAGATAGCAATACGTAACTTTTAATGATATTATGGCTGAAGCCTCATTCAATGCTGTACGGTCGCGATCGGACTTATGTAACAGAGATTCCATGCCAGCACCAAGCTGGAAGCTCTCGATAACGCGCTCGAGAGAAGTTGAGCACCCACGTTCATGGAACAGGAGAGAGTTCAGTTCTGCAAAAAGATTTAGACGCGAAGAAAAAAAGACAGAATGACGGACAGTCAAAAGGTGAGGTCCTACCCGGGTTCGAACCGGGGACTTCGGAAGAATTTGAATGGTGATCAAAATCCAACGTCCTAACCACTAGACTATAGGACCTTCGGTGAAATAGTAGGCTTCAAACGGAGTTTAACACCCAAGCTCCTCCACACTGGGACAATTGGCAAAAAGCGAGGTCCTACCCGGGTTCGAACCGGGGTCTTCGGAAGGCTTCTGAAGGTATCAAAATCCGACGTCATTACCACTAAACTATAGGACCAGACGATGGAAAGGCGTCAAGATGTGGTGTTTATATACGCCACCCTTACGTTTTCGCGTCTCCAGACCGAGCATCGCTGGTGTTATCTACTTAACTTTAATACATTTCAATTGGCAGCATGTCATGAAGGTAAATGGAACTCAGTTTTAGGTTTGGTTGCATCAAATGTCAAATAGACTCCGGTATAGATAATTGTCAATTATGCTCTCTGTCTACTGGTATACTCCGCGCTCCAGAGTCCTACTCCAGATCTGTCTATTCAGAATGTCAAAACTCCGGAAAAGCTACTTACCGTATCTTCTGTAGTTCGGCCATCAGGTATCCCAATCAATCCTTCTCAAAATCCTGTCCAGCCAAAGACGAGTCCTTAGACGTTATCAACACTCACCCCCAACAACTTACCCATAATAAGGCTCCTCCTGATCATAAGGCCGCATCTGGTACCAACCGTTTGCCTTGATTTGATCCTTCACAGACTTAGGGAGAACTTCGACTGGCTCGCGACGGAGAAAGCCCTCATCCTGAAGGCGCGCGACCAAGTTCTCAGGCATGGGAAGACGGACCCGGACGGTAAACTGCATAATGTCACCGACGACAGTGAAGGCGTTGCGGCCGTAGACAAGCTCGAGGCCATCACGGAGGCGATCTAGACCAAAGATCAGAGCCGGGTTGATGGTGTGCTCGTAGGTGTCGCGGCCGCGACGGTTATTATCACGGTCAAGACTGTCGCTGCGATTACGACTGTCACTGCGGTTGCGGTTGCGGTTGGGCATCTCAAGGACCATGATTGCGGTTGAAGTAAAGTGGATGACGGGAAAGGCGAATCGGGATGAAGATGCTCGTGTAAATGCTGAAGGCTGAAGGCTGAAGGCTGAAGGTGAGTATGCAGTGATGTTGACAGGTTGTGTGATAGCAGTTAATGGAAATCTCAATGTGAGTGTTGGTAAGGGGGAAAAAAAGACTTGAAGGGGACGAAACGAAAAGGTGCAATATATATGATGAAAAAAGAGTGGAAGTGGTCTCCTGTTGCGTTACTGTTCTGCAGCTTCACTCTTGAGTTGGCACTGGCACAGGTCTTTGGATTCAATCAGAGACTCTCTTCTATGTACCAGACATTCACTGATGATATGTGAATGGCCGTATCTACAACGAACATGGTGTAGCTAGATGACAGTGGTATTAGCGGTCACATAAGGAGACAAAATCAATGATATTTGTGCAAATGATCGATTACTGCATACAATATCCAACAACAGCAGAATATGAAAGGTGCTCTCTTGGACCATGGTGTTCCAGACAATTCGTAGGCTCGAATTCAGAACATGAAGGAAAAGGTCGAAGAAGCTCTCACCCATTCTATGGATGCACCCAAGAATATGACGCCTAGGTCCCTGGTTGTATGCTGCTGTTTGTTCGCAGAACCCTACTCTTGATCATCCAAACAACAATCTGACATTCGTCCAAAATATCAAGACATCCAATGCCATGACTCAAACCAGCAATGCAATAAGAAACCCATCTCATCGTCAGCATTCAAGCCGTCTTTCCCTTGTTTACACCACCAACTCCAACCCCAGCCAAGAACAAAGCCCTTACAACAGCAACCGATCCAGTGAACAGATAGTTCCCCCAGTCTTGCCATCTGAACATAGAAAACTCAGAACGTCCCTGTTGCTTCATGCTGACAAAGACACTCAACAAGATCGCAATGTCTATGAGAAGCACGCCGCCAATGACGACTCTCCATACTTTGATATCGGAGCTAACTCTGAGAAGGACTGCCAGCATGATGGCGACAAACGCGTATAGTGCAGCGAGCTGGTGGAATAAGAAGGCCTGGTCTGGATTGTACGCAGACATGCTCAGTGGAATGAGGCCATCGAGAATGAATTCGGGGGTGACGATGAGAGCGTAGACGGTAGGGAGGACGGTCAATGGGTCAACCCAAGTGAACCAGATGCGGTAGAATTTATTGACGTTGAGTTCAGACATGGTAGCTACTTCGGCGGTTTCTTTCTTTCTGGTAAGATGAGACAAAATAATGGTTTTGAAGAGAGAATTTATAGGAAGCAAATCGTAACCTGTGGGGTAGCGTCAGCAGAGAAGCGAGACTAGATTGCGCATCACGTCTTATGTCAGCTGACAATCAGAATTCGGAGCATACCCATGTAAGTCTCTTACTCAAGAGACGATAATGATTAAGAAATGTCTTTCTGTTGTTTAAGCTGTTCCTATGCCGTGGATTTCACCTGCTTAAAGGATATGCGTGATGCTAGTGTCCAAGCTATCAGGGTTAAACCACCACTCAAGTACTCCAGTCCAGGGCATCTCCATCCAAGTAAATTCTCCCTCGGCCTCTGGAGGCGTGATACCCACGGCAGCTACATGTGGAGGTATCTGCGCGATCTTCCCCGGCCTTGTCCCAACAAATAGTCCTCTAGCACCGTCTGTTGTAAGCGGCGTCTCGGCCCAGTCAAACCGAAAGCACCCAACGCTAGCCTCACTGCCATCAGCGTACCGAAGCAATAGCCCGGCGACCTTCTGGTAGGGACTTTCAACCATACGGCTGTTCTCCAAGTCAAAGTGTCGAATCACGCCTGTGTCCTTCTCATTCTCGCTCTTACACACAATAACTTCTGTGACATTCTCAAGGGAGGAAGAAGAGTAGTGCAAAGTGTGAAGGGGGTTGAAGCGTGGCATGGCACCTAGTGGTGTTTGCCTCGGCGGAGAGGTTTCGGTATGGTTGTCTAGTAATCTTGGTGCAACTATCAGGGGAATTCCATGGTCTGAGGGAGAGAAGAAGACTCGAAGTGGACCGTTCGCGGATGTTCTTGCTACCAGGTCCCAGTGACGATGGTTCGAATATGGCGTGCATTGTCCATGATGGTCTGGGAACCCCCCGGCAACAGTCTTTCGACCTTTGCTCGTAACAAGCTTAGGTATCGTTAGCTGAGCGGCTCGTCAATGATCAACAGTGGGAGGATGTCCTACCGCAAGAGCTATGTCACTGCGTCTCTTGTATTTCTGCAATCCCCAAGGCGTCGATAGATGATATCGCAAACCGCCTTCACCTTGAGACGGGAGGGGTCGGGTCGTATCATATTTCTCGGACCCTCGTAGCCAGACCTCTTGAATGAACTCATCTTCTTGAATTGGGTAGTAGGTCCACTTGAGGAAACTTCGGTCTTCATACTCAGAGTGCTCATCCAATAGTGAAGCGTCGGTGCCGGGATGTCCCACGTTGCGATGGACACGAAGTGAGACCATCTCGTCATTGGCCCAACAGACGGAATATCCAGTTGTGCCAGGCTCATTGAAAGTCAGTGTTCTTAACCTGGCCTCAAGATCTCCTTCGCCCCAACCAGCATAGTAGAATGTCATCGAGTCGAGTTCAGACGGTGTTGCTGGATGAGGCCAAAGGACCTGAGGGTAAATGGAAGGAGTTAACAGTTCTCGAAGCTTGAGGCCCTGCGCATACGTAGTTAGCTTCTGGTGCACTAAATGGTCTCGAGGACTTACATCCCCATGGAAAGTAAGCGTTTGGCTGTTTGCTGATACTGTTTGCCAATAGGCCGGATGCATTGCGTCTAAGCTGAATTCGTTCGGGTTTGAAGTGATTCGCCTGATGCCGAGGTGATCGCTTGCAACGTAGAGGTTCGTAAAATCGGATGAAGGTATCAATGTCGTAGCTTGGCGGCCCACAATGCTGGAAGAGTTTGTGAGTGAACTGACATACTGCACACCATCCATTCTGACGGCTGTGATCAGAACTGGTAGCGACGGATCAGCAGACCACTCAGTCTTGCGATGCTGCAGAGAAAGCTCCGCTATGGTGTAAAGTCTGATCAACTCGTCGTCGTCGGACACGATATGCCAAAGTTCTGGCGACAGCTTGCCATATATTTTGCACAGGGCCCCCTCTATCAATTCCCGAATACGACCTCCCCGTCTTTCATGGTTCAAAGAGACATGACGATAAGAGTGCTCGGTGACGAGGCGGTACTCGTGGAGAGGAGTTCCAAAAGGAGCGGCGATCTCAACGCATTCTGCATGGAAAGCGATGGCGAGTCCCTTGTTATGGGTGCAATATGGATAGACGCAGTGCCGGAAGGAAATGTTGAGAGACCTGTCGATGCAAAGAGGCGCATAGCATCTCTCGTAGTAGATATTGAACGGGGATGATACCTGATCATCTGGAGTCACTACAGTTGGTCAGCCAAGCCCCAGAGACACCACTCGATATCTTGAACTTACAAACAATTATCTTTTCTTTCTCTCCATTGATAGGGAAGCGGCAGAGGCGACAGAGACTCGCATCGACACATACTGGGTTTTGAAGCTGATTTTCGCCGGACATGTTTGATGAAAGAACGAAATCGCCTTCTGGTCCAACCTCCGTTGCCCCCAGAGGAAGAACCATGGTATTTCAGAGCGAATGTCACAAATTCATTGTGGAGGAGATTGAGTCCGAACGACTCCGAGGAGAAAAGACATTTTGAGTGCTGAAGTGAGGAGAGCTAAGACATAAGCTGAGGTGGTGACGTAGAACAACCAACCACGAGACCAGAAATCTGACAGCGAATCGGTATCTCCCGTCCTGGCAGTGGACTTTAACTCGTTGCTTCATTTCTTTTTTTTATTTTTAAAAGAATTTATTGTATTTCTATATTGGTTTACTAGTTACAATTCGACAAAAAGGGAACAAATATCGCTGTTCATGGTTCTTGAAGACTGTGTTATTTTCTGTAGCTACATTGTCTGTGAATCATCGTCTGAAGCTTGATGAAAAGAATGCAGTCGTTAATGTGTTCAAAACAAGATCTTGAGCCTACACAGTTCGTGTATCATCAACGCTTTACATTCTGTTCAGGCGCTCAACCTCTGCATCAATATCTAACTCTGGATAGTCTAAAGATCTCTTAGGACGTTCCAGCCGCGGCGCCCTCCGCCGTCTTGGGGGATGCTTCCTTTCCCAAATGTCTCTGTAAACCTTGTTAACTGGAATAGCATCTCCTGGGTCTATCCGAACCCTGTTTTCAGAGGTTGGTAAGATGGGGAGCGGACACTTGGCAATGGCGTCTTCGGTATCCGCTAAAAGAAATGATATCAAGGCTCACTGTTGAGCATCGATGAGCTGACAGACGCGGAAGGTGACTCTTTCGCGGGTACACTGAAAGTACACATTTGGTTCGTTGTCACCAGTCCATGCTTGCGAATGGTCAAAGAGTGCTACTCCGCCAAGAATGCGGTTTTCTGCCCAGTATCCAACAATGTCATCGATACCATTCGGATACCGGTTATGAGCTGTGAATTGAGTTAGCAATAAACATTGTCGGCCAAGGGGTAACGCGGCAAGGTGATCAAGAGGTCGCTCCCAGTTGGTGGTAGACTCAACATCATGGCCCGCGGTTGTAGCAGGATCATGGAAGTTCTCTTGCTGTGATAGGCGAACACCGATTTGATGGAGGGCGCACACAGTCACCTCAATAAGACGTAGATAAAAGGATCGAGAAGGAGGCTTCGTCTCTTGATACCGATTCAGTTTCTGTAAAAGATTAGAAGGCGCAACGAGTGATTAAGGGATCCTGAGGGTTCGATACCTCCAGATCAATCTTCACATCAGCCATGGCGAAGTTGGTGCGGAAGACTTTGGCCTTCTCAAGTGCCCCTGGGCAAAGCTCTTTGTGACTGTTGATGGGATGGCTAGGGTCGTATTTGCTGGAGTACTGGTCCCAAGCGACATCAGTGACAGGCAGGCCGTCAATAATCTGGGCGTAGGTGATGAGTGCGATGTCAGTGTCGAGAACATTGCGCACTGCTCTTGATAGTAACTCAAAGTGAACTCCTTCGAGTTGATCGAGCGGAACATATTCTGGAATGGCCATTTTACATAGGAAGGGATGGATGTCTTATGATGCTGTTCATATGAAGGTAAGGGCTGTTTATGTAGAACATCTGATTATTAGTACGGCATAGTACCTACGCACGGGTTACTCAGCCCCCTAGAGCGGGTGGGGGTTCGTTCTTTTTCAACCTCGACCAACAACAAGTGGCTCGGCTCGGCTGTGTCAACCTTGCTCTTGCAACCTCCATCAATTTCCTACTCTTATGCAGCGGGTTCGAACAAAACCAAACTCCTTCCACAATGGAAGAAATAGATCCCTGCTGTTGTCTCTGTGGGATTTACATCGCCCTCACACCATCGAACCGGAGCAGGTCGCTCTGGCTGGATCAATTTTACGTTGGTGAGCAAAAGTCGTGTCCATGAACGGAGATGCAGTAACTGACTATTCAAAGTTTACACTTTTGATAGAGAGGCAAATGCTCGTGCCTATCTCTCAACCGATGGATTTAGGGCTAGCCGACACCACTACATCGTTGTTGACCCTGCAGATGACAGATTCAACGACGGGAGGAGTATCAGGGTGATTCTCATGCCTTACGACTGTGAAAAGCCTTTCAGAGGTCCGTTACCCCCTGGCATGCTACCCGAAGCTTGGGGTTATCCTTTCCATGCCGCATGTTGGAAGATCTTGAACACTTTCGGCACTGTCGACCAGAAAGATCTTCAATCCATATTGAATCTCTGCCACTCAGCTCCTAAGCAACTTGGAATGCTCAACTGGGGCCATGATTATAGAGGACAAGCCTGTCATCGACTTCAAGTCGCTCCAGGCGAGGAGAACTTTCTAGCCTGGTCATACCGTCGCGACCCAGATGCCAATCCATACAGCATCGTTGAGCTAACGCAGATATTCGACAACCTCGCATCAAATATCTTCAACAACAACTTTACGGAATCCGAACCGTTGTCAAAGCTTCACCGGTTCACAGTTTGTGACCCGTTTCTCGGATTGCCCGCAGATATTCTTTTAGAACTTGTTAATCATTTGACCCTCTCAGAGGTCACTCTCATGAAGCGATCCTCACGAGCTTTCACCAATCTCGTACTGCCCAGTCGGTTTTGGAAGAACAGGTTTCGACTCGGACGAGAATTTGACTGCATTTTTGAGGCTAAAAAGCATACTGGTGGAAACTGGGAATCCATATACAGAGCGACAAACGCCTTGAAGTCTGATAGAAGGACTCGAAACGCTCTGCAACTGAGACGCCACGTTTGGGATTTCTCTTCTCCCATGTATAAGCTTCTCCAAAGTATGCGGCAAACTACTTGCGATGGACACCGCGTCCAGTCCATGTTCGAGCCAGATGCAATGCCAGCTGAGCTACTTGATCAAAAGAGCTGGTCCAATGTCAGTAGGACACTCAGTCCTCCCGGGAAACTGTTCCAGAGAGGATGCAGATTCTTCTATACTCGCATGCTGGTGTTGCCCAGCAACCCATCTGCTGTCTACGTATCGACAATTGACATCTTTGAGCGACGCTACGTATCCGGACTGAGATTCAGTGATGGTAACAGTAAAGACTTTACTATTGGCTTTCAACACCCCAGACAAGAGGAGCTCCTAGCCCAACAGGCAACAAGTATTCAGATCAAGGGCTTTGATGTTGCTTTTGATCAGCACGGAGTGAGGGGCATCTGCATACTTTTTGGTGATGGCACTCAATCTTATTGGGCTGGGGAGTACGAGAATATACCCAAGCGAAGGGTACAAGGTTACGCAGAAGAAGACACTGTTACCCATCTGATGGGCGGGTTTGATGTGAGTTATTGGGACCCCTTTGTTGGGAAGATCCCCCGACTGACCTTGAAATGCAGGCCGCGAAGCTAGTGATCATAGCTATCAACCGAGACCCACCATCCTGGGAACCAACGATGTCTACACTATGGTATCCCGAGATACCAACCCCCGACTTGCTTTTCCCAGGACTTGACGCCACTATAAACAACCCTTTCAGGCCCAGTTCGTCAGTTGAACAAGATCTACCGGCCTGTTTTGCGCTTTTCCCCAATGGTGATCCAGGCAAGCTCCGCAGGATCATCGTCAAGCATCGTGTCCATTCAAAGGATGTACTCAAGATTGAATATGTGAACATGGCCTCAATAGACAAGAGCCAAAGTGAACTCGGTTACAGACGCGCAGGTGGACGATACAGTACAGAGTACGACACCAGCCGCATTTATGTACAGAGTTTCCTTATCGATGGCCCAGGCGGAGAGCGTATCGAGAGTTTCAGTACGCTTTGGACTCACACACTCGTAGGATTTGAGGTGAGAAGGCGCTTCGTTGGCCCGACGAACAGAAACTGACAATCATATCTAGATAAAGACGAACAGGGGTCGAACTGCAGCATTTACCGGGGGAACGGGTATCGAGAATAAGGCCCCTATGTCATCACTAGCTTAGAATGCTGAAGAACATACAGTGGTTGGATTTTGGGCAACCATGGTAAGTCTCAATTGTTTTAGATGATACTTCGTGTGCTGATAATGTCAGGAAACGGACCCCGGTTTTACTGCCATGGGGCCTGTGCTTCGTTGATCTTGCGAACCTCGATTGTGAAGTCCATACAGTGATCTTCTACTATAGTAGCTGCGAGTCTGAAGTTACAAACTGTCTGAGTATAAAAATGTTCTGAGTTCAAGCATCGACGGGAAACAGGAGCGGATCCCTGATAAGCCGCTGCATATCTTCTGTCCTGATGTGGATAGAGACATCAACCCCATTGTCAGTCCAATACTTCGCCGGAGGACCAGGTGCTTCTTTTATCAACACATTTCCATCCATTTCCGGGACGACACCCTCAGCATAACGACACGTGGATTCAACCCCAAAGTCGATATCATATATCCCTGCTCGCGCCCAGGTCGTCACCAAGATATGCCGCCTACCCAAGAATGCTTGCCATATTCGTTGAGGAGACTTTTCAAAAGCTAGGCTGTGCAGATGAGTGGCCATGTTGGAGGGGTCAGAGATCGTCTTGAGTGTGTTGCGGACTTGAGTTGCCACTGTAGTTATGCTGGATGGGTTGGTAACTTCTGAGGCTGGGAGTTCAATATTCATCATCACGACTGGTGATCCCAGGAAGTCATTTTCGAGTTGAAAGGACGAGCGGACGCCGTAGACTAGATCGCAATGAATTGGATCTGTGTCGTTTTCGAGGCCACGAGCGCGAGCGATGCAGGACCAAATGTGAGATAGAATTGCATCGTGTTGACTTAGCTTCTGTAACGAGTTCTCGTTCGCCCTTTTCCAAAGACGTATCACCTGCGTTTGACTCAGGTGAACAACGTAGTTTGAAACGGGCCTGGCAACATTCCACTCGGCCCATGGCATTGGTTTGCCGACGGGCTCAAGGTCCTGTTCGTCAAAAGGTGAGGGGATCTTGAACGGCCAAGGGGGCGTTGAGTCTGGATGCCACCAGTCAAATCTATGCATTGGTAAACTTCTCGCTCGCTGTATGATATCCAGGTTTGGTTCGTCGGCATCTATGTCTCCACTCGCTTGGTTGTCGATGAGAAGAGGGTTGAAGAGTGGTGTTGAGCTAGGCAGAGCCTTTCCAAAACCTTCGCGACTTTCTTGAGCCCAGTGTTTGAGAAAAGCGAGAAGAGTCGTGGCGTCTGCGAGAGGATGCGCTCCATTGAAAGCAAGGACAAAGCCGCCGCAAGACAATTCGGTGATTTGAATGGCGAGAAGAGGAAAAAATTGCCCATTATCGTCCTCCACGACATCCTTCAGTGGCTGAGCAATCGTGACCGGCGCCATGAACTTCTGAAAGACACTGGAGTCGCACTTCCAGAAATATTGCTCAGATATCCTATCTGCGGGATATAAAGACTCAAGTGTAGCATCGCATTTGGCATGAACAAACTCCACGCCAGGATCATTATCGGTTCCATAATGCGCATAGAGACGTCCGAACCGTCGAGCATGAGGCGGAAACGACTTTGCTTCTGGCGGAACAGTGCCATCTGTTGATTTGACAGCCTTCAGATGGCCGCCCCATTGCGGATAGAACCAAAGAGTCCGAACCAGAGATTCACGTAGGTGGTAGGCCAAATTGAAGTTATCGCGAGCGGGTTTTTGAAAGAGCCATATGGCGCTAGCATTGGAGAAGTTGGCGGTTGTGCTGTCGAGGAGAGATAAAGGAATAGTTTGTTCGTGTGAGGCGGCAATGCTAAGGCGGTGAGATTCGACGACTGATATGTTGATGGCGGCCATGATTGATTTTGGAGGGTATCACAAATTCGACTGAACACATGTATGAGGGAAGCCACAGGAACAAAGGTCAGTTATAAATATTTCGCAGTTCAATGGTAGATTGGAGATCCACAATATCAGATCTGGAGCGTTCCGTTTTGGGATGACGAAGGATGATTCATTTCGGCGAGCCTAATTGAGTAACTGAGTGGAATTGACAAGCCAAGAAAAGAATTCTGAATGATAGGTGGCGGATCTCACCAAAACAATCTATGGCGTTTTCTTGAGTCGTTATCCCGTGCAACAATACCAAAATTCTTGTCGCAGCCCAAGTCTAACTTGATGCCGAGAGCCAGGAAAGGAGGTTCCGAATTGAATGAACAGTCGCCACCTTGTGTTTTTCAAACGCTCCATCCAATGTCGCCCCTGGATTATCCTCGATTTTGAAAATCTTCCCCTCATGACTTTCATCTGGAGATGACCGCAAATGGCTGAAGTCTTCGCCGTTGTCACATTCGTCCTTCGGGTCAAGGAGCACCGGATTCCAGCCTACATTGGCTGACCCAAGAACGTCTTTCGAGTAATCATCACCAACATATACCTTCTGCCAGTAACTTGTTTCCTCTTCAGCTTGAGTAAGGCTCTTGCCGCTGCGAGCGCTGATGACCTGAGCGAGCATGAACTCTGCAGCGTTGAAAATGCGCTTGTCTGGTTTCTCAACGCCAACGTCATAAGATATGCAATGAAAGTCGATGTCGTAAGTCTTGTCCTTGAGCTTGGCGATGTCTGTGTCGGTTCCATATCTCAATGGGCTCACGGCAAGACCTAAAGATGAGAGAATACTGGGAATCCGATCATCGGAGTTGGTGATGACACCAATGACGAGGTTGTCAAAATGTGGAGGCGGGCCTTGCTTCAACTTCTTGAATGCCTCAACAAGACCTGTTTCGGTACAATAGCCCTCTTTCGAGGAGAAGCGATGCAACAGTCTCGGAGCTAGATCCTTCGGCAGAGGTTTGTCATCTTTTGCCAAAGATGTGAATGTGTTGTGGATAACCTGAGTGATATTAGCATTATTCTGTCCCGCAAAGATCTCATATACGAACATTGGTCCACCAATTCGTCGCCCCTAACCCCGTCTCCTTTCCATAATTCGGATTCTTCTTGGACTCTTGTTTAAAGGACGATTTGAAGGCGGCTTGTAGCTCATCGTCGTTGAAGTTGGTGAAACCGCATTGGCGAGCAACGTCAGCGTATTGCTGCGCAACTGGTCGAACGGGCCTAATTAGTGTCCCGAATGCGTCGAAGCATAGAAGAAGGTTTCTTTTTGACATGATTGGCTAGATCGCAAGGTTTGCTGTTGACAGGAAAGGATGAAGTTACAGGTTCAAGAATGGCATCGTTTTTGGCTCCACCAGATGATTACGTCATCTCGCGACGTTGTTCAAGACGGGAGCTGGATAAAACACGACATTCGAGCCGGAAATTATGAAAATAACAATCTCGTACTTGCTGATAGCAAGAGAGCGCGCAGCAATTAAACATCCATAGAGGTCAAAAATATTACCACATTTTTCTAAAATATGTGTCATGTCAGAGCTGTCACCAGTGGGGTATTTCACAATTGCAAGTTGGGAATCAATATGCCTGAATTTCGTGTATCTATTCAGGGGGGAATCTGGGTTTAAGATCTAGCTGTCCATCCGTGTACTTATCCAGCAGTCAAGAAGTTCCGAACCTAAGAGTCAAAACATCTACCCATGTCCAAGTCCAAAATCCTAAACTCCTCGTGCCGTGCTTGCGCAGTTGTCTTGTGACTTCTTCATGTCTAGCCTAGACTCCGACCAAAAGCCGTTACCGAAAACAAAGGAAAGATGGAGTGTGTTGTTTGTCCATACCGCTTAGATATGAGGCTGGATCAGGTACTGGCGCATGCCAGAGTTGGGGGCCTTGCCGAGAGTCTTGATGTTGAGACCCTGGGCCTTGGTGATCTCGTGGATCTCAGCCTCGCCTCGCTTCCAAGAGGGAAACATGGTGTAGACGGTGCCTTTCTTCACGAGGAAATCGTCGTAGTGGTGACAAACCATGTCGTGCTGAGCGACTACTTCAAAGTAGTGCATGGAGTTGTCCAGCTTTGACTCGTAGGTCCAGGCGATGGTGGGGTTGGCGTCAATATCAGCGTGGGTCTGAATGCCTTGAAGGTAAGAAGTGAAGAACGCATCGTACGCCTTAGTCTGGTAGGCGGCATGGGTGGACGAGGCCTCAGTGCCGGAAGGACCATCTTGACCGACGATCAATTTGGAGTAGGGAGATCCAGAGAGATGCTTAGAGAACTCAATGCATCGATCAACACACATCTGGTCTGGGGCATTGAAGAAAATGGATCCGAGTGACAAGAAGATACGGGGGTTGGGGAGAGTAGCGAAGTACTTATCGCCCTGGATAAAGTTCCCCCACAACCCAATGCAGGTAATCTGCGGGAAGTTGGCAGCCGACTTGTTGACATGGTTGGCTAGAGATTCTTTGCAGAGATCAAGTGCGACATAGATGCAAGGTTTGCCCTGATCGATGAAAGCCTGAACATAGGGAACGAACTTTCGGGAGTTAGCGGCTCCAAGGTCGATGATGACAGCACCGGTAGCTGGCATGTCGTTAACAACGTCGGAAGCAGTAGACTTGATAATGTCAAGCTCGTCGGTTGTTTGATAGGAATTGTCGGCAATTTCGCACCAATGGTGCATACCAGTAGTGTATGCAACTTCCTTTGGGAAGTAGCCGTCTCCTTCGAAGGCGCTTGGGAGTTGAGAGTCAAAAGTGTCATCAAGAGTAGATCCACCGATATCGATGATCTCCTTATGAGCCGGAGCCCAAGACTTGGTGTACAGAGGGGACATGTTGTAGTATGATGTCAAGTGGGATGAAAGTTTGGTTGAGTGGTTTTCAGATGGCAGCTTCTTTGAAGAGGGAAGATGAAAGGTTGTGGTGGTCAAGAGTAGTGTTGATGGGGGTTGAATGAAGGATGTGATGGTTGATCGTTGTGATGAGGAAAGGAAGAAGTCCAAGTTACTGGAGAAGAGATGGAAATTAATACACTAGAACTTCTAAAGATTCTCAGGAAGATCTAGAGGCTGTTCTACAGATACTCCTCTGTTCTGCCAGTGCCAGACGCGATGCGGCCACATTGCCAGTGGTTACTGTGGTGTTCGACTTGTTTGTTCAAGAACAGTGGAGGTGAAGCCTATGACACCTGCAGCTAGGTCGCGCATTGCTCCTGGCACTGCAACAGGTTTGGCAGTGTTATAACAGCTTGCATTGGTTAATGACTTAGCAATAATGAGGAACAGAAGCTCTTTGGGCATGTCAGGTTGCTTTAGGAGAATGGTATTCGGGAATCGGGAGATGTCATATTGCTTATGAACACTATTACTCTTTGTGATTACAGAAGAAACAACGAAATGTTTGTATAACTTGGGATTTCTCAAACCAAAATCTATTACTTTAGCTTTTTATACATGAAGGAAAATCAGAGAATAAGTGTTGTTGTCTGTCAAGCCCCTGAATGTCTTTTCCTGACCAGAAAAGACTTAACTCGCAGGTTGTTGCTATAGCTTGTTCTCGACTAGCGATTACATGTTTAGAGAGACTTCAGATTGACTATTGGATTGCATTGTGAGGAAGAATTTGCTGGGAGTAATATTAATCTGACACTGCAAGCTGCCTAGCCCTCCTCGAGCGAGCACGGTCACCTGAACGGACATTTGGAAGAACCAGCCATTTGAGGAATCCGTCCTATATTCATGGATCAAATTTAGAATGAGGTTCAACACTATTCCGCCATGACTTTCAGTTGATCGGCAGTGGTCGTCGAGAGATACATCATTGGCTCGGCCGACGTAGATCATTGTCGGCACTGGTCGTCCAATCATAAGCATACCCTGTGAGATGGACGGCCCTCTGTGGATACGAAAGGCTTCTAGAAAGACGGGATGAAAGGAATGGAGTTACAGACGAATTGGTTAATGTCTATCTTTGCAACTAGCTATCATCAGACGTTCTTGGCAAGATGTCTTGACCTGGCCAAGTCTCTAGTACTCGTTGTAGGGTAGATGCACTCAAAATGCCTGTCTTGGCATAACGGAGAATTGTGAAAGTCAAAATACGAATAATATGCGAGGTCCATGGTCCCTGAATTACACGGTCGCATCGATTGTGGCGATCGTCGCATGAACGTTAGCACTTGGCGGCCTCTGGACAAAACTGGTTTTGAAAGACGATGACTTCGTTGAAAGGCAGTGCTATAACCTTAACAAATGCTCACCCAAAACCTCCTCTCGACTGTTAAGATCTTACTGCAAACTGTACCGCCACTTATGAAAGACTCGTCACCAGAAACGATGGATGTGTGGCTGGGTTCACCATCAGGAAGCTCACGCCACAGGGTCTCGCAGCAAGATCAATGTGATATTAAGTCATGAAGTAGTCATTGCGCGTTAGTGGCAGCTCCCAAGAGGTGATCAGCGGTGGCTGAGGGGTTCCAAGTTGCGACCAGGTTAAATGACCTCATCACCCTTCGTCATACTGCAACGTCCATCCTTCGATAAGCCTGATTGACATTTGAACCGTTATCTCGCCGTTTCACTCAATTCAATTCTGTCAAACCCTCAGTAATTGTTCACAACTACAGTTGTTCATCTTCACAATGTCGATACAAGACGATCACCCCTTTGGCAAAGACAAAGAGAAGCGCTCAAAATGGAAGATCTTTAGCTCCTCAAAAGACAAGGAGAAGGAGAAGGAGAAGGACAAAGACAAGCGCAAAAGTCAAGAACTTCAGATCCCAGAAACAGCAGAGACTTCAGGAGATTCGACATACGGAAGCAGTGAACCCAATAACTCATTGACAACAGAGGGCGATCTGAGCAACACAAAGAGTAACAGTGGATTGAGTCCAGGGAAGACACCAGACAATGCGACGCCTACCCCAAACCTCAACCCGAATTCAGGACCAGACTCTTACACCAGTCCGACGATCAAAAGAGAAACGGTGACCAATCCTAATACGGGACAGACAATTACAACTACAACGACGACTACGACTACTACCACGACCGTCACAAACTCCAATGGCACAACCCAAACAATTGAGGAGCCTCATCCTGTCATGGAGTTACCCACCGTCAGCAACCAAGACGTCACACCATCTCCCCCGCATCCACCACCTGTAACACAGCCCGAACCCGTACAACACATAACGCCTACACCTGTTGAACCATCCCCAATTACACCAACAGCACGTCGCAAGAGTTTAGAGACTCCAGGCCGACGCCTAATTCCGCCCCGCGATCCAATTCCCTCTCAGATTTCCAGCTCAGATAATAATTCACCCGCAATTCCTGAACGAAATGTCAGACGCTCTGCGGAATTCGTTCCAGCGCCTTTACAAGTTGGCCAGGGCGCTTTTCCGCCCCCGCCCCCGCCTGGGGATAAACCTGCTGTGAATTATTCCCGGCCTGCTAACAAATCGACATTTGCGAATTTGAAGTCCGCTGCCGCTGGTATCCATGTAAGTGCCCCTCAATTGAGCCATCTCAATTCATACTGACGAACCTTACAGGGCGCCGGCGAAACTCTTCGCGGAACACTAAACTCCAGCGTCGACAAACACTTCGGCGGCACTCCCCAAGCAATTGAGAAGAACCAAGCAGCCATCGACGCAGGCCGCTACGAGATCGACAACCGCACATTCTACCACCCAAACGAATACCGTCTAACACGACCAGAAGGCTCCGGTCCTTCCCCCGACAGGCCGCCAATTCCCGATGCTCAATACGACGACCCGCCCTTCAACATGGGAAACACGACAGGAAGTCCTGCGGTGGCGGATAAAGAGAGGGAGAAGAGACATAGCAGACTGGGAAGTCTGTTTGGTAAGAGTGGAGGACGGTCGGCGTCGCAACCTGGTGCTGATGCGACGCCAAGAGCGGAGAGGGGGAAGTTGAGAAAGAGGAGCAGTTCAGGGCCGGGGACGCCGAAGTTGAGTGTCGTGGGGGAATAGTAACGCGCCACGGGAGTTGTGTCGTATATCTAGCTTAATGCCACATTACGTACTCACCACGTGGAAGATATTGAAGGCAGGACTTTGTGATACTGACGCCACTTGATGCTTTGGCGCATCCACTGATGTTGAAGTATCCTCATATCAAGACACGAATGTTCATAACGCCAAAGTTCATTATTGGTATCTGAAGATAAACGAGATCTAAATGATAAATGTCCGACTAGTTCGAAACATAATGGGCGACATATTCAACTTCCATATGGTTTCCAATTCCAT